TTTACTATTTGGTGAAGCACCTTCAGAAATGTCCATCCAAAAAGAGTATTTGGTTCTACTTTATCTTGATATTGAGAAGAAGATAGTTGAAATTTCAGTCAATTTGACCCATTTTTGGCCCTGCCTCTCAGGCTCCTATAGGACAGGGACCACATAATATACAATTTATGTGTGCCTTTAGCTATGGAGAGCTTTTTGTAAAATTTCAATGAAATCAATTCAAGAGTTTTTCAGAAGTTGAAAATGTTGAAAGTTTACAACACATGATGCACAATGCTGGACAAAAGGGAATCACAGGAGGTTACGCTGAGACTTTGTCTCTTTTCTCGCCAGTCGTATGGCATATTGTGGCTAGTTTTACCAGGGTTACATAATCATTTAGAAGATATTTATGAATTTATACAAAAATACAATATTATTGGTGTTAATGGATCTGTGTTTAGATGTTTGACTTTCATTATATGTAAACCGAGTGCTGAAAGTGATAAAAATGAGTGTTATAACCTAACAATATGTCATTACTCTCTCACTAAAATCATGATAACAGTATTAAGTTAGAAATCTGCTTAAAACCAAGTCATATGAAGTAGGAAGATTCACAGGTATGTTGAACATGGAATTATAAGTGGGTTTTGACTTATTTATAATGCAACATCCACAATAGACATTCTACTTCTGTTCACACCTGGTTCTGGTATCACAATATCAGAAAAATACAAACCAAAAATGAGAGAAAATTCCATACTAATTGATTAAACAATTAAAAACCAATGCTGTACATGATTATCAGTCTACACACCAATAAAACATCTAAATCAACCTCTGTTTTGTTTATATTATCTCCAACAACCATCTGTCAATTAAAATTTTTACTATTATTTTTGTTAAAAACATAAAAATTGTAAGTGAAAATTGCATTGCGTTAAAAATGTTGACAGTGTTATTAGATACATTTTACCTCAGCACATGTTCATGAGCGTGTACACAATTTCACAGCTTCTATGCTCAATCCAAATTGTCAACATAATAAATAATTAATAAACTCATTTGAACAAAACTTTACCTGTGATCTTGGGTGGGAAAGAGACAATTCACCTGTGACCATTAGTGGAAAAGGAATCATTCATCTGTGACCTGGGGCTGGAAAGGAACAAGTCACTTGTGACCTTGGATTGGAAATGGACCGATTCACTTGTGATCAGGTGTGGGAAGGAAATAATTCACCTGTGACCTGGGACAGGACAGGGACATTTCACATGTAACCTTTGGTGAAAAAGGAATCATTCATCTGCAACTGGGGTTGAAAAAGAAAAAATCACTAGTGATCTGAGGCAGGACAGATATATTTCATCTGTAACCTGGGGTGGGAACGCGGCACTTCACCTGTTATCTGGGTTAGGAAAGAGACAATTAAATCTGTGATCCTTGGCAAGAAAGAAATTCATTTGTAATCTTGGGTGGGAAAGGAATAATTCCCTTGAGATCTGGGGTAGTAATGGGACATATTCCTTCTAAAATATAGACCTACTATGTATCAGTAAAGCCAGTAATGTATTAGGAAGAAAACTGAAACAGGATCAACTGTTTGAAATACTGAGGTGGTTACATTTAAACGTAACAATAGGTATCCATGAAAATAGATCACTTAATATACACCTGTACCATATGTAAATGACTAGATTTTGAAGCATCAGGATTCAATGGAATAATTTTTTGTATAAATATCATAATAATGTTGTTTTTTGTAATATTCCAATTACAAATTATTCTTTATTAATGAAGTAAAATTATTTGAGGTTACTCCCATTTCATGATATTTATTTGTATATCAATTACTTGTTGGAATAGAATTACTTGTAACATTATATCATAATTAATAACTTGTAGAACATCGCTTTATAATTTACCCTTTTATAATTATATCAAATGTGCTGTTATGCTAAAAATAGCTGAAATATTTGGAATACTTTTCTTTTGGAAATAACCTGTTATGGTCCGGTGATGCTGTGGTAACACATTCACCTTTGACATAAATGATTAACTTGATTCCACCTGAAACCATGTGGGTTTTCCTAGGTACTCCAGTTTGTTGCCCAAGTAAGACCCCTTTCCCACTTCCATCCAGGCCAACCAGTGATTTTATAGACTGAATGCTTGTTTTGTGATTGTGGTAACACAAATAATGCTTATGATTTATAAACTTTTGATGTATTGCTCTTTTGCATGCTAATTCCATTACCTGTAACTGTACATATCATTTACATAATCCGATAATGGTAAGTATTGTCAATGTATGTACAGTATACTTACTTCTATAATTGATATTAATATTCTAAAAATAGTACTTCAATTTTCAACTTTGCTTTTAAATTTTTTGTATCAAATACAATACATATGTAACCTATAAGTGCACCTGGACAAATTGTGAATTACAAACCACATTTTGAAATCTGGAAAGGATTTAGTCACGTGTAGGCTTGGCCTGTTATCTCATCCAATTGTGTATTTATATAATAAAATTCATTAAAATAAAATAAAATAATGTTGCAAAAAAACAAAAAACAAAAAATGATGATCAAAATTACACAGGAATTTCTGCTGACACAGCAGTTTTGTGGTCCCAGTGAATAATGTTCTAAGCTGATAAACATTTGTGTGAACGTGTAGGTACCAGATTTATCACAGAGTTTGGTGTTCTCTATGCCAATCAAAGTATTCCTCTGTATTAGAATCATATCTCTGATTGGCCAATCAAAATATTCCTCTGTGTTAGAATTGTTCTCTGATTGACCAATCAAAATATTTCTGTGTCTGAATCATATCTCTGATTGCCAATCAAAATGTTTCTTTATGTGAGAATCATATCCCTGATTGGCCAACCACAATTTTTCTCTGTGTGAGAATCATGCTATGCAGCATCATTCACCTCCTTAGGAGTAAGATATGTGTATCTTAATGGGTGAAGAAGTTGGGAATAGGTAGGGGGATTGAAAGGATTCGTGGTGGCGTTGGAGATTCTTTAGTGAGCCTTGCTGACAGGGGGAAGACAAGATATGGATTTTTCTCTCTATGGAAAGATTAAACAACATCTGTTTGGGCTGTAGACATAACCTCTCTAACCATGTTAGAGGGATAGATGAGTTATCACACAGGAATGGATGTGCATCTGAGGCTAAATTGCTGCAGCATATAAATCCAAAAATATTATTTTATGTGTTATATAAATATATAATATAAAATATACTGGCTAAAACACACTCTAGAACTGACAATGATAAACAAAGACTCTAAATCTGACAGTGGTATACATGAACACTACATCTGACAGTGGTATACATGAACACTACATCTGACAGTGGTATTCACAGATTCTAGATCTGACAGTGGTATACACAGATTCTAGATCTGACAGTGTTTTGCAGACATGCTAGATCTGACAGTGGTATACACAGATTCTAGATCTGACAGTGGTATTCACAGATTCTAGATCTGACAGTGTTTTGCAGACATGCTAGATCTAACAGTGGTATACACAGATTCTAGATGTGACAGTGGTATTCACAGATTCTAGATCTGACAGTGGTATACAATCTAGATCTGACAGTGGTATACATGAACACTACATCTGACAGTGGTATACACAGATTCTAGATGTGACAGTGTTTTGCAGACATGCTAGATCTAACAGTGGTATACACAGATTCTAGATCTGACAGTGGTATACACAGATTCTAGATGTGACAGTGTTTTGCAGACATGCTAGATCTAACAGTGGTATACACAGATTCTAGATCTGACAGTGGTATTCACAGATTCTAGATGTGACAGTGGTATTCACAGATTCTAGATCTGACAGTGGTATACAATCTAGATCTGACAGTGGTATACAATCTAGATCTGACAGTGGTATACATGAACACTACATCTGACAGTGGTATTCACAGATTCTAGATCTGACAGTGGTATACAATCTAGATCTGACAGTGGTATACAATCTAGATCTGACAGTGGTATACAATCTAGATCTGACAGTGGTATACAATCTAGATCTGACAGTGGTATACATGAACACTACATCTGACAGTGGTATACATGAACACTACATCTGACAGTGGTATACATGAACACTACATCTGACAGTGGTATACATGAACACTACATCTGACAGTGGTATACATGAACACTACATCTGACAGTGGTATTCACAGATTCTAGATGTGACAGTGTTTTGCAGACATGCTAGATCTGACAGTGGTATACACAGATTCTAGATGTGACAGTGTTTTGCAGACATGCTAGATCTAACAGTGGTATACACAGATTCTAGATGTGACAGTGTTTTGCAGACATGCTAGATCTAACAGTGGTATACACAGATTCTAGATCTGACAGTGGTATTCACACCATCTGGATTTAGATATGACAGTGGTATACACAGTGTTATGCAGACACACTAGGTCTGACAGTGGTATACACAGACTCTAGATGAGATAGTGTTTTGCAGACACTCTAGATATGACAGTGGTATACACAGTGTTATGCAGACACACTAGACCTGACAGTGGTATACACAGTGTTATGTAGACACACTAGATCTGACAGTGGTATACACAGTGTTATGTAGACACACTAAACCTGACAGTGGTATACACAGTGTTTTGCAGACACTCTAGATATGACAGTGATATACACAGTGTTATGCAGACACACTAGACCTGACAGTGGTATACATAGTGTTATGTAGACACTCTAGATCTGAGATTGATGAATTACACAGCTGCACTCTGTGACCAGGGGGATTGAAAACAGTCACACTTTCACATTCTTATGAGTGGTTGAACTGATCAGCACCAGGATAGGTGAATACAGTTGTTTTTCACTTACAGTAGCCAGGATGGTTGAATACAGTGTTGGTTCACACTTGGAGAGACCAGAACAGGTGAAAATCCTGCTACAGTACAGAAACACGGAATGTTAACACACAGTGTTGGGTGTGGGTATCAGGACAATTCGAAACCAGTGTTGGAATTGATGGCATAACGAAGTTTTTCCTTAAGTGTACTGCGCTTCTGGTAGTTTGGAAGTTTAAGGAGGTTGAAACAGGTAGAAGAAGTTGGGAGACGCCCAACAGGATCTCGTTTCTTGATGTTGAAGAAACCCTTGAGGACGCTACCCACTGTGTCTCCTGTGTCCTGATAACATATAAGGAGACAAATTAGAATGATAATCTTTACCTGGATCAAATAATCTCTAGTCAAATTTACTATATACAGCAGTCCTACGATTTATAACCCCATTTATTGGATTATATAAGTACACTATACAAACTTCTCATTAATTAACTATACCCATTGCTCAGCAGAGAAAATAACATACCTAATATGTCCTTAAAAATTACTTATGAGTATATATACAAAGTACCTATAGAAGCAAAAAATAATGATCAATTTAATTTAGTCAATATTTACATTCACCTTGTCGTCATTAATTTTCACAAACCTTATGAATCCTTGACAAGAATATATCGCAAACACAGATACATGTTCAAAACAATTATATAGTTACCTGGTCATCGCTGACCTCAACACACCTCACGGAAAAAGGTGGCTCTAGGTGGGCAAATCCTAGTAATGGTGGCTTGGAACAACTTGTTACAAACTAAAGGAAAGAAGATTAATAAGATAAATGAGCTTATAATACTTTAATGCCACCATCTAGGAAGAGTTATCTAAATTGGGAAACAACCTCCTATGAGGGGAGTTATCTACCTTGATAAACAGTCCCTCTATAAGGACTTATCTTCAGAAAAAACAAGTGCTCTCTAGGAGGAGTTTTTTATCTTGAGAAACAGTGCCCTCTGTAAGGAATAATCATGAGAAAAAAAGGTGCCCTCTATAAGGAGTTATCTACCTTGAGAAACAGTCCCCTTTCTGAGGAGGAGAAATCCTTGTCCAGCACATCCCACAGCCAGTTGATCACTTTGTGGTTGTTATGATAACCACCATAATACTGTGTGTGTCGCCTAAAAATAGACAGATTTTACATGTTTGTTAGAAGATTTGATGTCTCCAAGATATAAATCACTCTACATCTCTGCATATCATGATAATTGTTTCATAAATTTTTGATTATAGTATTTGTGACTTTATAATACATGCTCATTAAAGCCATTCTCATGATATTGGTGAACAAGTGTATTGTTTGGTTAAAACACCCTTTAATTGTCCCTCCTAAAATATGAACTTGTCCAATGTGTTGTCACATATGACCTAAGTGTAAAGTTGGAAAAAAAGCCTGTTTTACATTGTCATCCCATCAAATGAACACACAAGAAAATAACTTAAAATAACAAGAGGAGATTACCATTTCACCTCTGATCTCCAATGTCAAGGTCAATCATTATCACCACATGTAAGCTTATGGCTCAACTTAGATCCCCAATGTCAAGGTCAGGGATATCACCAGACATAAGCTTATGACTCACCTCAGATCTCCAATGTCAAGGTCAGCATTATCACCGGATATAAGCTTCTGAAGTTCTGGGGCAGAAAACATCTTTAACCAATCAGAATTGATGACAGTCTTAAAGCCACGTATAAAAGCCATAGATTGCTCCTTGATTTGGCGGTACATACGGAAGTGTGCCATCAGATGGACATATCGTATTCTATCAAACAAAACCAAAATCTTATTGATAAAATTTGACAACAACTAAGATGAAAACCTGAAAATCTTTAAGCCTTACAGTCTTGTTCTTCAAGGACATTGCAAATTCAAATGTTATTACTAGGAAGTATTTATACAAATCACAAAATGTAAATATCTTGTAGTTTTCCTGATAATCACAATAAATGTGTCCTTCACAACAAAACTCACCGAAAGGATTCCTTAAAAAAAAGGACAATAATTTCTTTGTCTTTGAAAACTTGTTTTACATTTTAACTCGCACTATACTCCCTTTAACCTGATTTTACGTACTTGTTTTCATTAGTGACAGAGATAGCCTTTCCCCCTGGCACTAGCTCATGGGTTTCTATTCTTCCCATACAGTCCTCGTCACAGGAGAAGGTCAGTTCAAGGTCACTGATATCACCATCATAATGCTGCCATGGAAACATCATTAATGGTAGAACAAATAATGATAGATATAATCTCTAAACAAGTTGTAGGGTAAGTGAATGATTTAAATATAAAAATCTGGTAAAAGTCAAATGTGTGAGACAGGAGAGACTGATGGTTTAATATCATATTTCTAGAACAAACTAGAGCTGTCATCCCGAGGATAACTAATACCTCCACCGATCCAAAGACCTCTGATGTGTCTTGTCATTGGCTTTCATTAGTTATACCATTTGATTACATTAAAATAATTAAAAAAAATAATATCTGTTGAATGACCAAGAAGTAATAGCCATTTATAGTAAAACCTATTTATAGTTACCATTTACCATGGCAACCAAAGGTTTGTGGAAAAAAAACAAAAAACTATATTATATGTTAAGTAGTACTGTTTAACAAAATAGTGAACCAACTCTTTCAAGTCAATTCAGTGCTTGGAAAATGGCAGACTGCTATTTCTTAACATGCATAGCTGGACAAAATAAGTGTTTTTTTCATATATGTATAGAAGGGGGATAACTCTCTCAGAAAAGGGGAAGAAATGCAAAGTCACTTCAGGGGGCACATCTCAATACTGTACTGGCCATTCTCTCAAAATTCTAAAAAGATAAACATTAAACTGAGTGAAAGCAAAGCCAGACAAAACTGTGTTCATTTTTTATATAAAAGCGGGAAACTCTCTAAAAAGTGGAAGAAATGTGACTTCAGGGGGCACATCTCTATATTGTACTGACTGTTCTTGTATAAACACACACCACCTCGCTCCTCAACACGCTGTTGGGGGTATAATAAGATTAACTGAATGATATTCACAGATCTTCTGATAGAAAATGAATACCTTTGTATAACAGAGACTTTTGGCAAGTTCAGGATCGAGTGAAGGTAATTCATCGAGTGAACTGTAGGTGGCGCTCTGCTGATGGCCAAGTATCTGTGTCAAGAAAAATGGTGCAAAAGGAACCTCAACGACGATACCCTGAAAAAGGAGAAATTTCATTTCTATTTCTAGAAAAGCCGACAAATTTTCAATTTAAAATGAAAACTCAACACCTAGTACCATTAAATACAAGGAGTGTATGAAAGGACAGATATTGAAGGATGTGAATGTACAATCAGCACTAAATCATCCTGTGTTTACATTATAATAGTTTACTTGTGGGATTTACCTACCTCGTACACAGCCTTGTCTTACATCTGGCTTACAACTTCGTGGGTTTTACCTACTTCGTACACAGCCTTGTCTTACATCTGGTTTACAACCTCTAAGTTACCTACCTCGTACACAGCCTTGTCTTACATATGGCTTACAACTTCATGGGTTTTACCTACCTCGTACATAGCCTTGTCTTACATCTGGTTTACAATCTGGTGGGTTTTACCTACCTCGTACACAGCCTTGTCTTACATCTGGTTTACAACCTTGGTGTTACCTACCTCGTACACAGCCCTGACTTACATCTGGCTTACAACTTCATGGGTTTTACCTACCTCGTACACAGCCTTGTCTTACATCTGGCTTACAACTTCGTGGGTTTTACCTACCTCGTACACAGTCTTATCTTACATCTGGTTTACAACCTCTAAGTTACCTACCTCGTACACAGCCTTGTCTTACATCTGGTTTACAACCTCTAAGTTACCTACCTCGTACACAGCCTTGTCTTACATCTGGTTTACAATCTGGTGGGTTTTACCTACCTCGTCCACAGCCTTGTCTTTCATCTGGTTTACAATCTGGTGGGTGTTACCTACCTCGTACACAGTCTTATCTTACATCTGGTTTACAATCTGGTGGGTTTTACCTACCTCGTACACAGCCTTGTCTTACATCTGGTTTACAACCTCTAAGTTACCTACCTCGTACACAGCCTTGTCTTACATCTGGTTTACAATCTGGTGGGTTTTACCTACCTCGTACACAGCCCTGACTTACATCTGGTTTACAATCTGGTGGGTTTTACCTACCTCGTACACAGCCCTGACTTACATCTGGTTTACAATCTGGTGGGTTTTACCTACCTCGTACACAGCCCTGACTTACATCTGGTTTACAATCTGATGGGTTTTACCTACCTCGTACACAGCCCTGTCTTACATCTGGTTTACAACCTCTAATTTACCTACCTCGTACACAGCCTTGTCTTACATCTGGCTTACAACTTCTTGGGTTTTACCTACCTCGTACACAGTCTTATCTTACATCTGGTTTACAACCTCTAATTTACCTACCTCGTACACAGCCTTGACTTACATCTGGTTTACAACCTTTGTGTTACCTACCCCGTACACAGCCTTGTCTTACATCTGGTTTACAACCTCGGTGTTACCTACCTCGTACACAGCCTTGGCTAACATCTTGCCGACAAACTCAAACAACGTCAGGTGGTTCTCTTGTATATGTGATGTAGAAGATGGGTAGAGCTTTTGTTCACTTGTCACCTATCAGAGAGAAATAAAACGACTGTGTATCAATCACTTCGTTTAGCTGAACTTAATTGTTCATTAATGGAATAAAGACAGACCTACTGATCCTTTTCTAATTTCTGCGGAGCCTTGACAAATCTTTTCAAGGGTTGTATTATTAGGGGCAGGTCCATCGCTCTATTTACCTGAAATGTTATAACATAATAGGGGATTGCCATTTTAAATCTGTATGAACATTCTGTAAAAACAAAACATAAAGAGTTCTGACTCTAGAGAAGGTTTGTAAATTGTAAATTTAAACTCATTTTCTCTTTACACAATACAGAGGCAGTTCAAATACAATAAAACACCAAGACTTTATACAACAGACAGTTACCTTGAATAGGTTAAGTGAAGGATCAAACACTTTGGTAATGGTTTCCTCCAAAAACTCTTTAAACACACCGTCCTGATCAATACCTGCCTCATCCAGGCCCTTTCAAAAAACATCACAATAAACCATCACATGATGTAAACAAACTAGTAGAGACATGTTTTAAGTGAATTATAAAAAGAATGACTGTTACCTGTCGTCAGTAATATTGAATATAGAGGTTATAGGGAAAATAGCTTTCAAGCGTCACGAAAAAAGAAATTAATTAATGATAGTAAGACTTCTGTGATATGTTGGGGTCAGCCAACGTCAATGGAGGCATACTATCAAAACTGTCATCCTATGTTAATAATTCTTACCAAGCTATTTCCAATGAACAACTTTACTCTCAACTAGAGGCCCACTGGCCTTGACAGTTGCCTGAGGTAACCAATATTGAATTAAAGGTGACAGGGTAAGGAGTTTTTAAGACCTTGTCTAAGGTGATATTAAAATCAACCTATAGTAATGCTCAAAAAACTACTTTTCCTATAGAAATTATATATAATTGTGGTAAAGCACCTTTCGATCTTTCCATCCAGGATGAGCTTTGATTCTACAATATCTGGGTATTGTGAGGAAGATTTTTTTTAAAAATTTGAGTCAATTAGACCACTTCTGGCCCTGTCCCTCAGCCCTCTTTTTAGTCAGGCAAGGGTCCTGCTAAATTTCATTGAAATTGGTTTGGGGTTTTTTGAGAAGAAATAAAAAAGTTTTAAGTTTTCAGACTCACAATAAATGGACGCACAACACAGGACAAAGGCCACCTTTGATTGATTTTCTAATAATCTTACCTGTTCATTGATGAACTTGACCCTGATGACTCCCTTCATTGACCGAGCAGGTAGTTGAGCCAGTTGTCTGTATCCATCCTATAAACAAGGTAAAATATTATGACTGCTGGCTATTAGTATAATGGAAATGCACAAAAAACAGCATAGAAATATCCTGACAACATGGATATGGTGTGAGAGGAAGTACATGTCACCATTGAAACATTGTGGAATGTAATATGGTGTGACAAGATGTACTGGTCATCATAGAAACACTGGTCACCATGGAGACACAAAGGACTGGGATATGGTGTAGGAGGACAAGTTACTATGGAAACACAGCACACTGGAATATGGTGTAAGAAGATAAGTTACCATGGAAACACACAGTAGACTGGGATATGATAGAAGAGGATAAGTGACCAAGGAAACACAAAAAGACTGGGATTCAGTGTGAGAGAATTGGTAAGTAACCATAGAAACACAAAGTAGACTGGGATATGGTGTTAGGGGATTACATATGTTGACAGGATAACATCTTTGTCATCTACGATTCTAGAAAGTGAATCTGAGTACTAGTTTGACTCATTACCTCAACAACACGTCCCCTGTTGATAGTGATAAGTGTAGACTGGGGTGAGGCACACGCTGACTCAGTCAGCCCCATCACTTCCTTCTCCTTTGTAACATTACGCCGGAAAATCTTCACCCGCTGTAAAACAGATCATCATTTTCCAACATTTAAAAAACAAAGATACTTCTACAAATGTTTATTAGCAATGACAATCATTTTCATCTTAACTTCAAAAAGATTGAGCCTGAATATGATTTCTGGAACAAATTTCTCCAATTATCAAATGTACAGCACGATAAGCTTGTCTTAACTATATTTAGTACTGATAACTTACCTCTGAGAATGGTATAATGTGTGGTACTTTCTGCATTAAATAAACAGCAGTCTTCCTTCCCTTTTCTAGTTCACTGATAAATAAACTGGGCTTGATGTCTCTGTAAAATATGTACTGTAAAGCATTATCTATCCTACGAGGAGTAGAAGTCAATCACAACAGGCGAAGAGGCCAGGTTCATCAATCTATTGTTGATTGGTTTTGCTCAAAACGGGGCTTTTTCAGGACAAAGCTACAATATATTTCTTACTTATAAAGTACATAAAATGAGGATACTTATTAGCTTGTTGTAATATAATATCTCTTCCTTCAACCATTCTGCATACTTTCAGGTATCCAGACGGAGGTGACCAGGAACCCGTTACCCACCATTTCAAGCGTGCCTGGTGTTGGCGCTATCTTTTCCTACTTTTGTAGTAATAGGAATTTTACCCCTTTGTTTTTAGATTTCATGTAAGGTTTTTCAAGATGAAATATAAACATAGAGATTGTATATAAAGTGGAACAAAGCTCTGCAGCATTTCTAATTTAAGTTAAATGATCAGTATCTGGATGTCATTCCTTAACTTAATGTGATAGAGAAACCTCCTGACCTTATTAACCAATGATCCTTTTCTGTGTAGGACTTCCGACAGTCTCTCTCATACAGAATCATCAGCAGGCCCCGCGCGGCTCCAAACATATCATTAGTACTAGCTGTCTGTATATCTGTAAATATCGCCATAAAGTCTTATCATCATACCACTATGTTGTATATGATTTCGTTAAATGTTTCTTACTAATAAGTTGCCAATGTCAGAGTCAGATAAACGCTTGTTACTTCAGAATTTACTATGTTTATTTTGACAAGTGTTTGTTACTTATGTGATAAGTATTTTTGATTCAAACACTGGTATTTCTTACCTATAAGGTTGTGCCAGATAACACGAAACACGAACAGGTTGAGGAATTCACTCATCTTCATATAGTCTGTAGGACTGAATATCTTTTTCTGTTCGTACATTTCTATATCATCTAAAGTCCTGAAAGCAAATATAAAACAATAAAAACTCTCTGACAACACTAAAATTCTGAGGGTAATGCTGTATTTCACAGACGATGTATATTACTGTAATATATACAAGACCTCTATGAAACTTATTTTTATTTCACCATACACCATGCTTATCTTGACTGTTGATCTCAACAGACATTTTACAGTGCTGATTTGTCAATTAAAAAAAAAAGGAAATGGTAATGGGATGTATTTTTTGAATGTCATTAAGTTATCTAGAAGTATATGACGACATCTAAGATGAATATTATCTTAATCTTGGTCATATAGAATGAATTCATCAGCACAAAAAAAATATATTTATTCAATAACATGACAAGCATATTTTATTACTATATGTCACCTGTATACAACTTAAGTCTACTTACTTGATGTAGTGACAGTTATATCACCTGTATACACCTTTAGTCTACTTAAGTGATGTAGTGACAGTTATATCACCTGTATACACCTGTAGTCTACTTACGTGATGTAGTGACTAGCTGATTCACAGAACACTGTTAGAAGACTAAACACTGGATGTATGGTGGAGTTTGGTGTCTGACTGAGGAGCTCCACAAAGGTCTTGAGGCCACAGTTGGGACCCATGTCACATAAAAATTTCCACAGGATAGGCAGTAGAACGTCATTATAACTCAGTCCTCCCAGGATGTCTAGTCGGAGCTGTGACAGTGTGTTGATCGTAGTCTGGTAAAGGGCACATGGTAGACACGTTGATGTCGCTATGGAACTCTCCAGTTTTATCTTCACTGGAGGTTTAGAAGAGGCTTTGTCTAAAACTCGCAGAACTATGTCTGGGACAAAAACAAATTAACATGATTAGTCCCCTGTGTTCCCTCCAGAGGTGAAACATAAAATATAGTGCAGAGAGAACTTTAATGGAGGAAAGACCAGTGGTGACATAGTGAAACATAAATTACTTGGTATCGAAAATTTTAATTAGTTTTTATTCTGTGCCACAAATTAACATTCGCGGATAATGTACTTGTGTTACATCTTAATCTAAATAAAGTGTAAATTTTACAGAGTGTGAAATATGCTCTTTGCTTATATTTAACAATCTTGTTAGTTTCGATGGAAGTGAGCAAGGAGTCTTCCTATGGGAGGAAGCTTGCAAAGATGGGCAGGTGACTCTAAACCTTTTCCACATCAGTTCAAGGAGTTAAACTCCAGACATCTAGGTGAAAGGTGAAAGTGTTACAACTGCACCACCAGACCACCTGCTGGAGGTGTGTAACAGGTGATTAATAATTTATACCTGTTATATTTATGGTTGCATTTCATCCAAAAAAGACATTAGGTGAAATTTATCTGTAAAGAGTGTTATAATATCTAGGGACTCAAAAAGCCTATACAATTACATGAGGACTCATAAAGAGTAAAGTATTAATTCAGGACTAACTTTTTGATGGTGTGGAAGATTTGTTGCTCTGTTTTTCTGTGTCAGCCTCGACGTAGGTAATAAGTTCAAGGAAGAGAAGTCTTATCATCTTCTCACACCACAGTAGCTGTAGCTGTTTCACAACATATGGCATGGCTGCATGGAGGCTGCAAAAGTAAGTCTCAAAATTAAAACATCACTATGAACAACATGGCCTGGTAGATTCTGCAACTGTCAGCAAGGAAATTAAAAATATAATTATGATTGACATTACTGAATGGAGGCTGTAACAGTCCGCAAAGATATTAAAACATTACTAGGACGACTTATTTTCTGAGTTCCGAAAACAACCAGCCAGAGGACTGGGTAAGGTCATAGGTCTTTGATCCGAGAAAACCAGCCAAGGACTGGGTAAGGTCACAGGTCTTTGTTCCGAGAAAACCAGCCAAGGACTGGGTAAGGTCACAGGTCTTTGTTCCGAGAAAACCAGCCAAGGACTGGGTAAGGTCACAGGTCTGTGTTCTGAGAAAACCAGCCGAGGACTGGGTCAGGTCAGACTTACAACTGGTCTGTGTTCTGGGAAAACCAGCCGAGGACAGGGTCAGATCAGACTTACCACTGGTCTGTGTTCCAAGAAAACCAGCTGTGGACTGGGTCAGGTCAGACTTACCACAGGTCTGTGTTCTGAGAAAACCAGCCGAGGACTGGGTCAGGTCAGACTTACCACTGGTCTGTGTTCTGAGAAAACCAGCTGAGGACTGGGTCAGGTCAGACTTACCACTGATCTGTGTTCTGGGAAAACCAGCCGAGGACTGGGTCAGATCAGACTTACCACTGGTCTATGTTCTGGGAAAACCAGCCAAGGACTGGGTCAGGTCAGACTTACCACTGGTCTGTGTTCTGAGAAAACCAGCCAAGGACTGGGTCAGGTCAGACTTACCACTGGTCTGTGTTCTGGGAAAACCAGCCGAGGACTGGGTCAGGTCAGACTTACCACTGGTCTGTGTTCCGAGAAAACCAGCCGAGGACTGGGTCAGGTCAGACTTACCACTGGTCTTTGTTCTGGGAAAACCAGCCGAGGACTGGGTCAGGTCAGACTTACCACTGATCTGTGTTCTGGGAAAACCAGCCGAGGACTGGGTCAGATCAGACTTACCACTGGTCTGTGTTCTGAGAAAACCAGCCAAGGACTAGGTCAGGTCAGACTTACCACTGGTCTGTGTTCTGAGAAAACCAGCCGAGGACTGGGTCAGGTCAGACTTACCACTGGTCTGTGTTCTGGGAAAACCAGCCGAGGACTGGGTCAGGTCAGACTTACCACTGGTCTGTGTTCTGAGAAAACCAGCCGAGGACTGGGTCAGATCAGACTTACCACTGGTCTGTGTTCTGGGAAAACCAGCCGAGGACTGGGTCAGGTCAGACTTACCACTGATCTGTGTTCTGGGAAAACCAGCCGAGGACTGGGTCAGATCAGACTTACCACTGGTCTATGTTCTGGGAAAACCAGCCAAGGACTGGGTCAGGTCAGACTTACCACTGGTCTGTGTTCTGAGAAAACCAGCCGAGGACTGGGTCAGGTCAGACTTACCACTGGTCTGTGTTCTGGGAAAACCAGCCGAGGACTGGGTCAGGTCAGACTTACCACTGGTCTGTGTTCTGGGAAAACCAGCCGAGGACAGGGTCAGGTCAGACTTACCACTGATCTGTGTTCTGGGAAAACCAGCCGAGGACTGGGTCAGGTCAGACTTACCACTGGTCTGTGTTCTGAGAAAACCAGCTGAGGACTGGGTCAGGTCAGACTTACCACTGGTCTGTGTTCTGGGAAAACCAGCCGAGGACTGGGTCAGGTCAGACTTACCACTGGTCTGTGTTCCGGGAAAACCAGCCGAGGACAGGGTCAGGTCAGACTTACCACTGGTCTGTGTTCCGAGAAAACCAGCCGAGGACTGGGTCAGGTCAGACTTACCGCTGGTCTTTGTTCTGGGAAAACCAGCTGAGGACTGGGTCAGGTCAGACTTACCACTGATCTGTGTTCTGGGAAAACCAGCAGAGGACTGGGTCAGATCAGACTTACCACTGGTCTGTGTTCTGGGAAAACCAGCCGAGGACTGGGTCAGGTCAGACTTACCACTGGTCTGTGTTCTGAGAAAACCAGCCGAGGACTGGGTCAGATCAGACTTACCACTGGTCTGTGTTCTGGGAAAACCAGCTGAGGACTGGGTCAGGTCAGACTTACCACTGATCTGTGTTCTGGGAAAACCAGCCGAGGACTGGGTCAGATCAGACTTACCACTGGTCTATGTTCTGGGAAAACCAGCCAAGGACTGGGTCAGGTCAGACTTACCACTGGTCTGTGTTCTGAGAAAACCAGCCGAGGACTGGGTCAGGTCAGACTTACCACTGGTCTGTGTTCTGGGAAAACCAGCCGAGGACTGGGTCAGGTCAGACTTACCACTGGTCTGTGTTCTGGGAAAACCAGCCGAGGACAGGGTCAGGTCAGACTTACCACTGATCTGTGTTCTGGGAAAACCAGCCGAGGACTGGGTCAGGTCAGACTTACCACTGGTCTGTGTTCTGAGAAAACCAGCTGAGGACTGGGTCAGGTCAGACTTACCACTGGTCTGTGTTCTGGGAAAACCAGCCGAGGACTGGGTCAGGTCAGACTTACCACTGGTCTGTGTTCCGGGAAAACCAGCCGAGGACAGGGTCAGGTCAGACTTACCACTGGTCTGTGTTCCGAGAAAACCAGCCGAGGACTGGGTCAGGTCAGACTTACCGCTGGTCTTTGTTCTGGGAAAACCAGCTGAGGACTGGGTCAGGTCAGACTTACCACTGATCTGTGTTCTGGGAAAACCAGCAGAGGACTGGGTCAGATCAGACTTACCACTGGTCTGTGTTCTGAGAAAACCAGCCAAGGACAGGGTCAGGTCAGACTTACCACTGGTCTGTGTTCTGAGAAAACCAGCCGAGGACTGGGTCAGGTCAGACTTACCACTGGTCTGTGTTCTGGGAAAACCAGCCGAGGACTGGGTCAGGTCAGACTTACCACTGGTCTGTGTTCTGGGAAAACCAGCCGAGGACAGGGTCAGGTCAGACTTACCACTGATCTGTGTTCTGGGAAAACCAGCCGAGGACTGGGTCAGATCAGACTTACCACTGGTCGGTGTTCTGGAAAAACCAGCCGAGGACTGGGTCAGGTCAGACTTACCACTGGTGTGTGTTCTGAGAAAACCAGCCGAGGACTGGGTCAGGTCAGACTTACCACTGGTCTGTGTTCTGGGAAAACCAGCCGAGGACTGGGTCAGGTCAGACTTACCACTGGTCTGTGTTCTGGGAAAACCAGCCGAGGACTGGGTCAGGTCAGACTTACCACTGGTCTGTGTTCTGAGAAAACCAGCCGAGGACTGGGTCAGATCAGACTTACCACTGGTCTTTGTTCTGGGAAAACCAGCTGAGGACTGGGTCAGGTCAGACTTACCACTGATCTGTGTTCTGGGAAAACCAGCCGAGGACTGGGTCAGATCAGACTTACCACTGGTCTATGTTCTGGGAAAACCAGCCAAGGACTGGGTCAGGTCAGACTTACCACTGGTCTGTGTTCTGAGAAAACCAGCCGAGGACTGGGTCAGGTCAGACTTACCACTGGTCTGTGTTCTGGGAAAACCAGCCGAGGACTGGGTCAGGTCAGACTTACCACTGGTCTGTGTTCTGGGAAAACCAGCCGAGGACAGGGTCAGGTCAGACTTACCACTGATCTGTGTTCTGGGAAAACCAGCCGAGGACTGGGTCAGATCAGACTTACCACTGGTCTGTGTTCTGGAAAAACCAGCCGAGGACTGGGTCAGGTCAGACTTACCACTGGTGTGTGTTCTGAGAAAACCAGCCGAGGACTGGGTCAGGTCAGACTTACCACTGGTCTGTGTTCTGGGAAAACCAGCCGAGGACTGGGTCAGGTCAGACTTACCACTGGTCTGTGTTCTGAGAAAACCAGCCGAGGACTGGGTCAGATCAGACTTACCACTGGTCTTTGTTCTGGGAAAACCAGCTGAGGACTGGGTCAGGTCAGACTTACCACTGATCTGTGTTCTGGGAAAACCAGCCGAGGACTGGGTCAGATCAGACTTACCACTGGTCTATGTTCTGGGAAAACCAGCCAAGGACTGGGTCAGGTCAGACTTACCACTGGTCTGTGTTCTGAGAAAACCAGCCGAGGACTGGGTCAGGTCAGACTTACCACTGGTCTGTGTTCTGGGAAAACCAGCCGAGGACTGGGTCAGGTCAGACTTACCACTGGTCTGTGTTCTGGGAAAACCAGCCGAGGACTGGGTCAGGTCAGACTTACCACTGATCTGTGTTCTGGGAAAACCAGCCGAGGACTGGGTCAGATCAGACTTACCACTGGTCTGTGTTCTGGAAAAACCAGCCGAGGACTGGGTCAGGTCAGACTTACCACTGGTGTGTGTTCCGAGAAAACCAGCCGTGGACTGGGTCAGGTCAGACTTACCACAGGTCTGTGTTCTGGGAAAACCAGTCGAGGACTGTGTCAGGTCAGACTTACCACTGGTCTGTGTTCTGAGAAAACCAGCCGAGGACTGGGTCAGATCAGACTTACCACTGGTCTTTGTTCTGGGAAAACCAGCCGAGGACTGGGTCAGGTCAGACTTACCACTGATCTGTGTTCTGGGAAAACCAGCCGAGGACTGGGTCAGGTCAGACTTACCACTGGTCTGTGTTCTGAGAAAACCAGCCGAGGACTGGGTCAGGTCAGACTTACCACTGGTCTGTGTTCTGGGAAAACCAGCCGAGGACTGGGTCAGGTCAGACTTACCACTGGTCTGTGTTCTGGGAAAACCAGCCGAGGACTGGGTCAGGTCAGACTTACCACTGATCTGTGTTCTGGGAAAACCAGCCGAGGACTGGGTCAGATCAGACTTACCACTGGTCTGTGTTCTGGAAAAACCAGCCGAGGACTGGGTCAGGTCAGACTTACCACTGGTGTGTGTTCCGAGAAAACCAGCCGTGGACTGGGTCAGGTCAGACTTACCACAGGTCTGTGTTCTGGGAAAACCAGTCGAGGACTGGGTCAGGTCAGACTTACCACTGGTCTGTGTTCTGAGAAAACCAGCCGAGGACTGGGTCAGATCAGACTTACCACTGGTCTTTGTTCTGGGAAAACCAGCTGAGGACTGGGTCAGATCAGACTTACCACTGGTCTGTGTTCTGGGAAAACCAGCCGAGGACTGGGTCAGGTCAGACTTACCACTGGTCTGTGTTCTGAGAAAACCAGCCGAGGACTGGGTCAGATCAGACTTACCACTGGTCTTTGTTCTGGGAAAACCAGCTGAGGACTGGGTCAGGTCAGACTTACCACTGATCTGTGTTCTGGGAAAACCAGCCGAGGACTGGGTCAGGTCAGACTTACCACTGATCTGTGTTCTGGGAAAACCAGCCGAGGACTGGGTCAGATCAGACTTACCACTGGTCTGTGGTCTGGAAAAACCAGCCGAGGACTGGGTCAGGTCAGACTTACCACTGGTGTGTGTTCTGAGAAAACCAGCCGAGGACTGGGTCAAGTCAGACTTACCACTGATCTGTGTTCTGGGAAAACCAGCCGAGGACTGGGTCAGGTCAGACTTACCACTGGTCTGTGTTCTGGGAAAACCAGCTGAGGACTGGGTCAGGTCAGACTTACCACTGGTCTGTTTTCTGGGAAAACCAGCCGAGGACAGGGTCAGGTCAGACTTACCACTGGTCTGTGTTCCGGGAAAACCAGCCGAGGACAGGGTCAGGTCAGACTTACCACTGGTCTGTGTTCCGAGAAAACCAGCCGTGGACTGGGTCAGGTCAGACTTACCACAGGTCTGTGTTCTGGGAAAACCAGTTGAGGACTGGGTCAGGTCAGACTTACCACTGGTCTGTGTTCTGAGAAAACCAGCCGAGGACTGGGTCAGATCAGACTTACCACTGGTCTTTGTTCTGGGAAAACCAGCTGAGGACTGGGTCAGGTCAGACTTACCACTGATCTGTGTTCTGAGAAAACCAGCCGAGGACTGGGTCAGGTCAGACTTACCACTGGTCTGTGTTTTGGGAAAACCAGCCGAGGACTGGGTCAGGTCAGACTTACCACTGGTCTGTGTTCTGGGAAAACCAGCCGAGGACTGGGTCAGGTCAGACTTACCACTGATCTGTGTTCTGGGAAAACCAGTCGAGGACTGGGTCAGATCAGACTTACCACTGGTCTGTGTTCTGAGAAAACCAGCCGAGGACTGGGTCAGGTCAGACTTACCACTGGTCTGTGTTCTGGGAAAACCAGCCAAGGACTGGGTCAGGTCAGACTTACCACTGGTCTGTGTTCTGGGAAAACCAGCCGAGGACTGGGTCAGGTCAGACTTACCACTGGTCTGTGTTCTGGGAAAACCAGCCGAAGACTGGGTCAGGTCAGACTTACCACTGGTCTGTTTTCTGGGAAAACCAGCCGAGGACAGGGTCAGGTCAGACTTACCACTGGTCTGTGTTCCGAGAAAACCAGCTGTGGACTGGGTCAGGTCAGACTTACCACAGGTCTGTGGTCTGGGAAAACCAGCCGAGGACTGGGTCAGGTCAGACTTACCACTGGTCTGTGTTCTGGGAAAACCAGCCGAGGACTGGGTCAGGTCAGACTTACCACTGGTCTGTGTTCTGGGAAAACCAGCCGAGGACTGGGTCAGGTCAGACTTACCACTGGTCTGTGTTCCGAGAAAACCAGCTGTGGACTGGGTCAGGTCAGACTTACCACAGGTCTGTGTTCTGGGAAAACCAGCCGAGGACTGGGTCAGGTCAGACTTACCACTGGTCTGTGTTCTGGGAAAACCAGCTGTGGACTGGGTCAGGTCAGACTTACCACAGGTCTGTTTCCTGGGAAAACCAGCCGAGGACTGGGTCAGGTCAGACTTACCACTGATCTGTGTTCTGGGAAAACCAGCCGAGGACTGGGTCAGATCAGACTTACCACTGGTCTGTGTTCTGGGAAAACCAGCCGAGGACTGGGTCAGGTCAGACTTACCACTGGTCTGTGTTCTGAGAAAACCAGCCGAGGACTGGGTCAGGTCAGACTTACCACTGGTCTGTGTTCTGGGAAAACCAGCCGAGGACTGGGTCAGGTCAGACTTACCACTGGTCTGTGTTCTGGGAAAACCAGCCGAGGACTGGGTCAGGTCAGACTTACCACTGGTCTGTGTTCTGGGAAAACCAGCCGAGGACTGGGTCAGGTCAGACTTACCACTGGTCTGTGTTCTGGGAAAACCAGCCGAGGACTGGATGCCAGTGGGTCAGGTTGGACTTCTTGTTTAGCACATACACTTTACAACTCTCCAACAAGCGGATCACAACCGTCTATAAAGCAAAAATGTGTTAAAATGTATTATTAGATTGCTTTATTCCCATTATATCTGTCCAGAGGGAAATTAATAATGGTCTAAAATTAGACACACAATTGAAAAGTACTTTATTACTTTATGCATTTTGATGTCACCAGAGAAAAGTATACAGAATAAATAAAGGATATTCTGTACTTCTTGATGAAAAGAAGTTTTAATTCATCAAGTGGGGTGAAAAGTGATTTTGTTTGTGCCTATGCTAGCGTGTTTGAACAATATGACAGTTTCCACTTCCTACCACTTTACTGAGCTTTCTTTGCCAGAGTTATTCTTCCTAGTCTACAAATGTTGTGATCTGATTTGCTAAAAATGAGAAAACTTATATTTACTGTACAAGAATGTAGCAAAATGATGTTTGTACTTGTGTCTGTAAACAATATCAAATTATGTGACAAACAGGTTTTTTACTTTACTGTGTCTGTGGTAAAATGAAAAATTCTTTACTACCATTCGAAAAATCTTGTCAGATGTAAAATGGTATCTTGCGTAAGACACAACATGTCAATTTATCTGTATGAATAGATACCAAGAAATCATATAACTGTGACATGTGTGTTCACTGTTTTATTGTAATGTATTATAAATTTTCTCTGTTTACATCAATTGTGAAACAATATGTAAAGAATAGAGCCAACGCTGCTGTTGCATCAATGGAGGTCTGCAGGTTCTTTGCCTTCCGCCTGGATACCTGAGGGGTATGCAGGGGATTGATGAGAAGGGGTGAGCTTAAATAGGGATGGTTCAATCCAACAGACTGGAGGTAGTCTCTTCAAAGTATTATTAGGTAGTTGGTCAAAGTTGGGACCTACCACTTAATAAAACTTTGAAGAACCCGCCTCCAGTCTGTTGGATTAATTCATCCCTATTTAATTGTGAAACAAGTTATATCAACTACTTTAGTTGGGACAGATCTTGTTGTATACTTACCATGAAGCTCAATGTATTTTCCACCAGACCCTGTAACATAGTAGTGGTATAATCATAATACATGTAAAGTTATCTAACTGAAAGTTAACAAGAAAATCAGCACCCATTTAACCATCATATTGATTATCATAATTCACACAAGTAACTCAAAAATTGGTTTACCTTATACTGTATTGTTAGAAATGTGCAAAGACAATTTTATTTTAGTATATTCAAAGTCATTCAAAATGGTGTGAAACAAAGTAACAAAACTGCACCAAATTTACGAACATTATGGTACTTACCTCTAGCTCCAAGTAACCAAGCTGCACGAGATTTGCTAAAAAATAAAGACATATTAATTAGTCATATAATACAATTGATGATATGTCAATAATTATACAGTATCTCATTAATTTTGTATATTCTCTCTCAAATGTTGTTGTTGTTATAGAACCATAAGCACAATTTCATTAGGAAAGTGACTTTGTTAACTCATAAGGTCTGATAAAGTATACATAAGAAAATTTTATTTGGTACTGCATTTAAAGTTAGCCCCATGTCACATATCTAAAACAGATACAGCTCTGTTACTTACAATAACTTATCACAAAATGTTTGTTTATCATGACAATGAATAACACTAGAAGCTGGAATGATTATTTTTTGTTTTACATCTGTAACAATCTGATAATCAGTATAAACAGGTTACCAAGGAGACAGAGGGCGTAGTTGCCCTCTAGGGAGTTGAAGATGATCCTGGTGCTTTGTTCATTGGTCAGAAGATCCAGGGACCGTTTGAATATTCTGTGAGTGACCATCTGGTTAAGGCACTGTAGGGGAAATCAGGACATATTAAACATACTGGCAGTGTCTATCTACACAAACATATATGAACTATAACTTGTATACACAGAACATTAACTAGCTCAATGTTGTGTTACAGTTAAAGTTATATGCTACTTTTTGATAAATTTGTACACGTATCTGTAATTTCTGATAAAGTTACATTTTACTGTATATAAGCCTTCACTTAAATAAAGCTTCCAGGAGTGGGGAGAGGTGTCATCTTAGTAAGGCTCCATGCAACTTTTGATGATTTTTTTTTTCATTGGAGGAGGGAGTTTATATACAGCAAAATACCTACACTGTATATACCAGATATGTGGACAGTGTTAGGACAAGGACATTTCTGCTTTAGTATACCTAATATATCAAGTTGCCAAATTGCCATACTTAAAGATCTTGTATTTAACATTTTATTGAGATGGTGTGTTCACAAAAGTTCAGTTCCTGTGTATAATTATTTACTGATATAACCCCTGGTTACCATACTTATAAGATCATGTATATAATTATTTACTGAGATAACCCCTGGTCACCACACTTATAGATCATGTGTATAAATATTTACTGATATAACCCCTGGTCACCATACTTACAGATCATGTGTATAAATATTTATTGATATAACCCCTGGTCACCATACTTACAGATCATGTGTATAAATATTTATTGATATAACCCCTGGTCACCATACTTATAGATCATGTATAAATATTTATTGATATAGCCCCTGGTTGCCATGTGTATAAATATTTACTGATATAACCCCTGGTCACCATACTTACAGATCATGTGTATAAATATTTACTGATATAACCCCTGGTCACCATACTTATAGATTATGTGTATAAATATTTACTGATATAACCCCTGGTCGCCATACTTTCAGATCTTGTGTATGAATATTTACTGAGATAACCCCTGGTTGTCATACTTACAACAGGAGACAAGGTTGACATGTGACACACAATAGCAGGCACTGAGAGGATGTGTAGTATAAACACGTTCATCAGGTTTTCAGAGAAATTGGAAGCAATGAGAGGCCTGAAAACATAAGGTTTATAAGATCATACTGATAATGTGGATATATGATCAGAGTATCCTATTAATCACTATTTAATCTTTGTTTGAAACAATGGAATAACATTTAACATGTATAGTAAATTGTTTCAGGAAGCAATATTAATGAATGTGCAGAATGAAAGAGATACCTTAATGCCAGGGTGATGACTGCAGACAAGGAGGCGTGTTTGAAGGCAGGTTTGGAGGCAGCCAGGCCCCTGTTGAGTAATCCCTATAAAAACAAAACATTCTACGTAATAACGACAGAAAGATAGTCAGACAATGGAGATAGGGGAGGTAGAGTGGGAGGGGGAGGGGGAGGAGGTGGGGTTGGTGGGGGGAAGGGCCTTAATAGCTCTGTTGGTATTAGGTTTAGTATTTGCTACTTGTAATCATGTGAGAGAGATAATTTTCACAAACATGAAGTTTTGGATAAATATTCCTTTGGTTAATATCCAGTTTGTAAATATTCAATAAAGGGACATAACTCACCTGAAGTATTGGGTACATTCCTTTAGTGTTGAGATTTCCCATCAAATTGTTGCAAAGTTGATTCATCATAGAGGCCAGAGGTTCACCTGTAGGTTAAATCAACTGCAGTAAACCTTGACCTTAGTTAACCATGACTTTTTGGTCAAGGTCACTGAAAGCCATAACACCTAACAATTAGACTTAAAAAGTGTTATTTGAGAAAAATTGGTGTATCTAAGTGGTATCATTTTAATGTTTTCTTTGTATTTTAATATACATCCAAAATTACGTCTGAAATATCAATAAGATTTTAAATGTCTGTAGTATATTTTCTTTCATCTTTCCAATGAGATACGAGATGTCTGTAGCATCTTTTTCTTATACCTGTCTTTCCCTTGAGTATTTTCCATGTGCTGGTGCTGGTAAAGGTGATCAACAGTCGTAAGTGTAACATAATGGACTGCATTTCTGTGTGGTTTTCAGGCTGTAATATGACACCAAAAAATCCTCCATAATATTAAAAAAAGATAATACATTGTTGTTTAAATCATAAGTTAGGTCTTAATTATTCTTCTTTGTGAAAATATCTCTGGATAATTTTCAGAATGATAGCAACTTTTAAAAATGTAAATCTTACGCAATACATTCAACGAGACAAAATTAAAGTAATACAAATTTCTATTTACATGTCTTTGTGAAATACTCCTGACCTTAAGTAATGTCTACAGAAGAATGATAGAAACCGACCCTGGGGGTAAAATGATAGAAACCGACCCTGGGGGTAAAATGATAGAAACTGACCCTGGGGGTAAAATGATAGAAACTGACCCAGGGGGTAAAATGATAGAAACTGACCCTGGGGGTAGAATGATACAAATTGACCCTGGGGGTAAAATGATAGAAACTGACCCTGGGGTTAAAATGATAGAAACTGACCCTGGGGGTAAAATGATTGAAACTGACCCTGGGGGTAAAATGATAGAAACTGACCCAGGGGGTAAAATGATAGAAACTGACCCTGGGGGTAGAATGATAGAAACTGGTCCTGGGGTAGAATGATAAAGACTGCCCCTGGGCATATAATGATAAAAACTGCCCCTGGGCATAATGATAAAAACTGCCCTTGGGGGTAGAATGATAGAAACTGACCCTGGTGGTAGAATGATAGAAACTGACCCTGGGGGTAGAATGATAGAAACTTACCCTGGGGGTAGAATGATAAAAACTGACCCTGGGGGTAGAATGATAGAAACTGACCCTCGAGATATAATGATAAATACTGACCCTGGGGGTAGAATGATAGAAACTGACTCTGGGGATATAATGATAAAAACTGACCCTGAGGGTTCTGAGACATGAACAGCTCTGCCACATGACATTCTTCGCTTGTTGAATCCACTCAACGACATAAGGTTTCATCAGAGCCACAGATACATAGCACAACTGAAACAAATTAAATTAAAACTGACTCAGCAAACTTGATATCATACATACCGGGTAGCTGAAAATCTAATGACTGATACAAGAGAGGAGAGGTAACTGCTTACACTGGGTACAGAGATATCAATTCATACAGAAACAGTGATGTACAAGAAATGTTCAGTGAGGCTTTTCTTTCACATTAATATCACTTTACTTTTTTCACTTGCAGACCGTCAAATTAAGTATAAGTTTTTTCTTTACATGAAACAGAGTCTTAGAGAATAATTATTGTGGTCATTTTACACTAATTGGTAACAGTCACCTACCTTTATCTGTTCTGTATCCATGGAGGCCAACAGATACCGACATAAAAATTCAAAATTCTACAACAAAAAGCAACATGTATAAGTTACTGGTGTTTTTCTGATAGGTAAAACATAAAAGGACAATTAGTCATTGGAAAGGCTATTCAACTGTGTGCTTTTCTTTTCTGTTTTCTTTTTTTACATCAGTATCAAATATCCAAGTATAAATTGTGTAGACATTGAAAAAAACAGCTTTATACACACATAGGTATATCTAATAACTTTACCTTTTTGTCATTTTCTGGTGAAAATGTAAAGAAAAATTGTTTGATTTTCTTGTAGGCTTCCAGGGCTGTGAAAGAGAATATAACAATATGAAAGGAGAATAAAAATTCAAGTACACAGGCATCAAATGGACGAGAATATTGCGATTAAATAAGACAGGTAAAGAAATGTTAAAATCTTATCTTATGTCAAGGGCAGACAACCTATTCTGGGACAAATGCCATGTCTGTTATGTTTAATATCTGTTAGGTTGGACCACTAGAGAATATATATTCACCATATTGTTGAAAAAAAAATTGTACACAGGATAACATATCTTTGATATTTTTTGTTTATGCATTAAACAGAGAATATACCATTAAAATTTTATCCCTCTATATACATTTTGTACATTTACAGGGCAAATCTAACCTTTCACATCCTTACACATGTACCAGTATATACAGTGAAATATATCCTTCTATGTCTAAAAAAGTAAATTTTAATTAACCACACTGCATACAGTAGCTGACTGGTAGGGCTTACTCGTAATGATCTTTTGTTCTGACTGGAAGGGCTCACTCATAATCTTTGTCATAACAATCTTTTGTTCTGACTGGTAGGACTCACTCATAATAATCTTTTGTTCTGACTGGTGGGGCTCACTCATAATGATCTTGTGTTCTGACTGGAAGGGCTCACTCATAATGATCTTTTGTTCTGACTGGTAGGGCTCACTCATAATAATCTTTTGTTCTGACTGGTAGGGCTCACTCATAATGATCTTGTGTTCTGACTGGTGGGACTTACTCATAATGATATTTTGTTCTGACTGGTAGGGCTCACTCATAATGATCTTGTGTTCTGACTGGTAGGGCTCACTCATAATGATCTTTTGTTCTGACTGGTAGGGCTCACTCATAATAATCTTTTGTTCTGACTGGAAGGGCTCACTCATAATGATCTTGTTTTCTGACTGGTAGGGCTTACTCATAACAATCTTTTGTTCTGACTGGTGGGGCTTACTCATAATGATCTAGTGTTCTGAATGGAAGGGCTCACTCATAACAATCTTTTGTTCTGACTGGTAGGGCTCACTCATAATAATCTTTTGTTCTGACTGGAAGGGCTCACTCATAATAATCTTTGTTCTGAGTGGAAGGGCTCACTCATAATGATCTTGTTTTCTGATTGGTGGGGCTCACTCATAATAATCTTTTGTTCTGACTGGTGGGGCTCACTCATAATAATCTTTGTTCTAACTGGAAGGGTTCACTCATAATGATCTTGTTTTCTGACTGGTGGGGCTTACTCCTAACAATCTTTTGTTCCGACTGGTGGGGTTTACTCATAATAATCTTTGTTCTGACTGGAAGGGTTCACTCATAATGATCTTGTTTTCTGACTGGTAGGGCTTACTCATAACAATCTTTTGTTCTGACTGGTGGGGCTTACTCATAATGATCTTTTGTTCTGAATGGAAGGGCTCACTCATAATAATCTTTGTTCTGACTGGAAGGGCTCACTGATAATAATCTTTTGTTCTGACTGGAAGGGCTCACTCATAATAATCTTGTGTTCTGACTGCTAGGGCTCACTCATAATAATCTTTTGTTCTGACTGGAAGGGCTCACTCATAACAATCTTGTGTTCTGACTGGAAGGGCTCACTCATAATAATCTTGTGTTCTGAATGGAAGGGCTCACTCATAACAATCTTTTGTTCTCACTGGAAGGGCTCACTCATAATGATCTTGTTTTCTGATTGGTGGGGCTCACTCATAATGATCTTTTGTTCTGACTGGAAGGGCTCACTCATAATGATCTTTTGTTCTGACTGGTAGGGCTCACTCATAATGATCTTGTTTTCTGATTGGTGGGGCTCACTCGTAAGTGATCTTTTGTTCTGACTGGAAGGGCTCACTGATAATAATCTTTTGTTCTGACTGGAAGGGCTCATTCATAATAATCTTTTGTTCTGACTGTTAGAGCTCACCCATAATGATCTTGTTTTCTGATTGGTGGGGCTCACTCATAATTATCTTTTGTTCTGACTGGAAGGGCTCACTCATAATAATATTTTGTTCTGACTGGTAGGGCTTACTCATAATGATCTTGTTTTCTGATTGGTAGGGCTCACTCATAATGATCTTTTGTTCTGACTGGTGGGGTTTACTCATAATGATCTTGTGCTCTGACTGGTAGGGCTCACTCATAATGATCTTGTTTTCTGATTGGTAGGGTTCACTCATAATGATCTTGTTTTCTGATTGGTAGGGCTCAATCATAATGATCTTTTGTTCTGACTGGAAGGGCTCACTCATAATGATCTTGTGTTCTGACTGGTAGGGCTCACTCATAATAATCTTTTGTTCTGACTGGTAGGACTTACTCATAATGATCTTTTGTTCTGACTGGTGGGGTTTACTCATAATGATCTTGTGGTCTGACTGGTAGGGCTCACTCATAATGATCTTGTTTTCTGATTGGTAGGGTTCACTCATAATGATCTTGTTTTCTGATTGGTAGGGCTCAATCATAATGATCTTTTGTTCTGACTGGTAGGGCTCACTCAGAATAATCTTTTGTTCTGACTGGTAGGGCTTACTCGTAATGATCTTGTGTTCTGACTGGTAGGGCTCACTCATAATGATCTTGTCTACATTAAACAGCTATAAACATACTTACATGGCAGTAACTTGGGTTTATATTCATCGTCTGGATTTTCTGGAATCTGGAGTAGTTCATTAATACTAGCCCTGTAAAACATGATTCTTTTGTCATAAATTTATCACAAAAAAGTGAACAACATGTATTAAATTTTTTAGTGTTCTTTTGTTTATTTAAGGAGATAACCTCATCAACACACAGTAACATTATCATACCTTTATCAGTCTGGTTTTTACTTATCATAACATGGCAATGCCTTGACAATCAATATTGCATCCAAATGTTTTCTAGGATCAATAGCACATACAAATGAAGTATAATTAACAGACAACTCCAATTATTCAGCAGGTCACAGACACAAGTAGTTTGATATAGAGGTTAGACTGCAGGTCTAGAAAAAAATTTTTACTGTATCTGAGCTAATTATAACTGCTTGGTTTGAACCAGAACTATACAGGAATATAAAAACGTACTTTAATCCTTTCTGAAACCGACGCCTGGTCAGAAAACCTCTGATGTGTGCCTGAAAAAAAAAATTGCAACAATCATTTTAACCAAATAAAAATATAAGGAGAAAATATCCTAGCTCATCATCATGTAAAACAATAATTAAATCATGCACTTCCCCTTAAAGGACCAATGTCAATCATTGATTGAAAAGCACTATGTCCAGATAACAGTCAGACAATATCTGTTGCCATTGTTAAAACAACAAAATATTTCACAGTCCTATAATAAGCCTATCCTCGACATAATGTAAATAGGTAAGTTCCCTCCTTATGTTTACTTCAGGATCAATACAGTCATGATATTGTTACAAAGAGTTCATGATCAAATAGCACATCAAGCTATTTCATTGTGAACTCTGTATTACTTTGTATTGTGGTAGAAATACAAGATAGTTTTTGTCTTTCTGAATGACAAATAATTATATATATATATGACACTTACCTGTAATGTTATAGCATACTTTTCTCGTTCCTTTCCCTGAGCTCTCTCTGCTCGTGCAGCCTTTGTCTGCTCAAGGAACTGGTTCTTTGAACTGGATCCTAACTTATTAAACATTTCTGTAATAATAAATGATAAAATGTCACCATTTTAAGTTATTAAGCCAGCTTACAGTAAATAAGTGTACACAACATGAACTGCAGATGGACTTTGTGTCCAGGCAGACTTTTTTACTAACATTCATTATTCATCATCTATGCGATATCTCTGCTTTTAAACCAATCAACACTTAATGTCATCTCTGGTTGAACCTGTTATTCACCATTAACAATAAACCTAAATAATTTTAATGTTATAGATGTGAAACAATAACAATAGATCTTGAGTTTATTCTAAATAGCTATAACATAGTTTATAAAAACTGTTTTTTGTATTCAGTTCCTACATTGTGTTTGTCCCAGCAGGCCATGATTGACCGAGAACTGAAGGTATGAGCTACACTTGAAGAGATGCTGTAACTGCCTTCCTAAAACAGCAGCTTCAACCTATTATTTAATCGGGTAGCAGAGTAAGAGAGAATTATTGTCATTTTTGCATATTTTCATTAGTTATTATGAACAATTACTATTTATTGATTAATGAGCATCATTACTATTCAATGTATATCTTTTCTTAATGTAAGTGTTTTTTATGGTATTTTCATCTCATTACTCAATAATCTTAATAACATTTCCTATTGACAGTACAAACTCACTCCCTGTCCTGGAGACATACAGTCTGACTCCAAATTTTCTTTGTTCCAACACCAAACACTGAAAATTTGATGGACAGATAGATGTCACACCAGACATGTACATACTACAAAATGTAAAAAATTTGATTTTCAGAACCAGGTGAAAATAGGTGGCCATTTCATGAAATATCAAAACTACTCATGTAATCTCTGACCTTTAAGTACCTCCAGATATGTACTTTATGCATGTTAGTATTAATTCTGCTGTAAAGCTAAACCTTCGTCCCCTGTTTCATCAACGGATGATCCCAATTTCTGTACTCTGCAGAAATATTTGAATCATGACTACTTAAATCACTCAAAAAATTTACAAGAAATGATGCGATTTCAGGGATGATCTTGTGGGTGAGTACAAGGTGTCCTGGGCCCCTCAAAACTAAAAATGACCTGACAGTTTTTCATTTTACATATGATGACCAATCTTACACATCACCAAGACTGTCAAAAAAGCCCATTGTTCTCTCAGCTTCATTATCTGTAACCCAAAACACTGCCCACACTCCTTCTGAACGTCAGTCTACCTCTGCCTTGTAAGGTTAATCTTGGAGTATGAATGTGTTGTTTTAGGACCCATTACGACATAGCAATCCTAAAAAGGGTATACATTACCACCATTGCCTACATCAAACTTCCTGACACCTGAAGGCAACTCCAAAAAAATATGCCCTAGATATTTCAGTGTTTTTCCCCTATAGCAATACAATATTAAAACATTCAAGTAACCACAACTAGAGATACAACGTTCAAGACGTTAGAAGCAACGAGTTTAAGAACGTCTTCTTCCCATGTAACATTATCGCCTGGTACATGCTTGATAAGAAAACAGTCAACAGTGCCACAACTGAGACCTTCAGTCATTGGCCTCCAGGAAAACTAAGTAACACTGAAACCTTCCCGGAATGCATTACATGTCCATAAGGGCATTGCATTGTAAACACACATCTTATTTATGGCATTGACTTAACAATGTTTTAAATGGCCAAGTCCCCAGGATTTTCTTTCTTCTCCGTAGTAGTACCCTGCTATGGTGAAAAAGTGTCCTTTAAAGCTCTAAAGAAAAGATGATCATTTACTTGGTATACAGAGCCATTATACCACAGGGGCTAGTCTAGATAAGTTAATTACATTTTATTAATGATTAAAATACAGAGTAAGAAAATTTGTCTGGACGAGCCCCTGTGAATATATACAAATCGATAGCCATATTTAACATATCAAACACGAAACAGTGTAGAAGAAAGGTGTATAATAATATGAAAATTATAATGGCACTCTAGTTCAAACGAGCATACTTTATGGCACCAAGCATCGTCGGCAAACTTCTTGTTTAATACGTAAACACAGCTGAGATCTTCTTCGGTACGGATTGTTTTCACGGAAGTAGATTCACAGGTGGCGCTCTTATTTCCGGTTTACAACAGGGATGATCTCAAAACTATTAAAACCATGGTTCCGTCATCTAAAGTCAGTACATTGGGGAACAATGATGTTTGAGCCATTGGTAGCATTTTTTGACTGAGTAGCAACAAACCTTAGATTAACAGAGACGTTCTTCCATGTCCCGAAACTAGAAATAAATTAGTCTGGAGAAGGGTAGTGAGTAATTATTTGTTGAAGCTACTATGCAATGTTATTACTGTAAGTTCCCGTCTGCATGCTGCTCGATATTGTTTTATGAAAATAATTTTTTACAATCGTTCATATTTTTTAATAATTTGGAATCAACATAATGTTGATTTGTTTTATCATATAAAAAATAAACTCATCCAAATTGATGCTTTCTAATCTAAAAATAATAAAATATAGAGAAATACGTGGCGACTATATATACAGCAGTCCATATTAATGACTCATCGATACAAGTACATTGATGCCATGTTTACCTGTACTGAGTTGGGAACTGAAATTATGTGTCATTTTCACCTAAAATATGACACAACTAATTTTTAATTAAAGTTTGTCAAAGTTATATCAATGTGATGGAAAATTACTATACTTGATAGCCAGAGACGAGATTTGTACATAAGACTGTTTTTATTTCACATTGAAGTGTCAAAATAATCGTTTTGTTAAGAATTTGACAAGACTATGAAGGAGATTCATGAGCGAGTTTCAACTAAAAAATGACACAACTAATTTTCTTTTAAGAATTTTGAAAATTATATATTTGTGATGAAGAATTGTTTGATTTCCTGACCAGAGGCATACATTTTGGAGTTTTTTTTATATAAAAAACGATACATTAACATTTTTCTGAAATGCCGCTTTATAATCTATAGTGAAATTATCGTTCACCTGGAGCGAGAAACTGCGCATGCGCAGCAAAACATGTCCAGAGCCAAAATACAACTTATATCTTAAGACACTGACCATGTACTCTATATATCCCGCAACACTGATTGAAAGTCAGACTATTGAAACTTAAACAGTTTTGTTGTTCATTCTGTGTTTACCTGATGTTGACGCTCCGCTGAATTTTGCCTTATGACGGACGCCAAAGTAATTGCTTCCAACCTTAATCGGATAAAACAGCAATTTTATGAATTTTCATAGATCAACATGTCCATTGCAACGTGTAAATCGTTTATTTCAACAACTATTTACATTTCTAAATGTAATATTTAAGTAAATTCAGAGAGGAATTCTGTCGAATTACCGCACGTGCTAAAACAACTGAATCAGTCAACCTTACAGCAGCATTCCATTTCTGGAAGACTTGGATGTCATTGGAAGAGTGCCTGGTCCTACAGTATAGGCATATCCAATAGTAGTGGCACCCAAGCCGAAAAACCCTGGAGAATGACGACTTTGCGTGGACATGCAACATGCTCCCAACACACGTAACGATATTAATTCACTGTTGATAACTGATTATCCATATCCAAAGAGGAGAGGGATGTAGTATCATCAGACTAAGAGTTTATTAGATTTACGTTGACAACAACCTTAAGGTCATCGTCTGTCTCAATCTCGGACAGTCTCTGTCCGGTACATGCTAGTCTGTATTAATAGGTTAGGTCTAGTCTAGTCTGTATTAATTGGTTTGGTCTAGCCTGTATTTATATCCGGTACCTGATAGCCTGTATTTATATGCGGTACCTGATAGCCTGTATTAATTGGTTAGGCCAAGCCTGTATTAATTGGTTTGGTCTAGCCTGTATTTATATCCGGCACCTGAAGTCTGTATTTATCTCCGGTACCTGAAGTCTGTATTAATTAATTTGGCCTAGTCTGTATTTATATCCGGTACCTGATAGCCTGTATTAATTGTTTTGGCCTAGTCTGTATTAATTGGTTAGGTCTAGCCTGTATTTATATCCGGTACCTGATAGTCTGTATTAATTAGTTTGGCCTAGCCTGTATATATATATCCGGTACCTGATAGCCTGTATTAATTGGTTTGGCCTAGCCTGTATATATATCCGGTACCTGATAGTCTGTATTAATTGGTTTGGCCTAGTCTGTATTTATATCCGGAACCTGATAGTTTGTATTAATTGGTTTGGTCTAGCCTGTATTTATATCCGGTAACTGATAGCCTGTATTAATTGGTTAGGCCAAGCCTGTATTAATTGGTTAGGCCTAGCCTGTATTTATATTCGGTAACTGATAGCCTGTATTTATATCCGGTAACTGATAGCCTGTATTAATTGGTTTGGCCTAGCCTGTATATATATCCGGCACCTGATAGTCTGTATTAATTGGTTTGGCCTAGTCTGTATTTATATCCGGAACCTGATAGTTTGTATTAATTGGTTTGGTCTAGCCTGTATGTATATCCGGTAACTGATAGCCTGTATTAATTGGTTAGGCCAAGCCTGTATTAATTAGTTAGGCCTAGATTGTATTTATATCCGGTACATGATAGCCTGTATTAATTGGTTTGGTCTAGCCTGTATTTATATTCGGTACCTGATAGTCTGTATTAATTAGTTAGGTTTAGCCTGTATTTATATTCGGTACCTGAAGTCTGTATTAATTAGTTAGGTTTAGCCTGTATTTATATCCGGTAACTGATAGCCTGTATTAATTAGTTAGGCCTAGCCTGTATTAATTGTTTAGGCCTAGCCTGTATTTATATCCGGTACCTGATAGCCTGTATTAATTGTTTAGGCCTAGCCTGTATTTATATCCGGTACCTGATAGCCTGTATTAATTGGTTTGGTCTAGCCTGTATTTATATTCGGTACCTGATAGTCTGTATTAATTAGTTAGGTTTAGCCTGTATTTATATCCGGTAACTGATAGCCTGTATTAATTAGTTAGGCTAGCCTGTATTAATTGTTTAGGCCTAGCCTGTATTTATATCCGGTACCTGATAGCCTGTATTAATTGTTTAGGCCGAGCCTGTATTTATATTTGGTAACTGATAGTTTGAACCGTACCATTATATATGGTTTTGAGCTATACCAGATTGTATTTCTATAGGTCTATTGTAAAGAACTATTCTGACACTGAAATAAAGGTTAGATTCCTTATTGAAATTATCATCGTTGAGCAATTTGCATATCCACTGGAAGAAATTACATTACTTAACTTTTTTTTTATTTAGACGAGGTTGGATTTTACGGAGACAGGTAACATTGGCCTTTCCAAGTCCCTTACGTTCATATGTATAATATATATATATATATATATTGATGATATCTTGTCATTAAATAAAAAAAGAAAATTGTGCATCACCACTAGTAAATCAAGAACTCTAACCAATATGGCCACAGTTTTCACCTAGCTGTATAGTAGGCGGGATGATTTCGATTTCACGGTGATTGTGAAAGTCCTATTTTACTTTCCAGCTTCTGTATGAGATTGTAAAAAAGGCACACAAGCGAATAGTAGTGTTCATTAGAAATTTAGCATTAGATAAAGTACAGCCATTCAGTATTGCATCATACATGTGTTTCGTCTTTCTAGGACTTGTCAGTGACATGAAAGGCATTTGAGGAAAATCGGAATTAATCGAAACCAGTATCCAACACCTAATAGGGAGATGCACTGGCTTCAAATTTCTATACATTTAATATATTTATTAATTTTAGATATTGAATGACAGGATTATTGTGTATTGATATCGCAGTTGATGCAATATTCCAGAGTTTGTTCCCAATATCACAATTTCCGTGTCGACAAGAGATGAACTATCAACAAAGGGTTTCGAGAGATGCATTTTGACCAAAACTATGATCACCAGTATGAGGTCATTTAGAAATATTACATTAACTCGGGAGATATGACGTAAGACGTGTTCGGTGCTCGTTGGCATAGTAGTTCCGTTGTTGTTAACATTGCTCTGATTTAAAATTCCATATTACCCCCTTGGATTGACTAAGAAGTCAGAAGACGCTTAACCTTCAGAAACACCTGTATGATCTTATTCCCTTAGTACTTTTTCAAAGATCTTCTCCTCATTTCATCAATTTGTAGTTTAAGATTTTTTAAAACAAATACAAAGTTTAGAAAAAATAAATAGATATAAATAATCAAAGACATTAATTTTGTAGGTATACATCATAACTAGGATGTATATCGAAACTCAAACAGGCATAGCCTGATGTCCGACCGCATATTCTGCATTAAGAAATTGCTTTTCGCAATATTCCATATTGTTTGGCAATAGTAATCTCACACCACTTACTGTCAAAATGTAAAGTAATCGAGGATGTCCATTTACATGTATTGTTTCGTGACTTTGTGATACACGATAATGAAGTTAATGATTAAATTGTACCGTTTTGTTAGTATAGCCGTGTATTAGTAAACAATTAGCTATTATTCGCCGGCGGCATGGTCGTCTGTTTTCATCCTGATATTAACACGTCTTTTTTGTGCCATATCGAGGAGAATTACACCATGTTTTGGAATATCTGACGATGCCCAGGTTTAATTTCCTGTCCCGTAAGACGGGTCAAACCATGGAAACCAAAAGGTCAGTTACTGAAGCTGTTGTTGCCAGAACGACCATCGCAAACATAGGATGTGAGGGTCCCTCGGGGTTTTGGGCTAGGCGGAGTTAGATCACTAATGAAAAACAGCAAGATAATACATCATCGGAAGTTACATTATTAGATTAAATGAAGTGGCATTGGATTCTATCGAATTTTTATTCATATATATTCATGAACATTTTTTTGTGAAACATATATAAAGTCCACAGCGCGCGATAGTTTTGCGCACCACTACGTCAAACGTTATTCATTCGATACTGTTTCTGCGCATGCTCAATTTTGCAAAGATCTGTCTTTACGGCACGAACTTGTTGTTGAAGTTCTAGGAGGTGCTGGAACGGAACGCAGTCCATTGCCGGTAAACAGTTCCAGCGCGTGTTTTATTAGCACGGACTTGTGGAAACGTCCGGGGATAAGATGGATTCGTATATTCTATTAATGTGTGTTTTGCAGCTATTGAAGGTAGGTTATTTTAAATTAAACTAATAAGATTAAAATGCAAAAAATACTTGGAATTCATTTCAGCAGAAGTCCTATACATGTTACTGTGCCCAATTAGTATGTATTCACCATTAATCAATGAACTAGGTTATTGCAAAATTAATTTCGATGCAATACAGACTTAGGGTTGGTGTTTCCCCAGCTTTTCATATGGTCTCTACAGCAAGGTCAGACGTGAAAAAATAATTGTATGAAATAGATCTCATAGAAAAACAGTTTATTTTAAATAGCATCTACAAATGAATATCCATTATCATTGTTCCTCGTGAATACTTTATTACGTGTTATCTTACTGGAGACTTAACACCAAACAAACGCCTACCAACATAAACTATAACTTAAGGGCAAAACGTGTGAATACGTGTCCGGCATTCCCTATCTCTATAATAATAATAAGAAGATTCTGTGTCCAAGGTCGACACAACAATATATCTTTAGCGTTAACGAGTAAATTTTGTAATTCAAACAATGCTATGACAACTGAAGTCATGATATATTAAATGTTGTTGTAACGCGTAGACAACAACGTTTTTGTTGCTTTTATTTTCGAGACCAGCGGCTTGCGGTAAGTCGACGGCGGTAAGATAATTTTCTTCGTCAAGTATTTGCTCTGTTTCAAAGCTGCGTTTTTCTGTCTTCATACTGAAAGCTCAGTGATGTTATAGGACTTGCGATGACGTACCAAATAGTGAAGTTACTTACGTCGATATGTCTGTGATTACGTCAGATTTGAAAAGGAAACTCATACAGTGAATATATCATCATACAATCCTATCCAGCATAGAAGGGTATTTATGGAAGAACTTTTCACATCATATTTACTTATCATCATACAATCTTATCCAGTATAGAAGTGTATTTATAGAACTTTTCACCTGATATTTACTTATCATCATACAATCTTATCCAGTATAGAAGTGTATTTATAGAACTTTTCACCTGATATTAATTCATCATCATACAATCTTATCCAGCATAGAAGGGTATTTATAGAACTTTTCACCTGATATTTACTTATCATCATACAATCTTATCCAGCATAGAAGTGTATTTATAGAACTTTCCACCTGATATTTACTTATCATCATACAATCTTATCCAGTATAGAAGTGTATTTATAGAACTTTTCACCTGATATTAATTCATCATCATACAATCTTATCCAGCATAGAAGTGTATTTATAGAACTTTTCACCTGATATTTACTTCATCATCATACAATCTTATCCAGTATAGAAGTGTATTTATAGAACTTTTCACCTGATATTAATTTATCATACAATCTTATCCAGTATAGAAGTGTATTTATAGAACTTTTCACCTGATATTTACTTATCATCATACAATCTTATCCAGCATAGAAGTGTATTTATAGAACTTTTAACCTGATATTTACTTATCATCATACAATCTTATCCAGTATAGAAGTGTATTTATAGAACTTTTCACCTGATATTAATTCATCATCATACAATCTTATCCAGTATAGAAGTGTATTTATAGAACTTTTCACCTGATATTTACTTATCATCATACAACTTTATCCAGTATAGAAGTGTATTTATAGAACTTTTCACCTGATATTTACTTATCATCATACAATCTTATCCAGTATAGAAGTGTATTTATAGAACTTTTCACCTGATATTTACTTATCATCATACAATCTTATCCATCATAGAAGTGTATTTATAGAACTTTCCACCTGATATTTACTTATCATCATACAATCTTATCCAGTATAGAAGTGTATTTATAGAACTTTTCACCTGATATTTACTTCATCATCATACAATCTTATCCAGTATAGAAGTGTATTTATAGAACTTTCCACCTGATATTTACTTATCATCATACAATCTTATCCAGTATAGAAGTGTATTCATAGAACTTTTCACCTGATATTTACTTATCATCATACAATCTTATCCAGTATAGAAGGGTATTTATAGAACTTTTCACCCGATATTTACTCATCATCATACAATCTTATCCAGCATAGAAGTGTATTTATAGAACTTTCCACCTGATATTTACTTATCATCATACAATCTTATCCAGCATAGAAGTGTATATAGAACTTTTCACCTGATATTAATTATCATCATACAATCTTATCCAGTAGAAGTGTATTTATAGAACTTTTCACCTGATATTTACTTATCATCATACAATCTTATCCAGTATAGAAGTGTATTTATAGAACTTTTCACCTGATATTTACTTATCATCATACAATCTTTATCCAGTATAGAAGTGTATTTATAGAACTTTTCACCTGATATTTACTTATCATCATACAATCTTATCCATCATAGAAGTGTATTTATAGAACTTTTCACCTGATATTTACTTATCATCATACAATCTTATCCAGCATAGAAGGGTATTTATAGAACTTTTCACCTGATATTTACTTATCATCATACAATCTTATCCAGCATAGAAGTGTATTTATAGAACTTTTCACCTGATATTTACTTATCATCATACAATCTTATCCAGTATAGAAGTGTATTTATAGAACTTTTCACCTGATATTTACTTATCATCATACAATCTTATCCAGTATAGAAGTGTATTTATAGAACTTTTCACCTGATATTTACTTATCATCATACAATCTTATCCAGCATAGAAGTGTATTTATAGAACTTTTCACCTGATATTTACTTATCATCATACAATCTTATCCAGCATAGAAGGGTATTTATAGAACTTTTCACCTGATATTTACTTATCATCATACAATCTTATCCAGCTGTATTTATCATACAATCTTATCCAGTATAGAAGTGTATTTATAGAACTTTTCACCTGATATTTACTTATCATCATACAATCTTATCCAGCATAGAAGTGTATTTATAGAACTTTTCACCTGATATTTACTTATCATCATACAATCTTATCCAGCATAGAAGTGTATTTATAGAACTTTTAACCTGATATTTACTTATCATCATACAATCTTATCCAGTATAGAAGTGTATTTATAGAACTTTTCACCTGATATTTACTTATCATCATACAATCTTATCCAGCATAGAAGGGTATTTATAGAACTTTTCACCTGATATTTACTTCATATCATCATACAATCTTATCCAGTATAGAAGTGTATTTATAGAACTTTTCACCTGATATTAATTCATCATCGTACAATCTTATCCAGTATAGAAGTGTATTTATAGAACTTTTCACCTGATATTTACTTATCATCATACAATCTTATCCAGTATAGAAGTGTATTTATAGAACTTTTCACCTGATATTTACTTATCATCATACAATCTTATCCAGCATAGAAGTGTATTTATAGAACTTTTCACCTGATATTTACTTATCATCATATCCAGTATAGAAGTGTATTTATAGAACTTTTCACCTGATATTAATTCATCATCGTACAATCTTATCCAGCATAGAAGTGTATTTATAGAACTTTTAACCTGATATTTACTTATCATCATACAATCTTATCCAGCATAGAAGTGTATTTATAGAACTTTTCACCTGATATTTACTTATCATCATACAATTTACTTATCATCATACAACTTTATCCAGCATAGAAGTGTATTTATAGAACTTTTCACCTGATATTTACTTATCATCATACAACTTTATCCAGCATAGAAGGGTATTTATAGAACTTTTCACCTGATATTTACTTATCATCATACAATCTTATCCAGCATAGAAGTGTATTTATAGAACTTTTCACCTGATATTTACTTATCATCATACAATCTTATCCAGCATAGAAGTGTATTTATAGAACTTTTCACCTGATATTTACTTATCATCATACAATCTTATCCAGTATAGAAGTGTATTTATAGAACTTTTCACCTGATATTTACTTATCATCATACAATCTTATCCAGTATAGAAGTGTATTTATAGAACTTTTCACCTGATATTTACTTATCATCATACAATCTTATCCAGTATAGAAGTGTATTTATAGAACTTTTCACCTGATATTTACTTATCATCATACAATCTTATACAGTATATAATTGTATTTATAGAACTTTTCACCTGATATTTACTTATCATCATACAATCTTATCCAGTATAGAAGTGTATTTATAGAACTTTTCACCTGATATTTACTTATCATCATCATACAATCTTATCCAGTATAGAAGTGTATTTATAGTTTTCACCTGATATTTACTTATCATCATACAATCTTATCCAGTATAGAAGTGTATTTATAGAACTTTTCACCTGATATTTAATTCATCATCATATCATCATACTTTTCAATATTTACTTATCCAGTATAGAAGTGTATTTATAGAACTTTTCACCTGATATTTACTTATCATCATACAATCTTATCCAGTATAGAAGTGTATTTATAGAACTTTTCACCTGATATTTACTTATCATCATACAATCTTATCCAGTATATAAGTGTATTTATAGAACTTTTCACCTGATATTTACTTATCATCATACAATCTTATCCAGTATAGAAGTGTATTTATAGAACTTTTCACCTGATATTTACTTATCATCATACAACTTTATCCAGTATAGAAGTGTATTTATAGAACTTTCCACCTGATATTTACTTATCATCATACAATCTTATCCAGTATAGAAGTGTATTTATAGAACTTTTCACCTGATATTTACTTATCATCATACAATCTTATCCAGTATAGAAGTGTATTTATAGAACTTTTCACCTGATATTACTTATCATCATACAATCTTATCCAGCATAGAAGTGTATTTATAGAACTTTTCACCTGATATTTACTTTTCATCATCATACAATCTTATCCAGCATAGAAGTGTATTTATAGAACTTTTCACCTGATATTTACTTATCATCATACAATCTTATCCAGTATAGAAGTGTATTTATAGAACTTTTCACCTGATATTTACTTATCATCATACAATCTTATCCAGTACAGAAGTGTATTCATAGAACTTTTCACCTGATATTAATTCATCATCATACAATCTTATCCAACATAGAAGGGTATATAAACTTTTCACCTGTTATTTACTTATCATCATACAATCATTACATAGATGTTATTTCAGATATATCATCATAAATCTTATCCAGCATAGTGTATTTATAGAACTTTTCACCTGATATTTACTTATCATCATACAATCTTATCCAGTATAGATATTTATTTTCACCTGATATTTATTTGGTAATCATATTAATGGCTGTTCTTTTACCGATTAGTTATCATCATACAACTATCCAGTTATAGAACTTTTCACCTGATATTTACTTATCATCATAGAACCCTTACCCATAGCTTTTGTATTCTTTCATCATACAATCTTAAGTTCGTATGTTGTTGAATATATAATCTTATCCACACATGTATTACTACCAAATTATCATCTCAATCTCCTCCAATAGGTCAAACAGATTACAATCATCCGAGTGTATATAAAAATATAAATAAATGTATAAACGTATTATAACATTCGTGTGTATGATTAGCTTTTGATATTAATGTATCACCAATCGATGATATTGTATCAAAAATCTTATCCAGCCTTTGAAATTTATAGATTCTTTTCAACCATGATCATCATACAATTTATCCAGTAAGGTCAAACTGTTACACCGATATTTACTTATATCATAAAATATGTATTACCATAAATTGTGAAATGTCCGCTTTGATAAATTAATAACATGAGTGTGTATGATTGGATGTTTCGGTAACGTAATGGACTGATAAATCGTTTTAGATGTCCCAATATCCCTGGTCTCTAATAGGATCCGGGCGTGGAGCAGTACTCATTAGACAGTACGCTGTATAACATAATACGAGGCGTGTTTATTAAAAAAGTATTCAAGCATAAGTCGTCTTGTTGTTAATGTAAAATATGATTGCTCCACTTATTCAATGAAGAGTTAATTACAACATCATAAAACATATGTATTTTCAGGTTGTTGGTGGATCTGGCGATTCAGAGATACAGGGTGAGTGGAGTGGTACTGTCTATAAATATAGGACACGATGTTACTGTCTATTATCATGTTATGACATAGTAACATATAACAGGTTAATGAATAATCACATTTCCTATTGTTCTTTATTCCTAATTTAGCCTGCCCTTTTTAAATCCTACTCCAGCCTGTTCCTTTGACTTTTTATTCCTAATCTAGTCTGTCGTTTTGTTTTTTTTGTTTACCGCTTTTGATACTGTATTACCATTCGTTGTCAAATCTCCCGCCTTTGATACTGTATTACCATTCGTTGTCAAATCTCCCCGCTTTTGATACTGTATTACCATTCGTTGTCAAATCTCCCCGCTTTTGATACTGTATTACCATTCGTTGTCAAATCTCCCCGCCTTTGATACTGTATTACCATTCGTTGTCAAATCTCCCCGCTTGTGATACTGTATTACCATTCGTTGTCAAATCTCCCCGCCTTTGATACTGTATTACCATTCGTTGTCAAATCTCCCCGCTTTTGATACTGTATTACCATTCGTTGTCAAATCTCCCCGCCTTTGATACTGTATTACCATTCGTTGTCAAATCTCCCCGCTTTTGATACTGTATTACCATTCGTTGTCAAATCTCCCCGCTTGTGATACTGTATTACCATTCGTTGTCAAATCTCCCCGCCTTTGATACTGTATTACCATTCGTTGTCAAATCTCCCCGCCTTTGATACTGTATTACCATTCGTTGTCAAATCTCCTCGCCTTTGATACTGTATTACCATTCGTTGTCAAATCTCCCCGCCTTTGATACTGTATTACCATTCGTTGTCAAATCTCCCCGCCTTTGATACTGTATTACCATTCGTTGTCAAATCTCCCCGCCTTTGATACTGTATTACCATTCGTTGTCAAATCTCCCCGCTTGATACTGATTACCATTCGTATTCCCCGCTTTGATACTGTATTACATTCGTTGTCAAATCTCCCCGCTTTTGATACTGTGTTACCATTCGTTTTCAAATCTCCCCGCTTGTGATACTGTATTACCATTCGTTGTCAAATCTCCCCGCTTTTGATACTGTATTACCATTCGTTGTCAAATCTCCCCGCCTTTGATACTGTATTACCATTCGTTGTCAAATCTCCCCGCTTGTGATACTGTATTACCATTCGTTGTCAAATCTCCCCGCTTTTGATACTGTATTACCATTCGTTGTCAAATCTCCCCGCTTGTGATACTGTATTACCATTCGTTGTCAAATCTCCCCGCTTGATACTGTATTACCATTCGTTGTCAAATCTCCCCGCTTGTGATACTGTATTACCATTCGTTGTCAAATCTCCCCGCTTGTGATACTGTATTACCATTCGTTGTCAAATCTCCCCGCCTTTGATACTGTATTACCATTCGTTTTCAAATCTCCCCGCCTTTGATACTGTATTACCATTCGTTTTCAAATCTTCCCGCTTGTGATACTGTTTTATCAATCGTTGTCAAATCTCCCCGCTTTTGATACTGTATTACCATTCGTTGTCAAATCTCCCCGCTTGTGATACTGTATTACCATTCGTTGTCAAATCTCCACGCTTTTGATACTGTATTAACATTCGTTGTGAAATCCTCAAGCTTTTGATACGGTATTACCATTCGTTGTCAAATCTTCAAGCTTTTGATACTATCATATCATTTGATCGAATATCTCCTTGCTTTTGATATTGCCTTTCCTTTCTTAGCACACTGTTGCTAATTTTATTATCGTCCCATTTCTTTCTTTGTTTTTTCTGTTCATTTTGACATATAAACACGTTTTATGTTGTCTTTCCTTTTATTTCGATATTCCATCACCTTCGATATTGTTTTTGTTTGGTTGTTCTTATTTAGTTTTTGATGTTGTTTCTGACTGCTGTTTTAAACATGTTTGAATTTTGTTTTTGTCAATTTGTATTTAATGATTTCGAATGTTTTTATTTCTCGTGAATATTTATCTTAACCTGTCCTGTTGTACTGTGGTTCCTTCAATGTCGTATTTCATTGCGTAGTGGATGGTGGTGTTGGGTGTTGTTTTATCCATGACGTTGAAGATCTTGTCAGTTTCTTCAAATTTACTCTTTATTTCTTTCAGTAATGTAACAATTATGGACCACGCCCTTTAGAATTGAAAACATGGCAGACTACACAGGAAATTCGATCTTTATTTCCAAGGAAATGATCATGACTCATTTCCAATAAGCGCGATGTTTTTAAAGGCATTGGTCTGAACCATCCATCACTGGGTAGTAACAATCCTGCTTCTCAAATCTATGTTGTTAAAATGTCGCAAATGATTCGATATTACATATTTTTTCTCTCGATATAACATTTTAACGATAGATGTCAACAGTTATTATTTTGAAATCATCCAAAGGTAGAGTTTTCACATACTCATATAAGTAGCGTTCTAGGTTGTGAAACTAAGGTACTTAGCATCACTGCTGATTCACTGAAGGACAAAACGTCTATATAATGTATAAAAGTCAATGTTTAGATAAGTTGTATATAATGATAAGGGGTATAAAAAGGATTTATTTCCTTGTTTGTTCCCTGTTTGCTTTCGAGAGAGATATGTACATATACATTTTTAAGGACTATGTTTTATTGTCATCGTAATAAAAGCCATAGTAGGTAATCTATTTTGTAGTACTTCATGTGTTCGATGTTGATAAGTATTAATCAGTTTTCCGTTCCTATCAATTCAGCTCTTACTTTGAGAACGTGACATTATTTTAAATGGTCTTCGAGGAAGCAAACGAGACCCACCATTACCAAACGTCGGGTTTTATTGTCTTGTTTCTAGGATATTAGTGTTCGTTAGTTTTTTCTTTTTTCATATTTTCATCCCAATTTAAATGTTTGAATAAAATACTGGACTATCGGTATTATTTTCTTGTTTTATCTTGCTCTATCTATTATTGATGTTAAACATAAAGATATATTTGTAGTTTGGTTTTATTACATAATGTTAAGACATTCTAGACTTATAATTTGATGATACAGCTAGTGATGTAAGTGCTGTCGAATTAATTGTATAAATATCAGGTGTCAATTCCACGACCGTATTATATATGACGTCAGCAATGATGTTATTTGATTGGAACAACCCCGGGATCGGTCCCTATTTGATTAGGAAAAGGAAAGTGTTCCTGTCATTCATTGATGTCGTTATGTAACCTAAGCATGTGGAGCTCGCTACTGGGAATTGATGAAGTATGTGACTAATGACGAGCTCGCGTCACATAAACAGAAAGACTGAATACCAAAGAAAATATATTTTAGGACAAAGGAAGTCTTCTCATCATCTTGATTGGTCTTAAACTGAATGATGACTCAGAATTATTGTATTGTCTTTATTTTTGAACACTACTTGTACTGAGTAGTTAATAAGACAGTTCCGCATCTAGTGTCGACCTAGATACTGGCGATTAGGTTCAAGACAGTTCCGCATCCAGTGTCGACCTAGATACTGGCGATTATGTTCAAGACAGTTCCGCATCCAGTGTCGACCTAGATACTGGCGATTAGGTTCAAGACAGTTCCGCATCCAGTGTCGACCTAGATACTGGCGATTAGGTTCAAGACAGTTCCGCATCCAGTGTCGACCTAGATACTGGCGATTAGGTTCAAGACAATGGTTTCGCATCCAACCTCAACATAGATATTAATTATCATATTCAAGACATTTGTTTCGCATCCAAGCTCATCATAGTTATTGACAATTATATCCAAGACATTTGTTTTGCATCCACGCCCAACCTAGGTATTGGCAATCATATTCAAGATAGTGGTTTTGTATTCAAACTCAACGTCGATATTGGCAATCATAGTAAAGACAGCGGTTTCGCCTCTAACTCAACATATTTATTTATTAATGATCATTTCCAAGATACTGGACAAAAATATTGGAAATCATAATCGAAACATTATTCTGAGTATATAGTATTTGTTAACCTTTTAAAAAAGTTGTTTTATATTACAAGACAATAATGAAGGCGTTCATGACAAAAAAGAAAATACCATTATGTCAATATAATTATAATCGTAACACAAATTCAATGAAACTAAGGTAAAATATGAACAAAAGAATTAGTTACACGGAAACCCCCGAAAAAGTACATGGAGTATAAGGTGTTCCGGAAGAGTGCGCCTCTTCTGCTTCATCGACGACACCCATTAGGTAAATCTAGGTAAATCCAAGTAAGTTCTCAAATGAGAACGAGGTATACAACAACGGAACCAACAAGCAGCAAACACGTCAAGCTTCATATTGCTCAAAATTGTGATATTGGGAACAGGCCCTTGTATATCAATCGAAAAGTTTACAACATGGAAATCGAAATCATAACGCTTATCATACAGCTTCATGGAATACTGTGCATGTCGGTTTCGGAAAGTAAAAGTAAGAAAAGAAACGAAACAGTACGAGGTGAATAAAGGGTAAGCGTTTTTTGCTTCATCAACGACATCCTGCTCAATCCTCAATTCTTAACGAGCGCAAGATTATACAAAAGATAAAGAAGAGAATAGTACCTTTCATCAACGGAAACACCAGGCGACAAACTAATATGTGTCAAACACGGTCAATGATATCATCATGACGTCTATAAAACTTCCCATTATATTCATCAACCTGCATCTCTTGAAACCTGTGTTGTGCGTTTGTGAATTGCCGACATCTTGCGTGAAAGTCTTGACATCGGGAAGAGGTCCTACATATCGACTCAACTGCTACATGTAAATAGTTTTTTTTACTAGGTTTGGGGTGTAGGAATGTTGATGTCCAGAAATGAAAAATCCAAAGATCACAAAACTCTTTTAAATTCATCAAAACACTGAATCTCATGAATACTGTAAATGAACTTTTATTTTAAACTGTAACATCAGCCGTGTTGACTATTTATTACGACACCGCTAAAGGAACAAATGTTGTTTTTGATGTCTGAGGAAAATCCCGCGGAGGATAAACAATGTGTCATCGGTGGGAGGAAAACCGACTCAACAGACATCGTCCCCCGCAACCAGTGCATCTTGAACCCATCTTCTAGGGGAAAGTGGTCTTAAGTTCACGCTTGATTAACGACAGTCATTCCTTAAGCGCATTGTCGATCACGGCTACCGAGGCACCCAGCATTATATAGTGCACTTTATTTATGTTTGTTTCTCCTGTAGCATGTGGCGGAAAAGCGGCAGACATCATGTTCGTCCTGGATACGTCCGGAAGCATCAACTACATGGACTTCGAGAAAGAGATCAATTTCACCAGAGATGTCGTTTCCATCTTCGATGTCGACTCCGACAAGACGCGTGTGGGCGTTATCAGCTTCAGGTAGGCGTCATGTTATGAAATTATTTTTTCTTCTAAATAATTCTAGAACAATTATGAAACAAACTATATTATGCTATGAAAACATTCAAGAGAGTCTTTATATGCCATGGCATCTGTGTACTCGAAAGAAACTTGCGTCGTCGAGCAAGCTAAATCATATTTTTGTCCTAGTGATCGAATGGACCACATTAAAATGTTCTTGACATGTCAGCAGCTCTTTCTGTCTAATAACTAGTTTGTCCTTACTTGTGACTTTTCAACAGTACCAAGGTCATAGAAGAAATCGGCCTCGGTGAAATCAGAAACAAGGATGCGGTCCTGCATCAAATCTCCTCCTCCAACATTTTCTATCAAGGCGGGGGAACACACACGGCCGACGCCTTAAATCTGCTCTGGACCGGTGTTTTTGTCCCGGGAGTCATGAGACCGGACGTGTCACACATCGCAATCGTTCTCACCGACGGAATGTCGTATAACATGGAGAAGACCAAACAAGAAGCAATGGAGGTCAAAAAAAGGGGGATAAGCGTGTTTGTTGTTGGAATAGGTGGCGATGTAAGTACACATTTTTATATTTACATATCGAATAGTATCATTAGCCCAGTTCTTTAATGGTGTTTAAAGTATTCACATGACATTGATAAAAGATAAACTGTGCAGTCACTGATATCTTAACAATTCTATTTTTTTTGTTGGTGATATTTTTGCTTTGAACTTCCTTTTGTATCCATAGCATAGTGTAATAGATACAAAATACACTCTAACTTGAGGATGGTATTATCTGCACATCTCCAGTCGTGTTTCGTCTTGATACCGTTCTCTTTAGTTTTTATAGCGTTGTGTTGTAGTTGAAAACTGTTGATATCAGTCATGACAAGACATATTCATGATGTGGTTTTGATATCAGTTGTGACAAGACATGCTAATCATGTGGTTTTGATATCAGTTGTGACAAGACATGTTCATCATGTGGCTTTGATATCAGTTGTGACAAGACATTCATCATGTGGTTTTGATATCACTTGTGACAAGACATATTCATGATGTGGTTTTGATATCAGTTGTGACAAGACATTCATCATGGGGGTTGGATATCAGTTGTGACAAGACATGTTCATCATGTGTTTGAAAGATACATTTACTGAACGAAAACGAATATTGTCAGGAGCTGATAGCAGACATCCTGAAGGTTACATCAAGAAAGTTGAATCTCCTGGGGCATTTCTGGACATACGCTTTTGCTCTCGTGGTTTGAATTAATGTTGTCACTCCTGGGTTATATTTTGAAATATGTTAATAGCTTTTTACCCATTGTTCTTACCGAGGCAAATTGATACTCATAACTCATTAATCTTACTGAGATTAGTGTTTTGGTAATTTTAATATTGATATTTGTTAAATTTTCTGGTTTGTTGTGATCTTCTTTACTTCTAGAGGAACGTGGACACTCAGGAACTGACTGACATTGCTAGCGAACCTACCGAAAACTACATGTTCCGGATTGCTAATTTTGATGCTCTGAACTCCATCAAGTCGAAGCTGGCTAACAAAGCATGCAAACGTAATGTACAATCCATTTCTAACATATGTCAGACTAAATTGAATGTATGTTAACAGTCATTATGCTATGGATGAACTCATTATCGTCAGCACTAAATCTGTACTCGTACACTCCTTGATTCTCTTCTCTACTTTTCTGTCACTTTACCTTAACCATATTTTGATAAATTGCTTTAAATACATCTGCCAACCAAAGATTTTGTTGAAATTGATAAGTGTTTGTATATAAACGAATGTAAATTTGTATGTCACGTGATGCAGTTTTGTAGTATTTATGAGTTCGTAAGTTGTAATTGCCTATCATCCCTTTTTGACATTTATAGAAAATCTAAATAGAATTATTAATTGATACAAAGTGACGTGTCGAGGATATGTGACTGCTGCTAACTTAGTATACATGTTAACGTCAATCTCTCATAATAAACATATCCTTTAATCAAATAATCCGCATGTTGTGTAATAAATTCACCAATGTAATAATTTTGCGTACACGTCACCAGTACAATACCATGAAAAGTGTTTCGCTGGCTGTGCATTTCTGATGTCACAATATAGACAATGATACTACGTCATGAATTGAAAACGACGTTACAAAACGTCTGTCTGTGTTTGATTTCGTCCTCCGCATTGCTACTTCAAAACTTGACAAGATGTAGTTTTTTCCGAGTCATGTGATAGAAAGTATGAGATTTTCTGAAATCGTCTCCAGGTTTTCAGATCTGCTCGCCATGGCTCACAAAAATAAAAAAAATATCTAATACTCGCTTCATAAAATCCCATTGACAAACGTGTGTTAGTATAGAACGATTGTCACTGAAAAACTGGTGACATTTTTCAATCTCCCACCCTTCATATTCAACCGTCAACTTAGTAATGACTTTGTCCAATAATGCTTCAATGAATGGTGTTTCTGTTCCTATAGAGGATCCTGTCACCACTCCGGCCCCCACCCTCCCACCAATGATGGACGATAGCGGGAACAAAGGTGAGACATACAAGATCTACATGACCAGTAAAGCGACATTATCTTTAAATGAAGAAAAGAGTCGCTCAGTTAATTATTTCATAAACATACTTAAACTATTAACACGTCAAAGCTATGAAGGAGCACCTGCCTCCTGCACTACATATGGAAAAGTCTTGTTGTCTACTCGATAACATACTTTCAAAAAATTTTAGTTCTCTTTTCAATAAGATTTTGGAATAAGTTTAATAATTTGTAGATTTGTCATGTGAGAAATCTGTATTTTATTTTCTTTTATAACAGTTTTACTGGTTTATCATTCATTCACAGTGTGCATTCCAAGAGGCCCAGTGAATGCAGTATTTGGCTTTGATATGTCGGCTATCGGCACGGAGAACGCTAAATTTATCCTCCAGTTCATCCATAAAATGTTTTCTGAGCTTCCGCAGATGTCACAGCGCATGACCGTCTCGGTCATATCCGGTGGATGTGGTATTAAAGATGGCGGAGGGGATGCCTTGATAAACAAGGCACACAGCACAGACGAAATAGACCGCGGGCTCGATTTCGTATCTGTCAGGCCCTTCAACACCATCATGAAGAAAACGCGAATCAAGTTTGAGAGAAAAGCTATGAATAAAGTCGGAATCTTGTTTTTGGACAAAACGCTGCAAGATTTCGAACTCTCCAAAGCAAAGAGGGAGGCAAAGTATGCCGCCTTCCAGAGAATTGACCTCTACGTCATCGGTGTAGGTGACAGAGTGCTTGGAGGTCAAGCACAAAATCTGACCACTGGAGGCAATAACTACTTCCACGTTGACAGATACGAAATGCTTGATGATGTTAAAGATAAGATTTTATGTGCGATGTCTTAAACGTTTAGTGACATCAGTGTAGAATATAATATTCTGGATTCGTGTGAAAAATGACACACTACCACATTACCAAATTTATCATAAGAGATTTAATGGCAGAATTGTTAAATAAAACAAAATGCTTCGATAGATTGTGTTTACGGGTAGTAAATATATTTTATATCTGCACTGATTAGCTTCCTTTAACACTATAGATAAAGACATGGATTTTGTACATTTTATTGTCCCTTTTTCAATCATATCTTCTTTACATATCATGTTCATACATGTAAACAGAAAACATAAAACATTATGAGAGCAAATTTGTATCTAACAAAATGGAGGATTACATATATCAGTGTAACGTTATGAAATATTCATGGTTAATCGTCTCTCGATGTTGACCCAATCGATGTCTGCTTAATTGTGTCATGTTTATATAGTATTCACTAACCGCAGAAGAGTATTGGAATCGTCAGACTTTTGTGTGCCTTTCGTACCTCCTGTGTTATGAGAGTTCTGATCAAGATCACTTCCTTCGCTGACAACAAGAGGTTTTGTCTCGAGTTTTACGTCGCTATCATCACCATTAGCCTGCTCAGTTGTTTCAACGTTTTCTTTGTCAGCAGATAGATTAGATTCTGTTAGTGGTCCACCGTTAGGTTCCAGACCACCAATGTAATCGTGACCTTGTCCTTGTCCCTTACCAGCTGGAGAAGACATTCCATGCTGAACCAGTTCTGTCTCTACAGTCTGAATCATATCACCCACGTTTTGCTCAATTGGCCATACTTCTTCCTCGACTCCTGTTTGTAATTCCTGTAGATGCAGTAATGGGTTTTCGCCATCGAATCCTCCAGACTCCTTCGCTGTGTTATCAACGTTATCTGACAATGTGTTGGGTTGTCCAGTCCCTTGAATCGGCGCTCCGTTTTCCGCTTCCTGACCTGGCTGTTGGATATTTGGTGAATCTGTGGATTCCACGGCTGTGTGGCTGGGTGACGACTCATTCGTTGGCATGGAAATTTCGGTCATGTTGTTTGCAAGAACAAACCCTGCTTGATCTATTTCATGCTTTCCTCCAAACACTTCGACTGGTTCAGTTATTTCCTTTCCAAGAACTCCTAACATGTCTTTAACATCAGGCTGGAATGGCCACTTATCCGGTCCATGTACCTGGCCTGGGAGACCGTCGCTTGATGACAAAGATTTCCCACCCGAGAAAGAAACATCCGGAATTTTACTATTCCCGAAGGCATCCCCAGTATCTGATGACTGGTAGTTATCCTGTGTGCTTTGTGTTGTTGAACCGATTTGACTTTCGTCCCCAGTTCTCTGATCTGAGGTTTGATCCTGATGACTTTCCTGGTATTCTGGACCAGGCACATTAGTTGCACTGTCCTGGGATTCATCGGTGGTTCCATGATCTCCCATGACTGTTGGAGGCGACAGAGCTTCCTCGTCGATAGATGGACTCTCTGTAGAATGCTTAACATCGTCATTGAAAAAGATTTTCTTCGATTTCATGTCTACCTTCATGCCAACCTGCCAGGAGAGAATCACAATTTAATTATTATTTTCTAAACATAATACCCTTAATACCACTTTTCTGCATATATTAAAATCAACTAATGAATTTGCCTTATACAAAAATAGTATTTTCTCTCCATAAAACATTATGATAGATTGCAGACTTTGTATTTGAATAAATTCATACAGTCAAACCCTCTCAACTAATATTCATGATTACCTATATAAAGATATATATATAATTATGAGTATTAGTTGAAAGTTATTGAAGTTGAAATGCAAGTCACTTTCCATATCAGCATGATGTGCCGAGCCATGATAACAGTTGACAACCTGCTCCTAATCCTTGGTGAATCACTCATACTCCTGGGAAATATATTCCTTATATAATATCCTTTAGAGTGCTTGCTGGTTACCTACTCGGCTGCATTGTGAACATGTCCCAGTATTTTGGCTTTCCCAATCATTGCTCTGATAAGGTCTTTAAGGTTCAGTCTATTTCCCAAATTTTCCTCGTTTGACCTTTTCCCCTCCTTATTCTTGGCATTACTTAAGTATTAAATTTGCAACTTACCTTGGTGTCATGATTCGTCTGATCCCCAATGTCATTTACTCCAGCATTCTAGAAAAGTAAATAACACAGCTAAATAGTTATACGTATGTAATACGCTGTTTGTGTAATCAAAGGAAAAAACATAAATAATGGTGATAACAAAAATTACCTGGCCTTGTGCTGAAACTGAAGTCAGATTCACTATTCATGAAAATTGCTTCAGACAACACTTGGACAATATCCTTGAATGGAAGAGGATTTTTGTGAACTTAGAATTCTCCAGTTTTGCCCAACCCCTCCCGCTCCAGGTGGCCAGTATCCACAGGTTGTACAGAACTTATTCCGCTTCACTCAAGAGCACTTCAGACCAAATTTGCACAAAATTAAATCATTGCTACAAGAGGAGTAGAATTTCGAAGAATCTGCATTATTTTCTATATTGAGCTCCGCCCTTGCAGCCCCAAGAGGTCGAGACCCACCAGTTATACAAGATTGATTCCTCTTCATCCAGGAATGCTTCATACCAGTTTTGGGCAATTTTCATCCATTCATTCAGGAGGAGTAGGAGTTTGCAAAACTTTCCCTTTCGGGACCCGTCCATCACACCACTGGGGGCTGAAAACCAATATTTATACAAACTTCGTTCTTCTTCCGCGAAGAGTGCATCATACCAGTTATGATTACAATCTGTTCTGTCGTTCATGACAAGTAGCGACATTTAGTAAAATTTAGATACGCCGACGACGAACGCTGCGCCATGGAGTAAGCTCACCGGTCCATCTGTTAGCTAAACATGATTACAAATGTTTTGGTAACTTTTGATGACGTAAGATGAGACAACATACCTGAGTCGTGAGATTTGTGGATCCTCCAGCCGTATCGAGTCCAGGAACAAAATCCTTTGTTGCTTCGAATTGTGACCTTACGACGTTGAGTATTGCTTAAAGAAAAATCACAAGAATACCAGGATGGTATGAGTGTTCCTAAAGGAACCATTTAAACAACATGGCAACGTCAAATTTAGAATGACACAAACATAAACATCGTCACATCAGCGTGTAGGGTGATCGGAATAACACACCAATAACACATACTGATAATTACTCTGGTAACATGCAGCTACTATAGAAATAAACTTTTATACGTGTGTAATACTAATGTATTTCTTAACCTATATATCGTACAACTTGTAATTTTCACGGGTGAAAGCTTTTACGATTTTCTTTAAAAATTATATATATTTCTTAATGAACATTTCACGATCTGGTCCGATAAGAACATCTTAGATACAATTGTCTCGTTAATTCACACTTTATTAATGTAACTTGACCATCATCCCGTGAAAATAATCGGTCATACAGTACAACAGGGACAACCCATACATGATGACATAGAGCAAACTATCGGAGCATTGACAGATAACAAAAAGGACCATACGACTGAAAAAATCACCAAGATTTTACCACGTCAACACACCGGGACAAAAGATGACGATAGAAAACCAGGATATACAGAAACAGGAAACATACGCGTACATTATCGCAGATAAAGAATCCCCACAACGCTATTAAAATATATCTAAATCAAACCACATTAAAAATAATGGTATGAAAGAATCAAATTTCATAATGCACATCTTTTCAAAGTTTTCGAAAAACATTATACTACTCGAAACAGAAAATCCCGGTTATACCTTTAAACAGGCTTCCGAATGCATTTCCTATCGCGTCATTGTCTTGTTTGGTAGAATTCACACACACGATAGATGTATATATAAGTAAAACACTGAAGGAGAACCACAAGCCTTTTCTGGACAGAAACATTGTCTATATGATAAATGACTTCACTGGAAATTCACAAGTCCTTCACAGAATGGCACATGTTCCGTATTATGATATGTTTGCCTGCTCACACAGAAGCCTTTTACAAAAGGATCTTTCGTTTGCTGTAAATATTTTTATATGTTCCTTTACATAAAGATAAAGACAAATATGAGCATGTCACATGACTATTACTTAATGCATGTGTCTGTAGTTGCTGTGATATAACATCTCAGTATTCCATCTGTTACATTAGTTAGAGAGACGGTAATGGGGGCTAGGTCAAAGACACATGTCAGGTAAAGAGAGTTAATTTAGTCATTAGTAAAAGCTAAGGGTCGATATATATAAATGATCAAAACATCTTAAATACTTGTGACGTTTGTTATCTAACAGAAACATTATAACTATGAATAAGTGTAGATTGCTGACGTTGACTCTTTCTTCCGTGAAAGTGTGACGATAATGTCGACATACTGTAATATGTATAAAAAGTAACAAGATAATGTCGACATACCGTAATATGTATAAAAAGTAACAATATGATGTCGACATACCGTAATATGTATAACAAGATAATGTCGACATACCGTAATATGTATAAAAAGTAACAAGATAATGTCGACATACCGTAATATGTATAACAAGATAATGTCGACATACCGTAATATATATAACAAGTAACTAGATAATGTCGACATACCGTAATATGTATAAAAAGTAACAAGAAAGTGTCGTAATACCATAATATGTACAAATAGTAACAAACTAATGTCGACATACCGTGATATGTATAACAAGTAACAAACTAATGTCGACATAATGTGATATGTATAACAAGTAACAAGATAATGTCGACATACCGTAATATGTATAACAAGATAATGTCGACATACCGTAATATGTATAACAAGTAACAAGATAAGGTCGACATACCGTGATATGTATAACAAGTAACAAGATAATGTCGACATACCGTAATATGTATAACAAGTGTGAAGATAATGTCGACATACCGTAATATGTACAAAAAGTAACAAGATAATGTCGACAAACGGTTATATGTATAACAAATAACAAGATTATGTCGACATACCGTGATACGTATGACAAGTAACAAACTAATGTCAACATACCGAGATATGTATAAAAAGTAACAAGATAATGTCGACATACCGTGATACGTATAAAAAGTAACAAGATAAGGTCGAAATACCGTGATATGTACAAAAAGTAACAAGATAATGTCGACATACCGTAATATGTATAACAGGTAACAAGATAATGTCGACATACCGTGATACGTATAACAAATAACAAACTAATGTCGACATACCGTAATATATATAAAAAGTAACAAGATAAGGTCGACATACCATGATATGTATAACAAGATAATGTCGAAATACCGTAATATGTATAACAACTAACAAGATAATGTCGACATACCATACATAATATGTATAACAAGAAACAAGATAATGTCGACATGTTACAAACATTGTAATTCGAATACAAAATTCATGAGACGACATCTTCAGCTACGTTATCCAAGGTCAACTTAAGCAGTGTTGAGAACACATAATACAAAAATGTCAATATTATCATAATCCGAACTTAAATTAAATAAAAATAGGGCGAACTATAAACAAAAACTTATTTGCACAGAGGCGTCTGAAAAAGTACAAGGATAATAAGACCAAGTGTTCCGGAAGAGTAAGCATCTTCCGCTTCATCGACGCCACTCCCCAGGTAAATATTGGTCAATCCAAGAACGTAATGCCACGTTCTCAAATGAGAACAAGATATGGAACATTTGAACCAACAGGAAAACTAACGAGAATCAAACACGTCCAGTTTCTTACTGCACACAGAAACAGATTGTTTCTCCATGAGATCATAATGATGGCTTTCCCATGGTTTTCTCTTATCCGCATCTTTTGAAACCATGAGTTTGTTCGACAGTTGAAAACTTGTTACACGAAAATCGTGATAATGGAAAAAGGCTCTTGACTATCGAATCAATTGCGGTATGTAAACACCGTGGGTAGGGGACACAGGCTGAATCATCACGCTTATCATACAGTCTGGTGAAAAGTTGTCCATGTTGGTTTCGTTGAAGGAAAAGATCGGGATAAGCGGCTGATGTAGAAGAGTCTTTCGTGTCTTTGATATCCCATTCTGGTAGGTACATGCGATAGACGTAGTCAATAAATGTCTTGTTATTTAAAGACAAGACGTCATCCTAAATATATATTAAAATGAAACTGAATGACTTTACAAGGTCTTTGTGACTGTTTTGATAAGCGTAAGCTCCTTGATAAATTCAGACTTGTCTGAAAACAAACACAAGTCAGCCAACAAAGGGGCACAGTCAGTTATCATAGGTATACCAATAAGACCTGGGGTGATTATGACGAAACGACTAGGCCTGCTTCCGACTTCTCCGACCTTGTTCTCATTTGAGAACTATACATTGCTTACTTAGATTGAGGAAATTTAACATGGCGGGTGCCGTTGATGAAGCAGAATACACTAACTCTTCCGGAACTCCTGATCTTTTTGTTCTTGTACTTTTTCCGACGTCTCCGTGTAAATCGTTCTTTTGTCTTTTGTTCATACTTGTTCTATTATTATGGGATCAGAGATTGAATTATGGTTCTGTTAACATGTCAGAATTTTCTTTGTTCCTTTGAATACTAAATTTGTTTTTGACGTAGAACGATAAATTTCGATTTTGATCTTATATCAATAGAATCAATAGGACCAGGCAAGGCGTACATACTTATAAGATTTTTCACTCTGACAATCTAGATATCGAATATTTCATTAAGCAGCTATAGTGTTAACTCTTTCAATGCCCTAATCCTCAGCAAAATGCATCTAATATATGCTTGTCTTTTACAATATACCCTCAAAACAGTTCACATCTTTATATCATTCATCCAACCATTTCATCTTTTGCAAAGAGTACATATCCAAATATAAACTTTATATCAAAAATAAATTTTACCACTTAATGAGTATGGAATATTGTCATACAACTATTGCCACACTTCAGGAGTACAGAGTATCACCATACAACTATAGTCACACTTCAGGAGTACGAAGTGTCTCCATACAACTATAGCAACACTTCAGGAGTGTAGAGTATCACCATACAACTATAGTCCCACTTCTGGAGTGTAGAGTATCACCATACAACTATAGTCACACTTCAGGAGTACAGAGTGTCTCCATACAACTATAGCCACACTTCAGGAGTGTAGAATATCACCATACAACTATAGTCCCACTTCAGGAGTGTAGAGTATCACCATACAACTATAGTCACACTTCAGGAGTACAGAGTGTCTCCATACAACTATAGCCACACTTCAGGAGTGTAGAGTATCATCATACAACTATAGTCCCACTTCAGGAGTGTAGAGTATCACCATACAACTATAGTCACACTTCAGGAGTACAGAGTGTCTCCATACAACTATAACCATTCTTCAGGAGTACAGAGTGTCTCCATACAAATATAGTCCCACTTCAGGAGTGTAGAATATCACCATACAACTATAGCCACACTTCAGAAGTACAGAGTGTCTCCATACAACTATAGTCCCACTTCAGGAGTGTAGAGTATCACCATACAACTATAGTCCCACTTCAGGAGTGTAGAGTATCACCATACAACTATAGTCACACTTCAGGAGTACAGAGTGTCTCCATACAACTATAGCCACACTTCAGGAGTGTAGAGTATCACCATACAACTATAGTCCCACTTCAGGAGTGTAGAGTATCACCATACAACTATAGTCACACTTCAGAAGTACAGAGTGTCTCCATACAACTATAGCCACACTTCAGGAGTGTAGAGTATCACCATACAACTATAGTTCCACTTCAGGAGTGTAGAGTATCACCATACAACTATAGTCACACTTCAGGAGTACAGAGTGTCTCCATACAACTATAGCCACACTTCAGGAGTGTAGAGTATCACCATACAACTATAGTCCACTTCAGGAGTGTAGAGTATCACCATACAACTATAGTCACACTTCAGGAGTACAGAGTGTCTCCATACAACTATAGCCACACTTCAGGAGTGTAGAGTATCACCATACAACTATAGTCACACTTCAGGAGTGTAGAGTATCACCATACAACTATAGTCCCACTTCAGGAGTGTAGAGTATCACCATACAACTATAGTTCCACTTCAGGAGTGTAGAGTATCACCATACAACTATAGTCACACTTCAGGAGTACAGAGTGTCTTCATACAACTATAGTCCCACTTCAGGAGTGTAGAGTATCTCCATACAACTATAGTCCCACTTCAGGAGTGTAGAGTATCTCCATACAACTATAGTCCCACTTCAGGAGTGTAGAGTATCACCATACAACTATAGCCACACTTCAGAAGTACAGAGTGTCTCCATACAACTATAGTCCCACTTCAGGAGTACAGAGTATCACAATACAGATACAGCCACACTTCAGGAGTACAGAGTGTCTTCATACAACTATAGTCCCACTTCAGGAGTGTAGAGTATCACCATACAACTATAGTCACACTTCAGGAGTACAGAGTGTCTCCATACAAATATAGTCCCACTTCAGGAGTGTAGAGTATCACCATACAACTATAGTCCCACTTCAGGAGTGTAGAGTATCACCATACAACTATAGTCACACTTCAGAAGTACAGAGTGTCTCCATACAACTATAACCACACTTCAGGAGTGTAGAGTATCACCATACAACTATAGTTCCACTTCAGGAGTGTAGAGTATCACCATACAACTATAGTCACACTTCAGGAGTACAGAGTGTCTCCATACAACTACCACACTTCAGGAGTGTAAAATCACCATACAATATAGTCCCAGATGTGGTATCCTTACTTCAGATGTGGTAACCTTACTTTAGATGTGGTGACCTTACTTCAGATGTGGTAACCTTACTTCAGATGTGGTGATGTGGTAACCTTACTTTAGATGTGGTAACCTTACTTCAGATGTGGTATTCTTACTTCAGATGTGGTAACCTTACTTCAGACTTCAGATGTGGTAACCTTACTTTAGATGTGGTGACCTTACTTTAGATGTGGTAACCTTACGTAACCTTACTTTAGATGTGGTAACCTTACTTCAGACTTCAGATGTGGTAACCTTACTTCAGATGTGGTAACCTTACTTCAGATGTGGTATCCTTACTTCAGATGTGGTAACCTTACTTTAGATGTGGTAACCTTACTTCAGATGTGGTAACCTTACTTCAGATGTGGTAACCTTACTTCAGATGTGGTAACCTTACTTCAGATGTGGTAACCTTACTTCAGATGTGGTAACCTTACTTCAGATGTGGTAACCTTACTTCAGATGTGGTAAGCTTACTTCAGATGTGGTAACCTTACTTCAGACTTAAGATGTGGTAAGCTTACTTTAGATGTGGTAACCTTACTTCAGATGTGGTAACCTTACTTCAGACTTCAGATGTGGTAACCTTACTTCAGATGTGGTAACCTTACTTCAGATGTGGTATCCTTACCTCAGATGTGGTAACCTTACTTCAGATGTGGTAACCTTACTTCAGACTTCAGATGTGGTAACCTTACTTCAGATGTGGTAACCTTACTTCAGATGTGGTATCCTTACTTCAGATGTGGTAACCTTACTTCAGATGTGGTAACCTTAATTCAGAATGTGGTGATGTGGTAACCTTACTTTAGATGTGGTAACCTTACTTCAGATGTGGTAACCTTACTTCAGATGTGGTAACCTTACTTCAGATGTGGTAACCTTACTTCAGATGTGGTAACCTTACTTCAGACTTCAGATGTGGTAACCTTACTTCAGATGTGGTAACCTTACTTCAGATGTGGTAACCTTACTTCAGATGTGGTTACCTTACTTCAGATGTGGTGACCTTACTTCAGATGTGGTAACCTTACTTCAGATGTGGTAACCTTACTTCAGATGTGGTAACCTTACTTCAGATGTGGTAACCTTACTTCAGATGTGGTAACCTTACTTCAGATGTGGTAACCTTACTTCAGATGTGGTAACCTTACTTCAGATGTGGTAACCTTACTTCAGATGTGGTAACCTTACTTCAGATGTGGTAACCTTACTTCAGATGTGGTATCCTTACCTCAGATGTGGTAACCTTACTTCAGATGTGGTAACCTTACTTCAGATGTGGTAACCTTACTTCAGATGTGGTAACCTTACTTCAGATGTGGTAACCTTACTTCAGATGTGGTAACCTTACTTCAGATGTGGTAACCTTACTTAAGATGTGGTAACCTTACTTCAGATGTGGTAACCTTACTTCAGATGTGGTAACCTTACTTCAGATGTGGTAACCTTACTTTAGATGTGGTAACCTTACTTCAGATGTGGTAACCTTACTTCAGATGTGGTAACCTTACTTCAGATGTGGTAACCTTACTTCAGATGTGGTAACCTTACTTCAGATGTGGTAACCTTACTTCAGATGTGGTAACCTTACTTTAGATGTGGTAACCTTACTTCAGATGTGGTAACCTTACTTCAGATGTGGTAACCTTACTTCAGATGTGGTAACCTTACTTCAGATGTGGTAACCTTACTTCAGATGTGGTAACCTTACTTCAGATGTGGTAACCTTACTTTAGATGTGGTAACCTTACTTCAGATGTGGTAACCTTACTTAAGATGTGGTAACCTTACTTACTTCAGATGTGGTAATCTTACTTTAGATGTGGTAACCTTACTTCAGATGTGGTAACCTTACTTCAGATGTGGTAACCTTACTTCAGATGTGGTAACCTTACTTCAGATGTGGTAACCTTACTTCAGATGTGGTAACCTTACTTCAGATGTGGTAACCTTACTTCAGATGTGGTAACCTTACTTTAGATGTGGTAACCTTACTTTAGATGTGGTAACCTTACTTCAGATGTGGTAACCTTACTTCAGATGTGGTAACCTTACTTCAGATGTGGTAACCTTACTTCAGATGTGGTAACCTTACTTCAGATGTGGTAACCTTACTTTAGATGTGGTAACCTTACTTCAGATGTGGTAACCTTACTTCAGATGTGGTAACCTTACTTTAGATGTGGTAACCTTACTTTAGATGTGGTAACCTTACTTCAGATGTGGTAACCTTACTTTAGATGTGGTAACCTTACTTCAGATGTGGTAATGTGGTAACCTTACTTCAGATGTGGTAACCTTACTTTAGATGTGGTAACCTTACTTCAGATGTGGTAACCTTACTTCAGATGTGGTAACCTTACTTTAAATGTGGTGATGTGGTAACCTTACTTCAGATGTGGTAACCTTACTTCAGATGTGGTAACCTTACTTTAGATGTGGTAACCTTACTTTAGATGTGGTAACCTTACTTCAGATGTGGTAACCTTACTTCAGATGTGGTAACCTTACTTTAGATGTGGTAACCTTACTTTAGATGTGGTAACCTTACTTCAGATGTGGTGATGTGGTAACCTTACTTTAGATGTGGTAACCTTACTTTAGATGTGGTAACCTTACTTCAGATGTGGTAACCTTACTTCAGATGTGGTAACCTTACTTCAGATGTGGTAACCTTACTTCAGATGTGGTAACCTTACTTTAGATGTGGTAACCTTACTTTAGATGTGGTAACCTTACTTCAGATGTGGTAACCTTACTTCAGACTTCAGATGTGGTAACCTTACTTTAGATGTGGTAACCTTACTTTAGATGTGGTAACCTTACTTTAGATGTGGTAACCTTACTTTAGATGTGGTAACCTTACTTCAGATGTGGTAACCTTACTTCAGATGTGGTAACCTTACTTCAGTACTTCAGATGTGGTAACCTTACTTTAGATGTGGTAACCTTACTTCAGATGTGGTAACCTTACTGTAAATGTGGTAACCTTACTTCAGATGTGGTTACCTTACTTTAGATGTGGTAACCTTACTTCAGATGTGGTATACTTACTTTAGATGTGGTAACCTTACTTCAGATGTGGTAACCTTACTTTAGATGTGGTAACCTTACTTCAGATGTGGTATACTTACTTCAGATGTGGTAACCTAATATGAACTGATAACAAAACAAACATTTCTGCTGGTTTTTTTTTTATTGACATGAACACTTAGAGTCGATTACAGAGATGCTTGGTCTATTTGCCTGATTTATAATTTACACGGACCAATATTAAACTAAATGTAAATTACAGGAAAAATAAAAAAAAAACACATCAAAACAAACAAAAACAGAAACAATAGCTTTTACTGTAAACATCTTGTTTTAACAGTCGTCAAATTATGTCTCAAATTTAAGTCAAAGTCTCAACACACACTGCTAATGTAGGAATTACAAAGCTATATGTATATACCACATTACGTATGAATAATGATAGAAATTTCAAATCAACAATCTAAATCAAAACAATCAGATTCATGTGATTTTAAATTTGTAAAATCATGTAACGTGTGATTTTAATCCCATTTATTTAATAAAGGAAACTAAATAAAAACTAGCGATATTATTCTAGTTGAATTCAATTCCACCAACTTACAAACTTAGGATACATAATGACATTAGTGTAGGTATACACCATAAGTACAGTCCTCACACAGGTGACTATACCGTAGCTTTAGTGACATGGTGATAACATTACGCTAAGTTGCCGTTAAATAAGTCATTCCTAAATGAAGGTCACAAACATCGTACACTTTTTCACCAGACACTCCATTGGCTAAATGCGATATGTAATCGCAAAATTGTAACATAGAGTTATGAAACTATATCACTTTGTTCTAAAAAAGTGATAATTCTTCTTGGACTCTGACCTTTTGCGGATACCATTTTTAATTTTGGAAGTTATGATATACAATTTCTCTATAATAAGTCTTCTATTTTCAGAGCTCATTCTCGCCTGAATCCATTCCTTCCTTGCTGAGACCAGCCCCCTCAACAGATATGCCGCCATCTTGCTGACCGGAAACATAGTGCACCTCGTGGCTGTTATTTTGACGTCGTTGTTGCTGTTCACAGATAGGAAGTACAGGAATTAGCAGGGTTTTGTTTATGATTAAAGTCTTATGATTTATTTCATTCACACAGTACTTTGACACTGATGTGATACACAGAAAGAAGAAAAACTGCGCCATACATGTATAAATGTGTGCTTTTTAATTGGTATACAGAATCTACAACAGTTTACGGAGAAATCGAATTAGTAATCTGAGTAAAGAGGCGAGTTTTGTGAGCGAGAGTGACGGAAACAGAAGTCTTACATCTCTTATGGCGTCGTATATGTTGACGTCCCTGGAGGTGGCTACAAGTGTCCCGTTCACGTTCTCAATCTAAAAAAAACAAAGTATTTATTAAGCGGATTCATTATTATTGTAGAGGGAGTGTCTGTATATATTGAAAGCTAACAATGGGTCACGTGGGAAATATGCTAACCGAGGAAGTCAAATTATATCATGTTGGAAATATATTGGAGATACAATGGCCGTTAAAAGAGGGAGTTACATGATAAGATCACGAGAGAGGAAAAGTTATCAGAGGAAGTAACACGTGGTCACATGGGAGATACCGTTGTAGAGTAAGTAACAGGTCATGTGGTATGTATGCTGATCGTTACTAGAAGGAATGGCGACATGCAATTGTTTGAAGATAAACTGACCGTTATTAGAGGTAGTGACATGGGGTCACGGTTCGGGTCATCTTCAAAGTCAGGTATAAGATCTTCGGTTGACTTAATCTCAACCCTTATCAGTCTGAAGATAGCTGGAACATGACATAAAATATCAATGATAGTCACTAAAGAAAAATATTGTCTAAACCCTGTACTCAAATGCAGAACCGATCAAAATGATATCAGAATTTGAACGAAAGAAAGAAATACACACCTATTCATGAATAAGTACCTGCAGATTAAGAATAATAAAAACAAACAAACAAACATGTTTTCCGAATGAGATCATGGCGTCGAATATCAAACCCTGCCTAAGATATGATAATTCTTTAAATTTCCGAACATTTGCTGCATTGAACTATTCTTCACTATGTGTTAGATTAAATCCGTTTTATACTTGTCTATGTAGGATTCGAATTCAGATGAAATAACTTAGTTGTAATAAATTTCCGATGATAATACATACACTTTAGATATACCTGATGTTATAAACGTCAGCTTGTATTCGGGCGGCCTGTCACATTTATATACATGCTCTGCTTCAGAGTGATTAAGGTAATTCTATCAGAAAATACAGGTACATTTACAGATCATTCTTTCTTTCTTCAGATTTGCGATTTCCGCCCCCACCCCCATCCAAATTTCTGAAGACATTACCTTTGAGGTTATCTGCAAGCTCCTTCCCAACAGATTCCTGCACGCGTAACCTTTGATGAGATCTACAAGTTCCTTCCCCACAAATTCCCGGACACGTTACCTTTGATGAGATCTACAAGTTCCTTCCCCACAAATTCCCGGACACGTTACCTTTGATGAGATCTACAAGTTCCTTCCCAACAAATTCCTGCACACGTTACCTTTGATGAGATCTACAAGTTCCTTCCCCACAAATTCCCGGACACGTTACCTTTGATGAGATCTACAAGTTCCTTCCCCACAAATTCCTGCACACGTTTCGTTTGATGAGATCTACAAGTTCCTTCCCCACAAATTCCCGGACACGTTACATTTGATGAGATCTACAAGTTCCTTCCCCACAAATTCCCAGACACGTTACCTTTGATGAGATCTACAAGTTCCTTCCCCACAAATTCTCGGACACGTTACATTTGATGAGATCTACAAGTTCCTTCCCCACAAATTCCCGGACACATTACCATTGATGAGATCTACAAGTTCCTTCCCCACAAATTCCCGGACACGTTACCTTTGATGAGATCTACAAGTTCCTTCCCCACAAATTCCCGGACACGTTACCTTTGATGAGATCTACAAGTTCCTTCCCCACAAATTCCCGGACACGTTACCTTTGACGAGATCTACAAGTTCCTTCCCCACAAATTCCCGGACACGTTACCTTTGATGAGATCTACAAGTTCCTTCCCCACAAATTCCCGGACACGTTACCTTTGATGAGATCTACAAGTTCCTTCCCCACAAATTCCCGGACACGTTACGTTTGATGAGATCTACAAGTTCCTTCCCCACAAATTCCCGGACACGTTACCTTTGATGAGATCTGCAAGTGCTTTCCCCACTGTACTTTTTCTTCCTGGATCGCTGCTGATATTTCTGGGCACGTCCTCATTCTCTGTGCCGTTAGAGGGCGCAGTTTTGCCGTAGGATACTGGTGACAGTACTATCTGAACTACGAATACTTGAATACATATCAGAATGATGTATTTTTGAAACATCATTTTTGTGTCACACATGTGTTAATAGGATCATAAAATGGAAAGTAAACCCAACAGAGGACAGTATTTGTATGAGACTTATCTCGGGATCGTACAACAGGTTGTAAACACCTCAGATCACGTGTTTGTAACTGTTTGTGTTATGCTGGTACATTTACGGTCATGCCAGCTGTAGCAATCATGAAAGCCAATGATATAATCTCTTTGTCGACAAACAAGTACTTACTCATACTTACTCAAAGCGGGCACTAATACCTCCTCAGTCAGGAAAACTGCTGACAATTCTTAAAATCTTCCTCATTACACTCTGGTCTGGGCTCTGTATCACTACACCCCGGTCTGGGCTCTGTATCACTACACCCCGGTCTGGGCTCTATATCACTACACCCCGGTCTGGGCTCTGTATCACTACACTCTGGTCTGGGCTCTATATCAATACACTCTGGTCTGGGCTCTATATCACTACACTCTGATCTGGGCTCTATATCACTACACTCTGGTCTGGGCTCTATATCACTACACCCCGGTCTGGGCTCTGTATCACTACACTCTGGTCTGGGCTCTATATCAATACACTCTGGTCTGGGCTCTATATCACTACACTCTGGTCTGGGCTCTATATCACTACACCCCAGTCTGGGCTCTATATCACTACACCCCAGTCTGGGCTCTATATCACTACACTCTGGTCTGGGCTCTATATCACTACACTCTGGTCTGGGCTCTATATCACTACACTCTGGTCTGGGCTCTATATCACTACACTCTGGTCTGGGCTCTATATCACTACACCCCGGTCTGGGCTCTATATCACTACAACCCGGTCTGGGCTCTATATCACTACACTCTGGTCTGGGCTCTATATCACTACACCCCGGTCTGGGCTCTATATCACTACAACCCAGTCTGGGCTCTATATCACTACACTCTGGTCTGGGCTCTATATCACTACACTCTGGTCTGGGCTCTATATCACTACACTCTGGTCTGTGTTCTATATCACTACAACCCGGTCTGGGCTCTATATCACTACACTCTGGTCTGTGTTCTATATCACCACACTCCTGTCTGGGCTCTATATCACTACACTCTGGTCTGTGTTGTATATCACCACACTCCTGTCTGGGCTCTATATCGCTACACTCCTGTCTGGGCTCTATATCGCTACACTCTGGTCTGGTCTATAGTTTAGGTCCTGCTTTGTCTGAACAGTATTCAGTTCAACGTTTTCAGACTGGCCACAATGGAGATTATATCAGTGTGAAATTTCACAGTTTCAGGTTTAAGCCAATTTCAAGACAAAATTATTTTATACTATGTAGGAAATCCTTGAAAAGCAAAAGTAAACTTCAACGTAAGCATTGCGACGATTGTTTTTATTTCAAGTGCTCAATATTTCAACATAGCATTATACAAGCTAGAATTATGTTTACCCTACATTTGAATAGGACCATATATGTGACAATTATTTGGAAATGATTATCAACATATATGCGTCAGTGTTTGATATTTTGGTTCTAATATGAAACAATCAATTTATCATGAAAATCCTCTGTATGATCTTGGTGATATCCCTCATCATCGGTATTTCCCTGAGCCCCTAATCGACATCCTCCGACGATTCGCCAGCTTTTTTTTGTTCTCCCTCCGTATTCTAGTCAAAACGTCATACAAATAACATTATCTTAGATGTGAAAATGAAAAGGAAGACTTTAAGCTATATAACACAATTACCATATCATCAAAACAAATTAAGAACTGTCATTCTGAATTTAATCCGAAATACAGAACAAGACGTCCTCATTACAACAGTACTAGACGTCCCATTACAACAGAACTAGACGTCCCATTATAACATTGCTTGACGTCCCACTACAATAGAACTAGACGTCCCAATACAACAGAACTAGACGTCCCCATTACAACAAAACTTGACGTCACATTACAACAGAACTAGACGTCCCATTATAACATTGCTTGACGTCCCACTACAATAGAACTAGACGTCCCAATACAACAGAACTAGACGTCCCCATTACAACAAAACTTGACGTCACATTACAACAGAACTAGACGTCCCATTATAACATTGCTTGACGTCCCACTACAATAGAACTAGACGTCCCAATACAACAGAACTAGACGTCCCCATTACAACAAAACTAGACGTCCCCATTACAACAGTACTAGACGTCCCATTACAACAGAACTAGACGTCCCATTACAACAGAACTAGACGTCCTCATTACAACAGTACTAGACGTCCCAATTACAACAGAACATGATGTCCCATTACAACAGAATTAGACGTCACATTACAACAGAATATGACGTCACATTACAACAGAACTAGACGTCACATTACAACAGGACTAGACGTCACATTACAACAGAACTAGACGTCCATATTTCAACAGAACTAGACGTCCCATTACAACAGAACTAGACGTCACATTACAAGAGAACTAGACGTCCCATTACAACAGAACTAGACGTCCCATAACAACAGAACTAGACTTCCCATTACTACAGAACTAGATGTCACATTACAACAGAACTAGACGTCCTATTACAACAGAACTAGACGTCCCCATTACAACAGAACTAGACGTCCCCATTACAACAGAACAGACGTCCCATTACAACAGTACTAGACGTCCATATTACAACAGAACTAGACGTCACACTACAACAGAACTAGACGTCCCCATTACAACAGAACATGATGTCCCATTACAACAGAATTAGACGTCCTATTACAACAGAATATGACGTCCCATTACAACAGTACTAGACGTCCCATTACAACAGAACTAGACGTCCCATTACAACAGAACTAGACGTCCTCATTACAACAGTACTAGACGTCCCAATTACAACAGAACATGATGTCCCATTACAACAGAATTAGACGTCCCATTACAACAGAATATGACGTCACATTACAACAGAACTAGACGTCACATTACAACAGGACTAGGCATCACATTACAACAGAACTAGACGTCCATATTTCAACAGAACTAGACGTCCCATTACAACAGAACTAGACGTCACATTACAAGAGAACTAGACGTCCCATTACAACAGAACTAGACGTCCCATAACAGCAGAACTAGACTTCCCATTACTACAGAACTAGATGTCACATTACAACAGAACTAGACGTCCTATTACAACAGAACTAGACGTCCCCATTACAACAAAACTAGATGTCCCATTACAACAGTACTAGACGTCCACATTACAACAGAACTAGACGTCCACATTACAACAGAACTAGACGTCACATTACAACAGAACTAGACATCACATTACAACAGAACTAGACGTCACATTACAACAGAACTAGACGTCCATATTACAACAGAACTAGACGTCACATTACAACAGAACTAGACATCACATTACAACAGAACTAGACGTCCCATTACAACAGAACTAGACATCACATTACAACAGAACTAGACGTCCCCATTACAACAGAACTAGACATCACATTACAACAGAACTAGACGTCCTATTACAACAGAACTAGACGTCCATATTACAACAGAACTAGACGTCCCATCACAACAGAACTAGACGTCACATTACAACAGAACTAGACGTCCCATTACAACAGAACTAGACGTCACATCACAACAGAACTAGACGTCCTATTACAACAGAACTAGACGTCCCATTACAACAGAACTAGACGTCCCATCACAACAGAACTAGACGTCACATTACAACAGAACTAGACGTCCCAATTACAACAGAACATGATGTCCCATCACAACAGAACTAGACATCACATTACAACAGAACTAGACGTCCCCATTACAACAGAACTAGACGTCCCCATTACAACAGAACCAGACGTCCCATTACAACAGAACTAGACGTCACATTACAATAGAACTAGACATCACATTACAACAGAACTAGACGTCACATTACAACAGAACTAGACGTCGCCATTACAAGAGAACTAGACGTCCCATTACAAGAGAACTAGACGTCCCATTACAACAGAACTAGACGTCCCATAACAACAGAATTAGACGTCCCATTACTACAGAACTAGATGTCACATTACAACAGAACTAGACGACCCATTATAACAGAACTAGACGTCCCCATTACAAGAGAACTAGACGTCCCATTACAAGAGAACTAGACGTCCCATTACAACAGAACTTGACGTCCTATTACAACAGAACTAGACGTCCCCATTACAACAGAACTAGACGTCCCCATTACAACAGAACCAGACGTCCCATTACAACAGTACTAGACGTCCCCATTACAACAGTTGTTGCTATGTTGAGTGAGACTATAACTACCACTGGTTTATGCCAACACAATGGCTAATGGCTTCGCCACCTATTCCACGTTTTGTTTGCTGATATGAGTAGATCTTCGCCATTTCAATTTATATATTAATTAGTATACCAGGATTTTTTTAATCAATATATCGGGATGATTAGATTTTGTCCATTTAAATCACTATATGGGGATACCACTCTGTCAAATCCTTCACGAAAACCCTTGTGAGTTTCATGTACTTTTCTAGTATGACACAATTATATTGACAAAAGTTACACGGAGATAAGCTTAATACGTCAGACTTTACCTTGCCGAGTACTTTGGCCTGCTCTATGTATAATTTTGCGTCCTTATCACCAACACTTCCGTTGATGACTGTTTTCTTTGTCTCAACATCATACCCATTTTTTGTCTCCACCTTGGAATAAATGCCAGAGAACATCGGCTTAGTGCATTGTTAAATAGTGTCATTACAATAACAATAAGGTATTAAAAAATTAAGAGATATATTGGGAGTTTTTTTGCACAGCCGTTGATCTGTTGATACATGTCAATTTGCTATTTTCAAGTAAATTTTGTTATGGAAGTTTTTTTTTCAGTGGCATCAGTTAAGATTTTTCAATAACTACTGGTTTATTCTAGCCCAGACAATGGTTTAAGTCTAGCCAATCTTTGAACAACTCCGGATGCAAGTAGTTTCTTTTTCCAACACTTTATAGTCTCTATACCTCTTGTATATACTTAATTCTTCATCCTTGTCACTAGAAGTATCCTTTCCCATTGCTTGTCGACCACATTTCCAGCAGTGATTTGTTTTCTCTATACATTACATCTGATCTATCAAACTTACTTGCATCTATTGTTTGTTCAGATCTATTTGACCCCTGACCTCTATCATTTTCTATCAAACTTATATATCTCTATTTTTAGTTCCTGATCTATTTGACCCCTGACTCCTATCATTGTCTATAACACTTATATACATCTATTGTTTGTCCCCAATCTACCTGACCCCTGACCTACATCATTGTCTATTAGACTGACATACCTCTATTTTTAGTTCCTGATCTATTTGACCCCTGACCTACATTATTGTCTAACATACCGGTATTGTTTGTTCCAGGTTTCTCTAACCACTGACCTTCATTTCCATTGCTTTTTCCTGGTCTATCTCACCACCCTTGATCTTTGTCATTTCCATCGATTGTTCCAATTAACCTGTTGACCCCTGACCCCGCTATAATTGTCTATAAACCTTATCAATAATTAATAGTGTTCTTTTATCCGAGACTATACAATCGCCCGTTAATACTGTATACTAGTACCTCAATACTTTGTTTTTTATCCGTTTCCGGTACTAAGTCGATGTACTCGTCAATCTCAGCGCTTATATCTTCCATGGCCTCTGCAACGAAATAGGATGACGTCATCGTAATTTAAGACGGTATGAGAAGACATTGAATGGGACATTTAACTGCCAGATCAACATGAATATGACATTATGTTTTCCCGCCTTTTCTATAATTATACCACTTAGCTCGTCGACATAAACATTTTGTGAGGAGCTGATGTTAGTTGTCAGCTTATTTGCATATAAAGATTGATACTTAATGTTGGCGCCTTAATATCATTTGGTGTATATAGAGGATATAACGCACAGTATATTTTAATTCTTTAAGGCAACTGGACCTGTGTAATGTTATTAAATGATATTGGTTACAACAGAAGTCATAAAAATGTTGGATTGCGGGTGTATCACAACTTATGATATTTGAAGTCACATTTGATTCGGTTTTCAATTTATTTTCCCGATATCACGATATTCGTGCTATGTGTCGGCAACTGACATATTCACGACACAGGCTTTATTGTCGTCATAATGATCTCATTGAGAAATGTTCTGTTTATGTTTGCGGTATAGAGTTGGGCGTGTTCGATGATGTTGCTTGATGATTTCCTTGTTGTTACCATTGTCCTCATTTGGGAACGCGACATTACTTACTGGAATTGACCAAGATTTACATTGAGAAACACTTGGTCTTATTTCCTTGTACTTTTTCATGAGTCCGGTTTTGTCCTAGTTTTATTGAAATTGAGTTTGACTTTCTGTAGACATGCCGGTATTTTGAGTTTGTTTTTGTGTAGACATGCCGGTATTTTGAATTTGACTTTCTGTGGACATGCCGGTATTTTGAGTTTGACTTTCTGTAGACATGTCGGTATTTTGAGTTTGACTTTCTGTAGAAATGTCGGTATTTTGAGTTTGACTTTCTGTAGACATGCCGGTATTTTGAGTTTGACTTTCTGTAGACATGCCGGTATTTTGAGTTTGACTTTCTGTAGACATGCCGGTATTTTGAGTTTGACTTTCTGTAGACATGCCGGTATTTTGAGTTTGTTTTTGTGTAGATATGCCGGTATTTTGAGTTTGACTTTCTTTAGACATGCCAGCATTTTGTGTTTAACTTTTTGTAGACATGCCGGTATTTTCTTTACTGATTCTTTTAGCGTTGATTTATTTATAGGAATTAATTGCTACAACACAAAGACGCTGTCCTTCATTGTCCTCTTGTTTCACTGTAATGGTACAGCAACTAGTACCACACCGGATGTTCTATAGAGTGAAAGTTGTACATATTTATGTTAGAGTGGGTCTATCAAGTTGTAAAAGATTTTCAATATAAAACTATCTGAAAAGCAAAACCTCTTTGCTTAATGGTGAGAATTATGTAACCTTTTCTGTCATAAAGGTTTTCTGCCGTCATAACGAATAACCCTGACACAGGAGGAAATGTAATAGAAAATAGCCCTGACATAGGAGGAAATGTAATAGAGAATAACCTTAACACAGGACGAAATGTAATAGAGGATAACCCTGACACAGGAGGAAATGTAATAGAGAATAACCCTGACACAGGAGGAAATGTAATAGAGAATAACCCTGACACAGGAGGAAATGTAATAGAGAATAACCCTGACACGACGAAATATAATAGAGAATAACCCTGACACAGGAGGAAATGTAATAGAGAATAACCCTGACACAGGAGGAAATGTAATAGAGAATAACCCTGACACAGGAGGAAATGTAATAGAGAATAACCCTGACACAGGAGGAAATGTAATAGAGAATAACCCTGACACAGGAGGAAATGTAATAGAGAATAACCCTGACACAGGAGGAAATGTAATAGAGAATAACCCTGACACAGGAGGAAATCTAATAGAGAATAACCCTGACACAGGAGGAAATGTAATAGAGAATAACCCTGACACAGGAGGAAATGTAATAGAGAATAACCCTGACACAGGAGGAAATGTAATAGAGAATAACCCTGACACAGGAGGAAATGTAATAGAGAATAACCCTGACACAGGAGGAAATGTAATAGAGAATAACCTTAACACAGGACGAAATGTAATAGAGGATAACCCTGACACAGGACGAAATGTAATAGAGAATAACCCTGACACAGGAGGAAATGTAATAGAGAATAACCCTGACACAGGAGGAAATGTAATAGAGAATAACCCTGACACAGGAGGAAATGTAATAGAGAATAACCCTACAGGAGGAAATATAATAGAGAATAACCCTGACACTGGAGGAAATGTAATAGAGAATAACCCTGACACAGGAGGAAATATAATAGAGAATAACTCTGACACAGGAGGAAATGTAATAGAGAATAACCCTGACACAGGAGGAAATGTAATAGAGAATAACCCTGACACAGGAGGAAATGTAATAGAGAATAACCTAACCCTGACACAGGACTGTAACACAGGACGAAATGTAATAGAGAATAACCCTGACACAGGAGGAAATGTAATAGAGAATAACCCTGACACAGGAGGAAATGTAATAGAGAATAACCCTGACACAGGACGAAATGTAATAGAGAATAACCCTGACACAGGACGAAATGTAATAGAGAATAACCCTGACACAGGAGGAAATGTAATAGAGAATAACCCTGACACAGGAGGAAATGTAATAGAGAATAACCCTGACACAGGAGGAAATGTAATAGAGAATAACCCTGACACAGGAGGAAATGTAATAGAGAATAACCCTGACACAGGAGGAAATGTAATAGAGAATAACCCTGACACAGGAGGAAATGTAATAGAGAATAACCCTGACACAGGAGGAAATGTAATAGAGAATAACCCTGACACAGGAGGAAATGTAATTGAGAATAACCCTGACACAGGAGGAAATGTAATAGAGAATAACCCTGACACAGGAGGAAATGTAATAGAGAATAACCCTGACACAGGACGAAATGTAATAGGGAATAACCCTAACACAGGAGGAAATGTAATAGAGAATAACCCTGACACAGGAGGAAATGTAATAGAGAATAACCCTGACACAGGAGGAAATGTAATAGAGAATAACCCTAACACAGGAGGAAATGTAATAGAGAATAACCCTGACACAGGAGGAAATGTAATAGAGAATAACCCTAACACAGGAGGAAATGTAATAGAGAATAACCCTAACACAGGAGGAAATGTAATAGAGAATAACCCTGACAAATGAAGAAAGGTGAACGAAATCATACAATGATTTATCATAAGAAAAAATTCAGGAAATGAATGATTTCGTCATATAATAGAACTGATAATGGAGATAAACGACATGAAGTTTAAATCCTTGCTATCGTTTAAATCTTACTTTATAAAACTCACCCTTTATGATGTTAATAAATTTACTGTCGTCATCATTGTTGTTGTCGCTATCGTTGTCGCTATCGTTGTCGTTATCGTTGTCGCTATCGTTGTCGTTCGTACTTTGTTTGACAACGAGCGACTTCCCAGAAGCATTATCTGCTACAGCAAAGAGAACTAAAATAAGTATTATCAGACTGTATCTGGGAATCATGGCTGTCTTCTCCACAAGAGTTTAAGTCTCACCAGATGACACAGGAAGCACAGAGTTATGATAGAAAGACCAAAATCAATGATATCTTTTGTTGATAACTGATACTGTATACTGTCTTATCACGAGGCACAATCTGTTAACGTGTGCGTATTTACTTCTTCTTAATTTTCAATTTACATTAAAACTTTAGATTCAATTAAGCCTTTTCAATGTAAGCTCTTGCTATGATATTTTGTTCGTGAATGTATTCGTGTATACTTTACCAAGAAATGTATACTATATAGGCGTATTGGAAGCAAACAATTATTGATCTTCACGATGATAAGGGTAATGTTGTCATATCTTTTCATATCTAGGACTGTGTTTACTCACAAGTCATATAAAAGTCTTTTATTTCCTTGAATCAACATTTGAACATTTTGTAATGAACAAATCTGATCTATTGTCAATTTTGACAATAATCTGCATAAATCATTGATGTACTGTGTACAAACTATGAAGTTTTATGTACTGATTAAACATATCACACATATCAAACATAGCAAGTTTATAGTTTCAGATATAAATATAACTGACGATATCATATTTTCCTACACACAGGTTGTTCCCCGTGATAAAAAGGATGGCCTACAGCTGTCGCAGAGATACTTCTTTACACAACATAATCAATGGCATCTATTTGTGAATGGTAAGCAAACCACATACCTACAAGTCTGATCATGTGACTTCTAGCATGTGACTGTACCACGTGACTTATCATACCCTATCATTTATCAGCTATATTTACTGCCCGTATGTGGACACAAGTGGTTGTTATTATTTATTCTAAAGTGAAAATGACTTCCAATAAGAACGGTAAGATACCATCCTTTGAAGCTATAACTACATTTACTTTGTTGTACTTGAATGAAGCTTTATGACACACATGTAACTGACAAGATATCCCACTCTACTCGCTTGATAAAGCACCGACTGTTTCCTTCATAATGATGACTAGAAGAACACGTGAAGTAATACAATTTAGTACACAACGTACATTTCAGATGGAAGTGTAAATTTTATTGAGAAAATCTTGTAGAACATAAAAGGATGGCTCTGTATACTTATGGACAGTTGAAATATAGACAAACTTTCACCAGAACGAAGGGTAGATGACTGAGCATGTTTTGAGCTCTATCATTTTCTCCAGATCATTTTCATGAAATCGATGACAAAGGTACACAGAGTTAATAAAACGTCATTAAGAACATCATATACATGTAAATAATTGTATATGGAACTCTGAGTAGTAAAACATCTACATTTAATGAAAATACTAGTATGATCCGAAAAATAGCAAAAATCAAAACAAGCATGGATGATGTCTGATGAAATTGTGAAAGTGTACGTTATGTCAGAAACACGTGGTATTAAGAAAAGTCACCATCGTACTGCCCCTCCTTGAGACGTTAACCGCAGTGGAAGCAGCCGGTACAATCGTTACACTGGCCTCTCTTCCCGGTGTTTATTTGTCGGGAACACTCGGTACGTTGCTAGGAGGGCGGTTGTACTGGTCCCCCTTTGGACTTCCCTGGCCCTGCGGTACGGTCCCTCCGCCGCTCGATTGTGTCTCAGTAGCTTTGTTGTTCTCTTTTTTTCCTTTTACTTTCCCTGGTTTGTTGTCCGGGACTTGCTGATGCGAATCTCCAGCAGCCTCACCACCCTCCTTCCCCGGGGGTTTCATTTTACCGGGAGACTTATTTTTATCATCCACTCCATGACTTCCGGTTGCGGACATACCACTGTAGTTGACTTTGAATGGACTTTTGTTGTTGTTCCCGACACCACTTGATTCGTTGGCGCTTGAGTATCCAGCGCCGCCATTTTGCATGGTGATTTCGTCTGGGGGTATGTTGAAGTCGGCGCTCTGTGTCTTTTCGCCACCGGAAGCATCTGTGTGTTCCACCTCATGCTCTCCAGCTTCGCCAAATGTCAGCATTGACTTAGCGTAGGGCTAGGTAAATCAAAGAACAGCAGCACGTGTAGTTAATTCATATTACGTCATTCTAACAACACGAATTAAACAATGCGCTGGAATAAACACAGATAAGCAGGTTCTAAATACAATATATCGGTGTTGACACATACAATAGTTTAAATAAACAAGTTCTTATAAAGATGCAGATTTTGTCATAAACTAAGAATCGACAAATCTCGCTTATCACTTTTCTGTGAAATTGTATTTATTTCGATTTCATAGTCAGAAAAATGAAATATTTTAGACTATGTCAAAATAAGATTCAATCAAATGATTAACATGCTATGGAGCCATCAAAGGCATTTTTTCTGTCATGATTTCTGTTTTGTAACTGTTACAATTTCCTGAAATAAGATTCCCAGTACTGGTACTCTTCATCATGAAAAATGTTCTGTATTTTGTATTTTGCTTGTATCGTGGCAAATTATTATGATTATTGTACTTTTATGCGGATTTATTTCGTGGGTTGGAACTTAATCTTGCCAAACTCAAATGTGAACCATTATTTCCTCTGCATTTTGAGTGATCAAAGGAAGAATATTTACCAAATTCTCCATGTATTGGTCCATTACATACGTGTCGGTATAGGACATGTTGTTGTTCTGTTTGTATGTGTCTGAATTGTCCTCAGCCTGAGTCCCATTCCTCTCCTGTAAAATTATAATTAACATCACTGTAGACAGAGTTATTATTATTCATCTGTGTCCGATTCGTCCTCTTCCTATGTCCAATATCTAGCATATAAAAATTCATATAGGCTAAATGACTTTGTATTTACAATGGTCTAAATTTTCCCCTATCCTCGTTCGAAGAAAACCCACGTTTTGACAACTTTTGTGTCCGATTTATCCTATGCCTGTGTCCAGTTCTTTGCCGGTAAAAAAACCCCAACGTAATACTTCACCGTAGTACATGTAGGTAACTGCTATCAATGTTTCTTTCCTTCGTTTGGTGTATTTGTTTTCTGTTAATTATAACTACTATAATCGTGATTTTGAGCCCGAATCGTCATCTACATGTGTCCAATTTGTCTCGGATAAATATATATATGTTACAAATTTGTATAAAGGACATAGAAAAAACAACGAGTGACAATAGAGCTAGATAATGAAAGTGTCTCGCACTGCGGCAGATCGAAATAAACGTGAAAAACCAGACAAAAACTAGTACTTATGATACAGTAAACATAAACAAAACTATATGTTTAGCATATACATTTTTAACACATTCTAAAATATAACATAAAGAACATTCTCAATCTGATTGAAGAACAGCAGATTTTCTTCTGTTTCTAATACCTATCGTTAACTAATTGTAGAAGATAAAGTCATACAAAGTGTCTTTGATATCATTGAGATAAATTAACCTACTGTGTCTGGTATCACGATTTAAATACTTCTTGTATAAAGTATGACCGTCAGCTACCGTGTCTTGTATGAGCAATTTAAATACTTCCGGTATAAAGTATGACCATCACTTACCGTGTCTTGTATGAGCGGTTTAAATACTTCCGGTATAAATTAAGATAGACACCTACCATGTCTTGCATTAGCGGTTTAAATACTTCCGGTACAAAGTATGGCTGTCACCTACCGTGTCTGGTATGAGAGGTTTAAATACTTCCGGTACAGTATGGCCGTCACCTACCGTATGTGGTATGAGAGGTTTAAATACTTCCGGTACAAAGTATGGCCGTCACCTACCGTATGTGGTATGAGCGGTTTAAATACTTCCGGTACAGTATGGCCGTCACCTACCGTGTCTGGTATGAGAAGTTTGAATACTTCCGGTACAAAGTATGACCGTCACCTACCGTGTCTGGTATAAGCGGTTTAGATACTTCCGGTACTAAGTATGGTCGTCACCTACCGTGTCTGGTATAAGCGGTTTAAATACTTCAGGTACAAAGTATGGCCATCCATGGTTACTTTTGCTGACGGTTTCCTGTCCCCTTGTGTTGTTTTTCTTTCCTTCTGCGGTCATAGTGTGCTTGGTGTTGTTTTTCTTCTGTTATATAGAAATGTGACATTCAGCATTTTATTTTTTATGAAAGTTAAAATACATTTGGCATCGTGCCTTTTCTATATCATGGAAATACCTATCTATTACTGATATCTTATTTCTAAAATGTCTTTTAAAGTCCTCCAATGATAAGGATTAATAAAAATATTGATCTCTCTTACCGCCTCGGGTACGAGACTTTTGAACATGTCGGGTACAAGTTTCGGCCACTGTTTCTTGCCACCTGATGTATTTTCACCTCTTGGGCGACCATCATCCTCTCCTCGGGGCCTGCTTTCATTGCTGTCGTCTTCTCCTCTAGATCTACTTTCATCAATATCACTACTCGATTTGCCGTCTGCTTCTCCTGGTAGAACAGTTTCAGGCCCATCTTTAACAGAAGGCAGAGAAGCCCCTCCCGTCTCACCAGCAACACCATCCATGGATCCAGATTTGGTTACAGCGTGGACAATCGCCGCATTGTCTAGTTTTGCTTTCTTGATGTCGCCAACATCTTCTGATTTCTCCTCGCTATCGTGTTCATTTTTATTATTGTAAATTTGTTGTAGTTTATATTCATTCATGTTTTTTCCTTTCTCGTCACCTTTCACTGCCTGCAATTCCTTGCTATTTTCATCGTCGTTGTTTCTATTTCGACTGTCGTCATCTCGTCTATCTTCATCACTGTTTCTGTCATTGTATTGCCTATCATCATTTCCACGTCCATTTGTTTGTGCATCGTCCCTTTCGTCTTCATTTGATTCACTGGACGACGATGACGACGACGATGACGACAACGATGAATCGGAACGATCTGAGCCGTCGGAGCCGTCTGAACCGTCAGAACCATCGGAATCATTTAAGTCATGTACCACGATTGATGGGCTGTGTTTCATGCCGATTGGGACACCTACAATAACAAGGTTTGGCGTCATAGACCGACTAACTATTGGATATCAAAGTAATTAGTTTATACATCGTGGAGAGACCATATCATTCCTTGGATATATCAAATAACAAATGTTTCATAAACAGTGATTTAGTATGGGGTTCACTTGCCCGACATTGTGGGTTTTCCTCAGGTACTGCGGTTTCCTCCCTTAGTAGGAACTCTCGTGCTCTTCCATCCGGGTAAACATGAGTGATCAATATTATTGATATTAGCCGTTAGCTTTTACTACACTTTTAAAGAGCTTAAAAGGGATGAATAAGGATAAGTGTTGGTACTGGAAGTAAAAATTCCGAATTCCGTTTAAAAAATAATTTTTGGAATTTTTTTTATTCCAACTCTTTTGATGAAAAAAACTTAACTTTTTTCATTTACCATCAATCATAAATAACAAGTTGTATATTACAGTCCTATCGATTTCAGCTTTGTTTGGACCAACACTATACCTAATACTCCTTAATGAAAGTACACGTTCATATCAATACAAATTTTCTTTATAAAAATACAAAATAAATAAACATATATACAAGGATTGTTACAAAAAATGACAAAGAAAACTGATGACTGGTACAAAACATACCAGTGACACATTCTGATTAAGTTATAAATAAATAACAATACTTTTACATCGCACATGTTTTAGTCATAAGACACGACGGTACGACAAGAGCGTGGAAAACACGAGAAAATACAAGTGAGAAAAATCGCATGAACCTTTGGATATGAACATATTAAAAGGACGGCGCGCTTACCACGTGATTACTTTCGTTTATAAAACCATAAACAGCAAAGATTAGGCTTTATATTAATTATTGCTTGTTGGATAGTGTATATTTTTTCATATTTAAATGTTGAAGTTTTTGTAAATTTTAAAATTTCTGTAGAATCTGTGCTGATATGTTACTTTAGTTATAGCAATGCCATGGTATACATCATACCATTTTCGTGGATATTTTTATTCGTGGTTTTAATCCTGTCATATCGAGTGTAAATTTCATTCTCGTCACATAACTATACACATAATACTTCAATCGGATGTCTCATTTAGCTTTACCTGAACATTCAATGTTATACAGTATACGCTGTACACGCTGACAGAAATATACATTTTTATTTATAGCTTAAAAATTGTGACGATCAAATATATAGAATTATGACTGATATCGTTAATTAGACAAAAATAACAAAAAATAGATATATTCTCTACTATATCTCAAACAAAACCGTTGACGGGAACAACAATAACGAACTTGCCATTTACTTGGTAGAAAAGACAACACTCACCAAATAATACGTCCTGGAAAGAACCTCCATTAGTCCCTCTGTACCCCGTGTAGGGACCACAAACTACGGGTATAATACCCCTCTGTAGAATGAACAGCCTAACCAGCAAACAGATGTACCAGTCGTGCATCTCTCTCTGTAGCCTTACACATTCACGTGATGTAGTGAACAGTCTACGTAACATAGCATGCACATTTTTATTGATGTTGTAACTATGATTCCGACTTAAAAATTCGGTTCTCACAATTGTTATTTACTGGTAAAACATTTCTAAAACACACCAATCAAATTTGTGGGAATGCATCTAGATACTTAAATCCGTTTCGTAAATGGTTTTTTGGATGAAAACGAAAATACACATATACATATATATGCACATATACATATGTAAAAACTATGTCTTAGTGTTAGATATATATATATCTGTAAACACAATGTCTGAGCGTTAGATAGGGTAGTGGACAGAAATCTCGAGTTATTGGCGCTGTGGTATACACTGACCGCTTTTATTGGCGCTGTGGTATACACTGACCGCTTTTATTGTCATTGCGGTATACACTGACCGCTTTTATTGGCGATGTGGTATACACTGACCGCTTTTATTGGCACTGTGGTATACACTGACCGCTTTTATTGGCGCTGTGGTATACACTGACCGCTTTTATTGGCGATGTGGTATACACTGACCGCTTTTATTGGCACTGTGGTATACACTGTGCGCTTTTATTGGCGATGTGGTATACACTGACCGCTTTTATTGGCGCTGTGGTATACACTGACCGCTTTTATTGACAGTTGAGTATATTCTATCGATGTTTATTGGCGATGTGGTATACACTGTGCGCTTTTATTGGCGATGTGGTATACACTGACCGCCTTTATTGGCTATGTGGTATACACTGACCGCTTTTATTGGCGCTGTGGTATACACTGACCGCTTTTATTGGCGCGGTGGTATACACTGACCGCTTTTATTGACAGTTGAGTATATTCTATCGATGTTTATTGGCGCTGTGGTATACACTGACCGCTTTTATTGGCGCTGTGGTATACACTGACCGCTTTTATTGACAGTTGAGTATATTCTATCGATGTTTATTGGCGCTATGGTATATTTTCCCGTGTATATTGGCGCTATGGTATATTTTCCCGTGTATATTGGCGCTATGGTGTATTTTCCCGTGTATATTGGCGCTAACCGCTTTTATTGTATATTGGCGCTATGTATATTTTATCGATGTTTATTGGCGCTGTGGTATACACTGATATATTGGCGCTGTGGTATATTTTGACCGCTTTTATTGACAGTTGAGTATATTTTCCCATGTATTATTGGCGATGGTGGTATACACTGTGCGCTTTTATTATTTTCTAAATGTTTTTATGTGGTACACTGACCGTGTTTATTGTTGCTAAGGTGTAGTCTAAAAGTGTTATTGGCGCTAAGGTATAGTCTAAGTGTGTTATTGGCGCTAAGGTATAGTCTTCCTGTGTTCATTGACGCTAAGGTATAGTCTAATTTTGTTTAATGGCTCTCAGGTCTGGTCTGTGTTTATTGGCGTTAAGGTGTAGTCTTACTGTGTCTTATTGGCGCAAAGGTTTCTGTTAACTGGCGTTAGAATACATTTGTGTATATTGTAATTGTGTTTATTGGCACTAAAACGTAGTTTGTTTATTGGCACTAAGGCGTAGACTGTGTTTATTGGCGCTAAGGCGTAACCTGTGTTTATTGGCGCTAGGTTTCTAGTCTAATTGTATTATTTCTGACCGTATTATTTGCGCTTGGGTATAGTTAGGTATAGTCTATCTGTGTTATTGGCGCTAGGTATAGTCTATCTGTGTTATTGGCGCTAGGTATAGTCTATCTGTGTTATTGGTATTGCGGTACATTGTAAATTCGTTACTTGACGCTTTGGCGTACTACAAGTACTTTTTTTTGTAAAAGTTTAAAACTTGTGAAAGATGGGCAATGCATGAACAAAAGACAAATTTTCAAATAGAAAATTGGGCCAGTAATGTGTTCGATGACTTTGTGTATCAGGTGGATGATAATGAAACATAACTTACCTGAATAATTTGACGGGTGAAAAAAGTCTTCAGGAACATCAGAACTAAGTGTGCTTTTTAAAAAGGGCCTCTTTTATTTGTGAATATTTCCATCTAGTTTAATGTGAATGACGATTTTGATGGCATTGCGGTGTGCTCTTGTTTTTTTGGTTTTGTTTACGCTGTGTTATAACGTATCTCGTTCCTATCTGACACTGCTGTATAGTTTGATATAGTGTGTTGTGTACCTCTAACAATGAGTGAAGTAATTTAATTGGTTAGGAGTACTTATTGCTATTTATGTGAATAGTTTGAGAAAATCTTATTTCCTCTTACAAAACATGTGGAAAAAAAATCAGGCTACACAAACTTATTTATTGAAATGACATATATTGAAAAACTATAGTATGCTAGTATGAACGACAAAAACTAGAATTGTGATTTTTCCCCCTTTAAATCTTGGAGTCTGCAGTTCTAAAGCATTTTTATAAGACGTTCTTTGTACTATTACCCAAAATCGAATGTAAGTTTAGTATTAGATAAAATTAATTACATTTCTGGATAGCAATATCCCTGCATCTCCAACCTTTGGTATTTACTTGTCACAACTGATTCGATATTCAAGGGCCAGTTCCAATTATCACGATTTATCGTACAAGATGTCGTCAACTGACTGACAAACTCTTACCACAATGGTTCTAAAATGCAGGTTGATGACAATTATGGTTTTATGGTCGCCATAGTGATCTCATTGAGAAATATTCTATTTCTCTGAGCGACATGAAGCTGGACGTGTTTGATGCTCGTTAATTTGCCTTTTGGTTCCGTTGTTGTATACCTTGTTCTCATTTGAGAACGTGACATTACTTACTTGGATTGACCAATGTTTATATGGGCTTATTTTCATGGAACTTTTTCAGGAGTCTCCGTGTAAATCTCTCCTTTGTTCATATATTCCCCTAGTTTTATGGAATTTGAGTTTGAATTATGATTATGTTACCATGTTGGTATTGTCTTTATGTTTTATATACCATGCTCATCCAGCCCAATGACTTCCATGAATTATATTCTTCTATGGTACAGTTTTTGATAGTTCATTAACATGATATACACCGTTAAAAATGGTTTCTTTATTAAACGTGCCAGAATGCTGATCGCCTTAGCTATGGAACCATAACTTTTACGTCAGCGTTGTTATCTGCTGATCCATATCTTTCCTTCTTTCTGTGTGTCTGGGTACTAAAGCTATGACCTTTCATAACCTTTTAATAAACTAAGAAGATCTGCTCCAAAACTTTTTTTGATATAGCATTCGACTTTTCAACTCACTAACTTACTTGATGAAAACTTCATGACTTAATATAATGACTTTTCCCTTGTAGCATTGTAGAAATTAATGTATTTTGTGAAATATATGGGTTTGGAATAGATGGTATGAGCTGATGATATTATGATAAAGTAAAATATCTATTGCACCGGTGTCAGTTTTACTAACAGGTTGTTTGTTTACCATGTATCTAGAAATACATTATGTAACATATGAACAACATTAAAACGTATTCCGCGCGTTTCTCGTTGATAACATCTCTTTAATGTTTTGCGGTAATATATTCCAGCAGTTAATTGGTATACCTTTACGAATAACTTGTTCTCCTCTCTTGGCGGATTTGTTTTTGTTTTCATGCGTGGCTGAATTATCAAAGAGCTTTTAATATCACTTTCAGATATAACGACGACGTCGACAACAAGAGATTTATCAGTAATGTCTATCGTAAAGCTTCACTGAATTGATAACCTAAGACACGACAGACTCGTCTACATGAGCTTCGTACCTTGACTTTTTTTTAAACAACGAAACCAACAGGGAGGGTTGTACAATAAGTATGATGACTTTAATTTCCGTATTGTGAATTTTCCATTTCTGGATATCAACAGCCTTGCACTCCTTACATCTCATATATGGCGTTTGTCGAACTTGATTAGATATTCAAAGGCTTGTTCCCGATATAATGACTTGCAATTGAAACTCACAACTCATGGTTTCGAAATTTGCAGGCTGATGGAAGAGTTTAACGGAACTCATAATGATTTGATAGGAGAAATATTCACACAACTGGTGTGGTATGAAGTTAGACGTGTTTGATACTCGTTAGTATGTTTGATAGTTCCAGTTTTGTTTATATTGAAAACACTTACTCTTCTGAGACAACTTATCCTATTCTCCTTGTGCTTTTTCAGGAATATCCATGTAAATCTTTCTTTTGTTTATATCTATGCCATAGTTTCATCAAATTTGAGTTCTATTGTACAAAAGACACTTGTGGATATCGCCGTTATATGAAACTGTAGTGTCATATAAAGAATAAATCTGCGTCTTATAACTGTTTCGTCCTTCAAGTACTTGTTAGTGATGTTAAGGACCATTTTCTTAAATGTAGGAGGCGACTGAGAAGAAATCAAAATTAATTGAACGAATTAAGAACATATGACGATCTAGAAGGAGTAAGGAAAATGGAAGTTTATAGGTATAATTTCTAGTGCATCTTGCAGTTTTGTTATTTCTAACCTATGATTAGGAAGCCAATCCTAGATTAACACGGCTATGCTGTCAATGAAGAAGACTCTTACCCATTCAGGAACTCCTGGTCTATTTACCTGTATACTTTTTAGTAGTTCAGTATTGCTCTTGGTTCATTTAGTTTTAGTTCGAAATACGGTGCTGTATTTATTTATTTTTTTTGGAAATATATATGTTAAATTATTTTTCAGTCCAAGGTACAATATGATATTGATAGCGATTCCAGGCTGGGATAGCGCTGATTTCATCTATCCCATAATCAGACACAGTTGGTTATTTTCACTTTGTCATTCACGTAAATGTATACATGACAGAATACGTAACATTTATTATTTGTATTATCACTTCACTACCTCCCGGAACACATACACTTTTAATATCTGTACGTTTTACAAGGTCAGTGAATAATCCATTTCTTAGTGCATATATTGCCTTTTAAAACTCTAACTTGAGATTTAAAAAAAAATTCTTTTGTTATGTCCTTTATGAAAAATAGCGAGATCTCGAGCAGAAACTGTAAGCTTAAGGCAAAAGGCCAAATACTGAACAGAATCTATATATCTTTCTTTTAATTGCATAACACTCTTACAAATACAAAAACATGTGTTACAGTCAAGATCACCGAATATTCTTAGAGTTCATATGACTGATGTAAAACTGCAGCACGTTTAATACACTCTCACTATTACTGATGTCTATATTTTACCACAATCCGAAGCAATTATTGATGAAAATAATTTTAACATATTGTCATTGTGACTTTTCATTTTATGTCCACTTGTATTTCGCTTGTCATCTCCTGAAAGAAAAGGAAAATGTGATAACACCAATTTCTATGAAATATTGATAATTATTATACATTATTGGTAACAATGCAAATGAAACAGGATATGTCAAATTCTGTGAGCATATAAGTATTTCTTTTATCTCTAAAATCAGATGTAGATATAAGCAGGATTCAACGACATATTTCAAGAAACAATTTTTATAAACATAAAATAAGTATTTAAGACGTAAAACGAAAGATTCATAACAGTTTGTTTTGCCTTGGAATCACTGATGAGTCCTAGAAAGACTAAGATATAGGAGGCGACTCAAAATCAGACTCAATACCCATATAATGACTCATAAAACTTTGACGAATTATTATTTCAGCCCAACTCAGATCAATGGGAAATGAATTTCCCAATACTTACCTATCGTCTTGTTTGACGTTCTTTTTCTATTTCATCCTCTAGGACCTCCGGTGATTCGCTTTCCCATGACAAAGGTTGGCTTTGTTCAAACATAAGTGCATTTCCTGTGGAAACTGTTGTGTTGGAGTTGACATCATGGTCGTTGTCAGATAAGCCAGATTTAGCTGGCTTTGGGTTGACATTGTCATTACCCAGATTTTCAGTAACACCGGCATTAACTTTTACTTCGGCTTCCTCGGTCTTTTTCAGATCGTCGTTACTTTTCTGCTTTTCTGATTCTTCCTTTTCTTGTTCTGCTTCCTGTGATTCATCTTCCCACGACAGTGCTGCTGCCTTATCATTGTCATGAACAGCGTTTAACGCCGTATCGTGCACACCTGTCGGTAGCTGGGTAATTGATTCATGTTGCGTCATATTATCACCTGTTTCATTGACCATCATATTCGAATCTACATTGGGGCCCATATTTTCAGTTATTCCTTCATTAACTTTCGCATTCTGTTTCTCAGTTGTTTTGTCTTGCTTTTCGCCTGAACCATTGTCCGCTTTTGAATCATGTTTATCATCTGTCTTGCCACTTGCCTGTGTATCATAATCATCTTCTGATATGTCGTCTTGGGTCCCGCTATCCTGTTTGTTCACTTTTGTATCTTGTCCCATGTTCTCTGTTACTCCTGCATTGACTTCAGTGGCCTGTGGATCTACCTCTGTGACGTTAGAGCTGGAATCGTTATCCTGCATGTCTTCTGTCGAGGTGCTGTTATCCTGTACCGCAAAGATAGTATTCCAAATGAACAAGTGTTACCAGTGATGCTTACGTTATATAGCTAAGTTATCTAAATGTTTAATCATAGTGATTTATACGTAGATTTTGAAGAAGAAAATATCTAAAATTATTGTAACTATGTGTATGCCATAACGATTTGCCCTCCAGCCGAAAGATGAAGCTCCTACAATATTTTGACACTTGTGTTACTCATTGTCGATTGATGTGATAGAAATATGTTCACTATACCTGGTCTCCGTCTGGTATAAACGCCTTAGCTATGTCAGGTATCATGTTTTTCCAGGAGCCACTGGACGATCCCCCGGCATTGCCGTCTCCTCCGTCGCCTCCTTTCTGATTCTTACTCTTACTGCCCGGGACGAAGTTGGTTTTAATAGATTTCAAGATGTCTGCAGATACATAGAAAGGTATTGGTTACATTCCTTCACATTGATAGCAAATCACAGATATAATCGTTCGTTTATTAAATCATTAATAACTGTCCTCTACTTTTACAACAAACATCAAATAAACTACAGTGTAAGTACTATGTATAAAAACTCCTTAATGTAGCCACCAAACAACAAATAGGCTAAACCAATCACATTGACGCTTAATGATCTCAAGTTTTTATCAAAGTATTCCTCTCTTTTTCACAGTTTACTGATCGACAAATAGTGAACAGATATTGTATTAATTATGCTTTGGGTTGTCCTCCCACTTTAAAAAAACTAAGATTGCCGATTTCAGAGGATTTCTTCAATAAGAAATTATGTAAGTCGGAGTTTAGGATAAAAGTTTTTTTGAATTTCGTTAGTATTACCTTTAAACATGCCACCCATAGCTCGCTTGTCATGGTGTTTGGTCTGCTCATCATCAGATCCGTTCGAAAGTTGGGGAAAGTATAACAATAGAACGAAGACAAATAGCAATGATATGTCTACCTTCCTGGCCATAGTGTCCACGAATGTTTAATACAACACAGTCTCTATGCCTTCTTAGGTAAATGACGTGATCACACTAAGATCCATTTGGTGACGCATTTTTACATGTATATCTATAATCAGCATAATGCTGGTAGTTAAACAAAGAGACAATACACTAGTAATGTGTTTGTACAACTGACAGGTGTCCAACAATAAATATTTCATATTCATTGGAAAAGCTGTTTCAGTGTGCATCAAAACATATATCTTTATTACTTAGGACAAAGCTTTTGTCGAAAGACAAAAATATAGGGATAGAAACGGTTTCAAATGCTTCAAATTAACTTTAAGACTATTCAGATCGTGTTGCTTTTTTGCGTTTTTTCCTTTTTTTCTCTCTTTTCTATTCTAAATGTGTATACCGAGACTATGCTTAAACCAATGTCAGTACTGGTTACTTCGTTCTCCATTTACCACGTGATAGAAAGGTAAAAAAAATCGCGTCGAGTTTCATATGAAATGGAAAACCAATGTTATGTTTTTTAGAAAGTAAACTTTCACAGACATTAATGCAAATAGTATTTAATTTAACCGATACAAAATGTTAAATTGATATATTCTCGCTCATTCTATAATTTTTTGGTGATGTCACAATGCATATCACGTCATAAAGCTATGACGTCAAAATGAAAACAACAGGAACATTCAGGCAGCCATAGCCCCTCTAGGTCATACTGAAGTGCGTAATAACAAACATATGTATTGGGTGTTATTGTAATTATAACTGATTAGTCATAAAGCGCTAACGTGTATTTTTCGCTTATCAATGTTTGTGTTAGAATGATGAAACTGTCTTATACTAGTCACATCTATCATGAAATAGATATATACCTTACAAATGGAAGTACATTTCCATATACTGATGCGTGTATTTAAATGTATGATTTAGTATACTTACACGTTTCTCCGTCAGCCCTTTTACTATGTTTTTCCAATTTCGGCCATTTTTTCATATGAATCCAGCAGTGTATTCGAATTTGGGGCTCAGCTCACCATTATCTTTAAATTTATATTGAAAAGTGTTATTCACTTTGTCTTTTGTAAAATTCTTTATCATACATTGATTTCACGAATGTTTATGTGTATATTCTTAAATCAGGAGCCTTTTCTTAATGACTAAACAACATTGCATGGTTTATTTGGTTGAAAGTATTGATTTAACAAAACATATATGCTTTCTAACACAAACTGGAAATGATATTTAGTTGTACATGTATTAATGTTATAATCCATCCAATCTCTTAAAATACACCTTATTTAAAATCTTAAAATATCATGTACAAAGTGGTGACAAATATAATGACATCGATAAAGTTGACAGAAAGACACCATGAACAAAACAAAATGTTGGGACAGAAGACATGACTGCGTTGTAATATGTTGCTAAAATGATAGAGGTGCTCATGTATATGAAATAAAGCATGTACACACAGTGTTTCTATATACATTTATATACAGTGATAGAATAATACATTTATACACAGTGTTTCTATATACATTTATATACAGTGATAGAATAATACATTTACACACAGTGTTTCTATATACATTTATATACAGTGATAGAATAATAGATTTAATAACATAGTTTATATATACATTTATATATAGTGATAGAATAATACACGTACACAGTGTTTCTATATACATTTATATACAGTGATAGAATAATAGATTTAATAACATAGTTTATATATACATTTATATATAGTGATAGAATAATACACGTACACATTGTTTCTATATACATTTATATATAATAATAATAGGATTCATGTAACCGCAGTGTTAATGTACTACAGTACATGTTAACAGAGTGTTACAGAGAGTTAATTATGGGGTCTAATCTAGAATATGTTCAGACAGTGTTCTTTTTTTCGTTTTGAATACTTAAAAGAACAAAGTACCATCAGATTTTGTCAATGCCACATGTCAACATGTAATTTATCCAAGAAAATGTCATTCACGGCACCAATAAATATTTTTCATTATCTCTCTTCGATATCTTGATAAATGCCAAGTTAACCTGTTGATTTATGGTATCGATATATTATGAATACAAACAAAGACAAAAATCTTGTTTTTGCAAACACGTATCTACATTTATTTGGTATCACAATTTGGACGAACATAAGACGAGACTGCAGATGTATATGCCTTCGATATATCAGTTAAAGAATATGAAAATTTTGAACTTGTCATCCATGTCTACAGTTGATCAAGAGATTAAACAAGAGGGTAGACAAGAGCATCATGGTCACGAATGTCAGCATTTCAATCGACAAGTAACTAGAGTGTTATAACTAAAGAAATACTGACAAGTGAGAACTCTACACAATTTAACGAAATCGAACAAGAACTACTATATAGAACACAACTATCGACTGACTGTTCACTTGGACGCTTTATAAGAACCTGTCTCATTACTACTGGTTATAAAATGTTCCTTCATTAGGACATCAATGTAAGTAAATAATAAACGTGTATATCTTCTAAACAAAACTGTTATATGCCATTTTGAAGGGAGAAAATTCGGATATGGGATAGGAAATTTGAGGTCAGAGGGAGAACCGAACGTATGGTGGTGGGAACCGGAAATTAGTGACTCCTGTCTGCTTGGTAGTTTGACAGGAATTCTGTTTTTCCCCTCCCGTGTCCAAGTATCGTCTCACCGACAAACGTCAGAGTTATGGCGACGTGAGGGGGCGACCTGCACCCCCCTCAGTAGGATGAAACCGTCGGCATCGGTTAACGTTTATTTATACTAGTTTTAGAAGACGGCTCCAAAGCCTAATAATGCCTTATACCAACTCAGTTGAAACATGTCCAGAAGATGAAAGGAAGAATAGGGGGTTTACTCAGATTTTATTTATATGAGGATAATTTTAAAGTCTGTTAAATGCCTTAAAAGTATTTGTATATCCTAACACTATCCAGAAACCCCTGGACCGACGTTATTACGACTACGCTTTTTCTAAAAGCCACAGAGGGATCTTAGCGTGCTGAGAGTGGACAGTCCCCACACGGGCCATGACCCCTGTCGATGTACTCCCCGTCTTATGTGATACAAATCTCTGCCAGAGTTGTCGTTCCTTAAAAATCACAATATATTTTCCAAACCTTCATTGCACGTGGATTTTTCGGTATTGACTTTCCTTTTTAAGCCCACCATCTGATGCTGGTCGGTTATTAAAATTATCCTCCGTTAGTAGTCCGTGGTCGATCCTTCATTTAACAATTTTTGTTATTGCTATTTTTTGACAAGTACTGGATGGATCTCTCAAACTTCATATGTAGATCATGATCACCGTTGATCCTAAGTTATGTCCGTTTGATTTTTAAGACTGATCAGAAAAAAACAAAATTGTCGACAGGCGGTCTTCCTTGATTTTTACATTTTATCTAAGAAAGTTTGTTATCGCTATTAAGTACTGTATGAATCTCTCAAATTTCATGTAAGTTACTCTTGTCCCCTAGGTATTCCTGTTTTGGTTTTGGCCGACTGATATTTGGGTTTATGGTGAAATATTGTTATCGCTATATCTTGAGAAGTATGGGATGGTTCTCTCTCAAATATCAAACACAGGTTCCTTTTGATTTTGGGACGATTCAGACAATAAAATAGCCTATAGGCGACCATATTGGGTTTTTACAACGAAAGTTTGTTAGCATATTTCTTGAGAAGTACTTGATAGATCTGTCTCAAATTTCATGTGTAGTTTTCCCCTGATCCCTGGTTGTGACCGTTTGATTTTGGGACTGATCACAAAACAAGATGGCCATGTTTGATTTTGACAATTAAAGCTTGTTTTCAATTTTTTCTTGAGAATATTATAAGTAAATTGGCATTGATTCCATGTTGTGCCTGTTTGATTTTGTGACTGATCAGATAAAAAGGCTGATAGGAGGCCATCTTGGATTTTGAATTAGTTTGTTATCCCTATTTTTGAGAGGTACTGGATGTATCATTCTCGAATTCCACAGATAGGTTTCCCTTGGTCCTTGGTTGTGCCCGTTTGATTTAGTTGCTAATGAGAATACGAAATGATTGACAGACGGCCATTATCCTTTTGGCAATAAAAGACTTATCGCTATTTCTAATCAGAATTTTTTAAAAACAAATTCATATATAATTGAAGAATATTATTATATTGTTTCCAGAAGAATGAATACCCTAATAACAATTTTAAAGGCGGTATGATAATCAATCGTTATTTGTTATCTAGAAGTATGCATTTGGTAACATCGTAACAAAACTTTCATCTTTGTTTTTCAAATAAAGTTTTCGTTTTGTATTCAGTGCTTCATTATCTAAATTTTACATCCTATCCGAGTGTCAAGAAAAAAGTATGCTTTCAACTTTGTTCAAGAAACGGTAGCCAATTTCATTTGATGAATTCTACTTTATTAGGAAAACGATTTCTGATATCATTGTTTACTTTACCTTGTGTGAGTGACATCTGATGCCTTCGCGAGATCTCCAATATAAATTCAGGAATAGTATCCTAAAATACTGACTAACCTTCCCCCATTTCCATAGATTTCGTATATTGTAAGGTGTAGCTTATAGTGAGTCCCTCCTTTAATATCTTAGTCAAGCATTCATGTTGCTAGTGTGACGGGTTTGATAAAAGATGAATAATCATACAGTTCACATTCAATTGATACAATTTGCAATCACGTCTAGAGAATAAGGTGATCTGTACTGGACTCAAGAGGTCATAGGGTCATTGGAAAATAAAGTCAATGTGAACTGTCAATGAAACAACAAGGTCCATGTGACCTGTCATTTAAACCATTATTGATAGGTTGTAACACAGATAAGTTTCTATCTCTAGGTTAGAACATATTTTAGGGATATTTGAAAGTAAGACCAAACAATGTCAGTTTTCTTGTAAACCATTTTATTGGTTTTCTGCAGTTGTACATTTATATACGAGATATTTACAGGATTGCCATGTTTGGATTGGTGGGAATCTGAAATATACAAGACAAAACAAAATAAGAAAAAGATCTGTAATCAATTGACGATATATTAAGATATTCTTAACAAATTGGGGCGAACAAACAAGTGTTGAGTTAAAACATTTAATTTGGTTCTATAGATTAACATTATTTCAAAGCACAAGCAGTAATACTCAAAACACTCCATGTTGCATTGTTGCAACACACATGAAATGATAATTTAGTTTGTGTTATATCAATGTTTCAATAACTTTAATACAGGGACATTGCCTGTACTTTTTGAGAATTGTTATTTTACTATATCTATAATCAGCATTAAAGACTACAGTTACGTACATGTTCAGTTATTCAATGTTTTATTAGTGGTACCGTGAGGACTAAATGGTAGTTTCCTTCTTTTCTTCTACATCAGTGACCGGCTTCTCATCGTGCTTGAGGGACGCCTTACCACTCATAGCCATCTTTAGAAACATAGACTATATATGCTCGGTTAGCATGTCCAATAACGCATAGAAAAAGTGGTAATTATATAGCTTACGTAGAAATCTAACAATAACACAGAATATCTTCACAAGAATCATATTGGGGTCGTCATTTCGAGCTGATGATTCTAATAATTCTAATCGGCTGCGAAACTGAAATTCTTCAATATTTTTACATGAATTTTTTTTTCGCTCTGGTAACTGACAGTTAATAATAATAATTAATTACATATACATCATACAAGTGAAGAGTATTGTTCGTTCTTAGTCAATTCAATAACTTTCAACATAAACAATACAAATCATTATAACGTAGACAAACAATGTGATCCTGAACAGTTAATATTTCCTGAACATCACGTGATAATTATCGTGACGTCATCTAGGTAGTGCCCTGTCTTGATCACTACAAAAAAAATCAGCAAATATTTTAACAACATAATGAATGCCTTAATTCTTAGGTATATACCTTTTTTGCATCTGTGTCCGGCTCCTTTTCTTTCAAATCTGTTTCTGTATCATCTAACTGTGTGCCAGTGTCTCCCTGAGGATTAAGGTCTTCATCTGTTGTTTCCGCTAAATCGTTTTCTAATTGTGTCATGTCACCATCTTGTTCCTCATTTGTGCCAGACAAATCTGTTGGAGTTTCCATTGCTCCTGTTTCGCTTGACTGTGTATTGATATTCGCTAGGTCATTCTCACCAGTAAGAAGTCCATATTCCGACGGAACATTGTCGTCAGTTGACAGAACTTCCGGTAGCGCGGTGGTATCGACTGACTCGCCATCTTGTGACGTCATTGTTTCGTCTGCAGTGGATTTGTCATCTTTGAGGGCAGCGTTGACCTTGAACGATCCCTCGATGCCCATTGAAGTTGAGTTTGTGGCAGAAGAATCTGTAACAGCGTCCTCACTGACAGTGCTGTTATCTGTACCATCCTGGTGAAAACACAAAACACTTATACATCTTTTATATGAAGTATGAATAATTAACTATCAACTCGTACAGCAAAAACATGCTTATATTACATCAAACTAGAACGAACCAGATCAGAATTTGTTACTTTCCTTTATAAAATTATTAATCATTAAATTCTAATTCGTCAATAAAATAGAAACGGGAAATATATATGGTGTCAGCCTCATTTTCATTTTGAAAACATTTCCGCAATTTTCATTCAACGTTCATGTTATTATATTTTAACCCATTATCTCAATCTTAAACAGGAAATATGTTCACTATCATAAAATTACGTATATTACATACCCCAGCAAAGAAATAATGATAAAAACAAGCAATATACCATAGACACTTATCTAGGTAGCATCAGAAATGATTTGTTTAGATACAAAACACAATATCAATCTTTACATTGATATATCCTTACCTATATAAGGGCACTGATTTCTCAACTTCCGTAACTCTACAATCCCAGTACATTTATATAGCCTTGCATTACGTACCTCTACAACTACAACATAAAGACACCGATTCCTCACCGTGCGTAACTCTACAATCCCAGTACATTTATATAGCCTTGCATTACGTACCTCTACAACTACAACATAAAGACACCGATTCCTCACCGTGCGTAACTCTACAATCCCAGTACATTTATATAGCCTTGCATTACGTACCTCTACAACTACAACATAAAGACCCCGATTCCTCAACTTCCGTAACTCTACAATCCCAGTACATTTATATAGCCATGCATTACGTACCTCTACAACTACAACATAAAGACACCGATTCCTCACCGTGCGTAACTCTACAATCCCAGTACATTTATATAGCCTTGCATTACGTACCTCTACAACTACAACATAAAGACCCCGATTCCTCAACTTCCGTAACTCTACAATCCCAGTACATTTATATAGCCTTGCATTACGTACCTCTACAACTACAACATAAAGACACCGATTCCTCACCGTGCGTAACTCTACAATCCCAGTACATTTATATAGCCTTGCATTACGTACCTCTACAACTACAACATAAAGACACCGATTCCTCAACTTCCGTAACTCTACAATCCCAGTACATTTATATAGCCTTGCATTACGTACCTTTACAACTACAACATAAAGACACCGATTTCTCAACTTCCGTAACTCTACAATCCCAGGATATTTATATAGCCTTGCATTACGTACCTCTACAACTACAACATAAAGACACCGATTCCTCACCGTGCGTAACTCTACAATCCCAGTACATTTATATAGCCTTGCATTACGTACCTCTACAACTACAACATAAAGACACCGATTCCTCACCGTGCGTAACTCTACAATCCCAGTACATTTATATAGCCTTAACTTACGTACCTCTACAACTACAACATAAAGACACCGATTCCTCACCGTGCGTAACTCTACAATCCCAGTACATTTATATAGCCTTGCATTACGTACCTGTGCTAAATCTGTAAAGAACTCTACCCATATTGTACATACCTCTGCACTATCAGGAATAAAACCTTTCGCGAAACCCGGTATCATATTCTTCCAATCACTAGGGGAAGCGTCACCACCATTACCATTACCGTCGTCCTTCTTGGATCCGGGAACAAAACTTGTCTTAAAAGACTCCATCATACCTGCACATTTTGTATACATTTAAGAAATTACAACATTTTATCTATATCATGGTTTGGTTGTAAATCATAGTCATAATTCTTGTGATGTCAAATACATTGTATCGTCAAAATAATGTTAATAACCAAATATTGGCGGTGTTACGATACCGACTTTGGAGTATAATTACATTTGCGATATCCATGATACGATATGCTTTATTATGTGTCTTTCGCTATTTTTTTTTAGGAAAAAACTAATATTTTCTTTAAATAAAATCGAATGAAAATACTAAGCATTTATAAAGAAAACTTTAGTTCTCAACTTAATGCTAATACCAATTACTAACAAATGAAAAAAGACTCCAGTTGCAAATTCAAGGTTGTTTTTCACAATTTCAAATATTATATACTGTTTATCAGGTATAATTCTCGACTTGCCTTTGTACATATTGTCCATGGCCCGTTTCCCGTCGTGTCTAGATTGTCCAGGCTGGTCGTCATTGTTTCCCTTTCCCTTAACAATATGGCTGGATACCACTGAGAGGGCCAAACCAGCCAGCACCACGAGATGGAGAGATGTTTTCACGAGCATTGTTGTCCTGGTCTCAAACACACTACATGTTTCACATCCGAGACACTGTGTTTTATAATGATGATCATGTGACTAAGACTGATGTAGAGATACCTGTTGACTTAACATGCTGGTACCTATCTACCTGTATACAGGTATATATATATATATATATATGTTGACTTAACATGCTGGTACCTATCTACCTGTATACAGGTATATAAGGTAACTGTATTGATTAATATTACAACCTTGACAACTGACATTTACCATGTGTTGTGCCCTGACACTGAAAAACAAAAGAAAACAAGCAAAACAAAACAAAAAATAAAAAAATATAAAAAAATAACCGTACCAGCATTTGATACTTAGCTAAATGTTGTTGCTAAGAAATTATAACAAACAAAAAACCCAGCGTTTGATAAAAGTGCTTTGCAGTGTTAAATGACATCGGCAATGTTTGTTAGGTATTCTTCCTTTCGTTGGCCGTGTCATTATTTTTTTCTTTAAGCGTTTATGAAAATAGACCTGTGTAATAACGATTGAAAATGTCGATATATTCATTCATTTCAATATTTCATGTAAACAAATTTCCTAATGAACCGAGCGCAATGTGATATGATTGTCTAATTGATTTCTGTCATACACTGTACAATGCATTGAAACATTACAAAACAGCAAATGTACTATCAAATATTTAACTTCTATAATCATCCTGCTTTATGATCTAAACCTTCATTTTGTTTGAAAAATGGATTTGTACTAATAGTGAAATAGCAATCCTGATCCAACAGAAAGTCTTCAAGTTCTCTAGATGTTTCAAGATGCTTTATCAATAATGAAAATGTTTAAACTCGCATTGTACAATTGTTTGTGCTCAAGAAAATTTCTATGTGTGCACACTACATGTGTATCGTACGGTAGATCCTTACTCGTTCATAATAGTACTTTATATTGAAACAATTACGTTATGACTGTGTTTCATTTTATAAATTGATTAGAAACTGCACCATATACTCTAGCTACCTGGACATTCCGACAAGATTGTGCGCTGTATTACATAATTTGATAATTGGATGTATTTCTCGGATGAGACTCCTATTTGGGTTTGTTGTATAGAATGATATTTGTGTAATAAATGATAAACAGCAGTGATTAATTGTATCAAAGCAAACAGCTGTGTAGGGTAATATCACCCATCAGTTAACACGAAACACTAATTGACTACTTCTAGAATTTGCGGGCATACTCAGATCGTTAAATGTTGCAACATTGATGAATCAATTTGAGGTACAGACAGTGACAGACAGTGATATAACAAGTACAAGACATCAGTTCGATGACTAAGTTTTTGTTCCCACGTGTCATATAAATGTACAAAATATATTTCTGTCAGATGATGATTTTTGACAATAACCAGTTTGATTGAATAATGAACTTGTCTCATCTTGGCTCGTGCCTAACCAAGGGACGAAACAGTAGTATGATGGTGTATATATCATTATTTGACTCTGCTGAATATTATTCCTAATTTGTATTGGAAGCGCCGATTCAAGTGTGTCTTTTGTATAATCCTGTTTAGGCCTATTGTGATATCCTTAGCTTGTAGTTTAAATATAAGTATATACGCTAGCATCATTAAGAAGTCCTCAAAGGATAGATTAGATGTATGAAGCAGGCTAGACAAATTGTTATCACTGATGATGAAGCACAAAGCAGACTAAGTCTGTCTGTACGGACGGACAAGGTATTCCGGCAACTCGGTAATTCGAGAAAGTCGAGTTTTCAAACAAGTACGTCGAATCAACATTCTACCATGGTGACATTAATTGCATTAATCAACATACTTTTCATTGCTTGATGAATTCAGAATATCTAAATAGAGCTAATTCTTCAGCATGTTTTATCTTTCCACAAAGTCATAGTCCAGTTGTACATGAAGCTACAGTCTAGTCATTATTCCATCCAATATGTGGTGTTTGTTATGTGAGAGGCCGAAATATCCAGAAACTCTATTACCCAAAATATGAATTTTACTTGTCATTGTCGGAATACACTCACAACATGTATTCATGTATTCGGCAGAGACAGAAAACAGCTGTATTTTAACACATAGAATTACATTCTGGTTTACAGAAATATTACATTTGAAGATAACAATAACTTTCCAAATAAACAATTTTATTTGTTGAAGCAAACAAGGTTATTCTAAGCAAATTAATTAAATTGCAGTTATATCATTTGAAGTTTGAATCTCTGTTTTCCGAGAAATAATTTTGACTTATGTCATCAGACATAACTCTGTGAAACGTCAACGTCAGATAAACAAACATTGAACAACAGACTCTGAAGTTTCAATTGGCAGAATTTGCATTAGATGTTGCAGGATAAATAGAATGCGTAGCCAACGTCTTAAAATATATTTTGGCTTTATAGAGAAAAACACTTTCGCTTTCCTTAACCTCAACAAAAAGGTTACATGTTTATTCTAAAACACTGAACATGCATTCTTAATATATTCATGGATGCTATGGAAAACCAAGCTAGCGAATGGGTACTACCATATATGCTGCTGCGTACGATTCATTGTCAGGGTGTATCAACTCAATTAAGTAATTAAGAATAAACAGCTAAGTTATAAAACAAAAAACAAATCTGTATGTCTTACTGCCGGTGACTTCATAAAACATTCAACACCTTGATCAAAGTCAGATGATATAAATAGATATTCCATGTTTACAAGAACACCAAGGCTTGTTTGATTATAGGAGAAACCCTACCTATGAATTATCCAATCTTTCTAAAGACTATCAAACTTCATTAAAAATCCTCCTGATAACCTGTTAATGACAATGTCATGGGATTTCCTCATTTACACTGTATAAGTACCATTATATTGTTGGCTCATCCAGTCGTTATTGCCATCATTTCTGCTATTAAAACAGGGTTATAGTCTTCTAAAGTACTGTTTACTCTAACAGTAGAAATGATGAAATGTACGCTCAAAAAATCTCTTCCGTGAAAACATTTTATTTTTCCCATTTTTTTTAAACGACTAAACCATATTCTCAGCTAAAGGAACGTAGCGCCTGCATTCTCTAGTTTTGACATCTTTATTTATCTTTTTTTAGAAGAATATTCAGTGTTATTTCGTTAAAGGTTCTTCTGAAGCAAAGAGGAAATATACCGAGGATGAACTCCTGAGAATGATCGAATTTATGGCTGACAATATCTTCGATGAGATTGCTGTTAGAAGCTTTAAACAGTTCATGGCATACCCAACTAACTGCGCTCCCTTTACTAGATAACTCAATCTTACAAACAGATTCGAATTAATCGTATCGGTTATTGAAACAGGTAATAAAGAGCTTGATATTTTTTGATATTTTACTTTTACTCATATTCACTATTTTGTTCCGTCTTTATATGACAAAACCGTCATTGATCTTACCCAACAGTGTTGAATGTCACAGCCATGATTATCTAGATAACATGTTGTCTCGATCTTTGATTACAATGCAGTCAACAATTTACTAAGCTGTATGGTTTCGATTTCCTCATTGTCAAATGATTTAATCTATTTATTCTAGTTGTGTTAAGTCTACTTCCTGAGTAAAGGTGTTTACATATAACAGCTTATTTGCTGTCCTACGACTGGTTCCCGCTATCATGACTTCTTTGAATGATGTCAATAGCTGACAAATAAAATTACACAAAAGGAAATGCAGGTTGATTAATGCTTATAAGGTGGTGATATAACTATGATTTAGTTGGGAACAATTTCATTTCCATGTGTGACGAGAAACTAGATGTATATCATTGTTCCCGGTCTCGTTGTTATAAGCCTGGTTCTCATTTGTTAATGAGAAGTTAAGAACACGAGTCGTACAATTTCCCCATAAAACAACCAACAAGATATATAAGACATGTGATGATTCCGCTTTCCCTTAAATGAATTTTCCAGTTCTAGTTTGCGAAATATTTTTGTTTGTGAGCTGAAATGCACATAAATTCAACGTAGGACCACCGTATCTGTAATTTCCATAAAAGTGATACTTACCAGGGGATGCAATCAATAACGCCTAAATAATATTTTTCTTAAAATGGCGTCACATTAAGACGTAATTGTATAATTCGTCTTCTTTATCTTGATCAACCTGAGGTTCTACCCTTCTTTTCTCTCTATCAGATGGTATGGCAATAAACATGGCAGTCGATAGGGCCGGGAATGGTCCTCTTTAACTTAATTAAGCATTGAAGATACGATATTATGTCTTTCACAGCTAACGAATAAATTTAGATTGTTCAATTATTGGTCTGCATTTAACGATTTGTCATCATACAGAAGCTCTCTTCTTACAGTATAAATAAAAACTAATATCAACATCATGAAGACCAGTTTGTTTTATTTTTTCATAAAATTGCAAGATATAGATATAATGATAATCATGGAAAAAGTGTGGACGACTTCTCTGTGCTGATTCCAAACCTGTTGTTGTTGGTACGTTCTATGCTGATTCCTGGAATATAAATAAAGATATTAAACTTGTGATATATAATTGATACTTTGCGACTTGTATAATCAGCTTTTCCCCCCCACATATATGGAAATCTCTAGGCATGGATTAAAATATTTTCGAAGATTTGAACTATTCCAATAAACATCACGACCGTTAGTCTATTAATACACGCAATTTGTCTCTCTACCTCACCTTTGAAATATTTTAATAGGCTACGAAATCACATTTCTATGGATCAGTAAAAATACGCGGTGTTTTAAAAGCTTGTTCATTTCACAAGTTACGTACCCTCATTCACATCCCTTTAACCCACGCTTTGATACAGATTAATTTATCATGACCAAAAACCATGACAACAAATTATAAAATAATAAACATTAATATGACATAGTGAACGATAGGAGATAATGGTACACAAAAGAAAACGATATCAAAAACTGAAAAGCGACAATGTTGTCACGTGTTGTAAACATTTTCTCTGGAAAATATCGGAAATTTTGAAACTATGGCTTGAGTTTTTAAGATTACAAAATATATTTCAGAAAACTGTAGCAAACATGTGATTTAAATGATCAAACATAATTCTCTCTGTAAAAATCGGATTAAAAATAATCTTGGAGATTGGAAGTGGGATATGTTTAGTTTATAAGTCGGTTCCCCCGTATAACACATCTAGTTTCGTAACAAAAGTGAACTTCAAATTTGTATTGAGCTAACAATGTAAAAGCTCACTAATTGATTAACGTTACAGAGTATCTCCTTCTGTGATTTGACGTTTAATGATACCGATTTATTAATTATCTTCTGAATTTCAATGACCCTATTAATACTGGAGGGTCCTAGAGGAACGAAAATTACGTATGATGTAGTTTTATCGACTGTCTGGAATATAGTCTATAATATCAAATTTACAATCAAAGGTGATCCTCATGTGACCAAGGCTACACCTTACTTGATCTTTATTAAATCTGAGAAAACCTGATACATTCCTGTGATAAACCTCACCTATCCTTTGAAGTACTTGGCGAAAGCCTGAGATATTGTGTCGTTCTGTTGCTGCTGCTGGGTCTGGTTCGTGCTATCTTTATCGTTAAAACCCTGCATCGAAATAGGTGTATAGTAAATGTATTGTTTAGCCTTAAAATTTCATTATCAGTCATAAATATGTTAATGTTTGAAAAGAAAAGCTGAATCGATAACTCAATAAGATCACAGTAAGGTACAATGACCTCAAACAGCCCGCAAACAAAGCGTGGGTTAAGAACATGTTTTGTCTTGGGAAGATATATTGATTTGTGTATTTAGAGAACAGTATGTTATCATTATTGTATTTTTCCGTTGATTGTGAGGGGCATATTTGTTGAAAAAATCACTATGATGATGGTGTGCAACAAATATACGACAAGTAGCATAAAATTGATAGAAAAGTTCACTCAACCTTCTTTTCTAATTTTTTGTGAATTATGTAAATTACATCGATTTAACAGAAGAATTAAAATGGCGATACTGATTTTGTGATGTCAGTATAAAAATATAATGTACCTGGCTGTTTGTTCCATTCATGTACTTGTCAGAAAACCCAGCAAAGATAGAGGCCCAGTCCATTTGATCCTCATCGCTACTATCATCGTCATCTTCATCGCTGAAGTCCTCTTCACTGTCGTCATTATCGTTGTTCATGTCTGGTTTAGGTAGAAATCCCTTCAGGTTTTCCATGATGTCTGAAATAAAATGACCCGTATGTACTCTCTGCTCATTTATAGCCGAAGTTTCCGAAATCTAGAATTATAAACAGAAGAAACACGTATATATAGCGCGCTTCTGTTTTGTAAAATTGTCTATTATCATAATTCTTCCTAGCAAAAATTAGCAAGATACGAAAATTGACTTTTATCAATAGGACCTAAACGTGGGTAGTGACAATCTTAATGAACTAAGACACGATATGGCTGCTGCAGAAGGACTTATATATGACTAATGTATTTAAATATTCGATACAAACGAAAACTTCAGCGCCTTCAATAAAAGTAGTTCAGAATGAATTCCGCTCGTCTTTCTATTTTCTTATATAGCAAGAGGTGTTCTATCTCAGTGACGAATCTTTACAGAGCTCTCGTTCTCCGTTGAATGACATCCCTTTAACGATAGAACATGTAACCTCACACTGACTACATACATTAAAGAACTTCCCCCAAACAACGCAACTTTGATCTAATCTTTTCATATTCCTTATTTAGTAATAATCCCTTTTTGAACTTAACAGAACTTTAATTTTCCATTTAACCACACACCTTTATAGAACTTTGAGTAGTCCCCTCCGCCAGCTTTGCTGGGATCTCCCTTGCCCCCCTTACTACTGCCACTACTGCCACCGTCCCCTGCCAATACGTCCTGTGTAGCAGCCGATCCTCCATTACTGTCCGACCGACGACGGCGGGTTACGATATCGCAACAGGTCTGTAATACTAACAGGTATACTACTGTTACCAGTAAAGTTTGGCGCAACATAATGCCTTAGCAACCAGCAGCACTTCGTGTAACACGTAATATTACAACGAAGAAGTATATATTACCGTACCTTAGTCACGTGGACACTGTTTTCGGTTTTCATTGGCTGAAATTTACTTTATATATTTTTATATGACTTTAGTATAAGATTCCAAACATCAGATAAAAACAGTAGTTAATAGGTTCTTAATGAACCCGCATGAAACGTTCTCTCTACAACATCAAAGCGTATCTGATAAAGTTTTTATTCTCGTAGATCTATAAGCGTTTGACATGTCTGGGACTAGTGAGATATTTATTTTAGAAAATTGCATAAAGACAAACCCGCATAAAACTGAACATATAATATACCTTCTTATTATTGAATTTTATTTTCATTTTCTATGTTGTACGATCCACTTTCGTTTGGCAAAACTAACAAAAATCTCATCTGAATATTATGAAAAAGTATTTTGTTCCGTCGTCTACAAACTTATAGAAAAATAAATTGGAATAATAATTAAGACAATTCTACTAAATCGGCTGTATCACTAAAAAACATTCAGAACCAAACTCCAGTACATATTCTGATTATTAACATTCCAGGAATCGATAGCTTTGTGTTATACGTAGCCACATCAGACACCACTGTGGGTAGGTATTTATTAATCCCCGAATTGTCTGTGTGCTGATGGTATTAAAGACACAAGTCACTATTTCCTTTACATATTTTCTAATTATAGAACTTTATTGTTTGATACTTTGTGTGACTTAGATGTAGATTTTAATACAGAAACTTTCTGATGGGGCGGCGAAGATGTTTTTCGCATATGAAATTAAATTCTAATATCGTCAGATCTGTACAGAATTTTATAAAACAAACAAAGCGTTTTAATACTCCTGAATCTGAACTGTTTGTAGTCGGCACTAGATCGATAGAATCTCTTTTTGTGTTCTATTATTCTAGTTTCGATCTTCTTATCTTCTACTCTTTTTGACAAAATTATTTAAATGCACAATTGTACGACTACGAATAACATATTTTCATATTTATAGAATAAATATGTCACGTGCAGTATATCAATTAATTGTGATTTATTTATAGAGAAGATGCTTGAACTTGTCTCCTATTCCTTGATTTTTTTTCTGAAAATAAAATATGTTTTAATCAAATCATCTAACTCTCTTTGGTTCCACATTTTCTGAAAACCTGTACCTATCCTGTAATTACGATTGTCCAGTGTATTCATACTTTACCCTTTTTAGATTTTGTGCAGAACGCACACCGTATTCAACATTTTCAAGGTCCTTTTATTTATCATTATAACTCTACATTTAGATTGTCCTATTCTATACTTTCACATCAGAAATTGTTTTTGTGTGTTTCTATCTTCAGTAAAACAACGTACTGAATTCAAGGAGATATTTACGATATAGACGAAGGTGATTGAAGAACGAACTACAAATACATTGATCTAAACCAGTCGAGGATATAAGATAAAGGAGAATCTTATTTTTCTTTAACACAATGCTTTATATCGATTACATGTCATCATTGTATAGATTTGTCGTGTTGTACTTACACAAATGGCGTCATGTTTCTATGTACGAAGGGAGACAACTCTGATAGCATTGTCACTGTTACATTTTGAATGAAGTTATTGATGTGTTACGTGTTTGTTTTATGTTACAATAACCTTATTTTACTACAGGTTTAATGAGATACACTTTGTTAAAAAAAAAAAAAAAAAAAGAAATATATATTTCACAATACCACAATGGATATATATATTGATTGTAAAGTGACGAGATGTTTAAAATGTCTTAAGAACGCTGAATTCTGACTTTGATGTTCTGCTATCTGTTATATGAACAACACTAGTTTAATTCCGTAATGTTAAACGAAGTATTTTTTAATCCTTTATCTAAAATTACTGTAAAAGCAAGATTGCCTCACATTTTTTTTATTTATCTATGAGATATGATATCTTCCATAGTTTTACATCAACCTCTGCTTCCCGAATTTGGTAGAAGACAACCGGGGGTATATGTCTTCTATGCAAGAATTCGTCAACTGACAATACTGACTAGTTATATATATTTATCCTGTTTGTTTTTATGTCTTAAAATGCTTCAAATATTACTAAGCTTAAAAATGAAGCTTTCGAGGAATTATGAAAATTCAATTTATTACATTTTCCCCATTGAAGTATAGGAATTTACACGGAAACCGTACCAATATGCTGTTAAGCACCACAGTAATGAAATGTATATTGGAAATTCCCTACATGATAAGAATTTGTATCATTATGTAAATATAAAGTATATTAGTGCATTTATGAATACACATACAAAAAGCAATAGATTTTAAACGAATGTATTAGTTACGCTTAAAGATATTTTTTAATTAAAATATCACTTTACGTGAAATCACATCACTGATGAAGCGATTCCAACAGGCAGAGTGCCAACAATTAAACTTTTTGACGGTCTACCTGGACTTACCTGGATTTACCTGGATTTACCTGGACTTACCTGGACTTACCTGGAATTACCTGGACCTACCTGGACTTACATGGATTTACCTGTATTTACCTGGATTTACCTGGATTTACCTGAACCTACCTGGACTTACCTGGAATTACCTTAGACCTACCTGGATTTACATGGATTTACCGGTATTTACCTGGATCTACCTGGATTTACCTGGACCTACCTGGACTTACCTGGAATTACCTTAGACTTACCTGGATTTACATGGACTTAACTTAATTTACCTGGGTTTACTGGACTTACTTGGATTTACCCGGATCTACCTGGATTTACCTGGATTTAACTTGATTTACCTGGACTTAACTTGATTTACCTGGGCTATGTAAAATATCATGTATTGAAAGAATGTAAAACAGCATACCGAAATCCGGAAGTGAAAATTTCAATGCGCAGTAAGGAAAAGCATCACATGAAAGATGAAGTCACTGATAGTACATAGCAGGGTGTGGACATGATAATGATTTATCAGAATGTTTCTCTAGGTGTCATCACTATAAATAAACTGTAACGATTCATTCTGAGAAGGATTTTTCATACGTGATTATAAAGAATCTTTTTAATTAACATCTTTTAACTAAAATATGAGAAAACGTGTTTACTTCAGGCAAATACAAGTTATTAACACTGATGACGTGACAATGTTGTATCATTTATGTACTAATTTCAGGAAAAACCGTACAAAAAGAAATAAAAAAGTTAATTACATCAATTAGTGTCACTATCTAAACCAGTTATTGCAGCCATGTCAGTCCATAAAATTGAAATGAGACATCCCATTTAGAAATCGCTTAAACATTGAACTATAAGTCAATATACTTGTCAGTTAGACTCCGACACTTGACGGTGTCATGGCTGGGCTGATAGGATTCAAGTTCATAAGGACTTTACACAGGTAAAGACGAGAGGAGATAGTAAACAGCTGAGTAAATTAACACACGTTAAACATTCCTGGAAACATTTTGTCACTGGAAATACCGGACTTAGGAGAATTATTGTGGATCTCTTCAGTCAAATATTTACGGAAGCCGGTTAGTGCCACTTTTTTCATGAGTTAAATTTTTTTTTGAGTCGTATTTACGACTTAACTATCTCATAATTACGACTTTGTTATCTCGTTATTACAACTTAGTCATCTTGTGATATTACGACAAAGACCGAACTGTTTTGCGGCAATGTTTACTTCCGTCGACTCACACACGTGTTTTTGACAGATGGCATCGGAAGGTTCCCCAGTCCTGAAGGAAAAAGAAAACGTATACATGCTTGCATAAACTTACCATTCGACGGATATGAGATAGTTAAGTCGTAAATACGAGATAACTAAGTCGTAATTACTAGATAATTATGTCGTAATATCGAGATAACTAAGTCGTAATTACGAGATAGCTATGTCGTAATTACGAGATGTTTAGTCGTAATTACGAGATGCCAAATCGTAATTACGAGATACCTAAGTCGTAATTACGACTTAAAAAAAATTAACTCATGAAAAAAGTGGCACTAACCGGCTTCCGTAAAGATTGTTTGCGGTTGATCACTACACTATTAAAATATATACTACTATTAAATAGATGTTCGCGTGAGGTAGAAATATAGCGATATTTGAAAACACATTTCAACATATCAAATTTACGCTTTTACATACAGGTGGTTTGTTGTTACTGAACGATAAAGGCACTCCTTCAAATTAGACCACTCTGAAGTGTGAAACTGAAGTAGTAAGAACTGATAAGACATCCAGATCTGCATTTCCGTAATAACAACTCCTTCCTCATGTGTCAATTAGGAAATACATCATCCACGCGAAACTGCAGTTATGTGATATCAGGTTTTCACCAGTTAGTCCCCTATAAATCGTACTCGTTAAATATTGATGAACTTTGTTCAATGATAGTGCATGATCGTACACTTCAGCGTAATTCTAAACTCATATTGAAGCTAAATGTAGATATGTACTATGTACGCGGAAGCAGTTAAAAAAATGATGTTACATTTCAATGTTCATTATCAGCTGATATGGTATGTTATGATAGGATCAATATTTATTACTTTGTATAAACATAATATTTTCCATTTAATTGTTACCTGACGAAGTTGATTCGATGCTCGTTGACCTTTTCCCTATATCACTATTTCTGTGAAAGATTCCGACAACTGAAGGATCAAATTCCCGCAACAGATTTTCGATTTTAAGTAACCTTGAAAGCAGCGTTGTTATTATTTAGAACTTGGTGGAAAACTGGCCCTTGATTCATCTTAGAAAACAGTCGATATATGAGGAGGATCAAAACCAGGCTGATGTGTCTTACTTTTTTTTCTGTTGGGTGCATTACAATGTGAATTATGTCTTCATGTATAAGAAATGGTCAATATATTAGTGTATTTTGATAAACTTTTTGTTAAATGGAGTCTCGTAATGGGACGTAGGCATACTCTGGCTTACTGCAAGCCCAGTATCCATTGATAGT